TTTGAAATACATGAATATTAAATGAAAATCAATTGAGTAACCCATAAATGTCTAACAGAGTAGGGCATCTTAGCCCGACCAGTGGCACTTGAGAAAAATTAACATTTAACACGGTTAATGCCAAACAACAAAACAAAACATCAAAATCAAATCTAGGGACGACACTCGAAGATGAAGTCTTTCTCAAAGTCGAATCACAGGGAACCAGTAAATTTGCATAACACTGACACAAGTCAAAAATGTGCCAAACAGGAAGGAGAGTTGCACAAACCCCTTTACCGACCGAGCCAGGACCTTTTAGGACTCACCGCCTAATTGAATATGCCAAAATGATGCAAACTTTCCAGATATGATTTGCATAATTATTACGCTTACAGTGCTGACTTGGCAAAAATTTGCACACCAGGGAAAACGTGAAAATTTTATGCATTTCCATTTTGCAGTTGCCTATTATACGCTCTGCGGAAAGTGCATATTATGAATATTTGTTTATTTTTGTATCCGTAGATTGCAATCAGTGTGAGAAACGAAGTTCAAATGCATTTCAGAAATATCTTTTACCTTCTGCGATCGGAACATTCTTCAAAACACATGCGTATTTAATATATAAAAAAGAAAGCTAAATCATATTCCATATCATATTGAAACAAAATACATAGTTGCATTTAATTCTTGAACAATTTGTGTGCAAAACAAAAATTTGGCAAATCAAAAAATGCAATTTTGCTGACCGAAAAAATGTGATTTGCTTTTTAAAAATAAAAGAAAAACTTACAAATTGTGAGATCCTACGAACATTTTTGGCAAATGCAAAAAATGTATTTAAGAGAACGCAGTTCTCTCTTATGTCTTTCTCTCTCTCTCTCTCTCTCTCGCTCTCTCTCTCTCGCTCTCTCCGGCTCTGATACTCTCTCCCGTTTTCTAAATTCTACTGGTATAGAAACGATAGAAGGTCAGCTAAATTGTTGTTGCGTACACGCATCGCTTTTATATGTGTCCTTTACAATTGAACACGCTGTCAAGTAACGGCACACAGCATCAGCATCAGCAGCATCCTTTGTCCTTTAGCGGCACAGCTACCCCTTTCGATACTTGCACAATGATGGCGAATCCTTTGCCAAAATGTAGCATTTATAAAAATTTCAAATCACAAACATTTCAAATGAAAATAAAAACTGACTGAAAACAAATAAAAGTCAGCAATTAAAAATAGGGCCTGACCAAGAGATACCCTGTGCACAGCTTTGAATTTCAATCAAGTAACTAGTGTAACTGTAACATCTTTTGAGTTTATTGTTAAAGGTTTTTCTTATTATACTCTTCTCATCTGATTTTTAATAAAGGTTAAATTTTTGATACATGGAACTTTAATGATTTTTTTATAATTTTTCATTTATTTTGTTGAAAATTTATTTGAGCACATACCTCGAACTGCATATTATCAGTTTGTTATCGCTTTCTTCAAATATTAATGGGTATATGGTATAAAAAAGGGGTTGTTAAAGCATGGCAAGTATCTGTGAGACTGTTAGAGATGAGCAACTCAAAAAGGAGAATGTGTTTACTGAAAATCTCGCCTTCATTCACCAAAACTCGTTCTGACTGACCGACTGACCACTGGAAAGTGCTTTGGGAAGCACGTGCCAGGGCTAAACGACTGGTCACTTGGGTCATTTCAAGGGGTTAACTTTGCTGGACACGCTTCACAAAAACAACAAACAACAAACATATTTACATAAATTATTTTCCACTTTTCCGTACAAAAAGAAAGTGAAAAATTAGGGCTACTTTATTGTGGTCAATTGAAAACCATAAAGCGATTTGTATAAATGATAATAGTGTGAAAGTGTTTTGATTAATCGCATGATAAGGCTGTTAAGTTTTTATAAAAGTAATATATGAAACATTAAATTTATTATTTTTGAGTTGAGCACAGCGTGGCAAAGGCGTCTTTCTTTAAGCCCATTTCATATTATTGAAACCCTATACAGCCATCAATCAAGAGTGCAAGCATTTTCACAAATGTTGCGAGGATTTCAAACTGAGCAAACTAAGAATTCCCACAGTGCGAAAATCGCCAGCAGGGATTACAATCTCCAGCGAGTGGCAGAAAAGTGCGCGTAAAGAAATTTACGAGCGATCAAATAACCGAGGCATCAAAGGGTGCAAAATAAAATCGCAAGAGCTAAAGGTCCTTGGTGCTATTTGCACAAATAGCAACCCCAAGAAAAATATATCACAGATAGGCATCGTCTTCAATCCTTGATCCACGATCGGGTTCACAGTAAATTACGAACAGAGGTGAAAGGTAAACAATAAAAAACGGCTGCTCCTTGCTACCTTGATGGCCTCTGGCAACCCTTGCTTAAAGCATTTTTCTCATTTTTTCCTTTTCTTTTTTTTTGTGACGAATTTGAAGATTTTTGCCTCAAAACTGAAGCGATTTTTCATTGACCCAGAGCGGGGTTGGTTCAAGGATCGTCTTGGGGTTTCCTTTTTCTTTTTGTTATGTCAGCTTGCAGAAGTAAATGCATTCATCCGAAGACGGCAAGACTTTGGCTTAGCGGAGGCCTCTGCCCCTAGATTGGTTTTGTGGGTCAATGTCACATTAAGCCTGAATTTATGGCCCCGAAGTGCCAATAGTCATGCAGATTAATAGGCCAAAGGATAGCAAATTTGCTACTATTCAAGCTAAGTACGGGAAAAGTATTAAAATAATACCATCATAGAGCAGATGCATATTTTATGTTTTTGCATCTAATTCTTTTCTGTTGTTGCTTAAATTAATAGAACTATTAATAAACGTGTCTTTTTGCAAAAACAGAGCTGTTGTGATAAATTGCTCATTTCTGATTGAGTATAGATTTTTAAAAATATATTTAAAAAAATTGGCTTTGGGGGCTATCTTAGCATTAGTGCGATTTTCACAATTCGGCTGAGGCTTTCCAAAAATTAAAACATACCTTTAAAGGCTTATTCCTATTAATCATGTTTGAAACTCATTTCAATTATAGTTACTGATTACTACAAATTCAATGTTTTCTCCCTACATTTTCTAAATTATACAGCACAAAATCCCTTTTACTATTTGTCGCTTCCAACAAATATTTGTTGTTTAATTGGATTATTTAATCTCATTTATTTCCACACTTCATTATCATACCAAAAAAAAAAAAAAACTAACCACAATTTCTAAAGCTTTTATTTAATAATTTTAAATTCAACAACACATAAAAAAAGTAGGAAATCAAAAGTGACCTTTTACTTAATTATTGCTACAAAAGAACTACCAAAATAAAAATTCAATAGCAGAAAACTCAGACAATATTCGGTTAAAAAATAAAATTGATGAGAGATTTGTATGCAGTTTTATTGGGAGTAGAAAGAGTGAGAGCAACCAGAGCTGACCCAAAATTATAAAGTTACAATGCAACACTTTTGCTACCCCCGATTAAATTACACATGGACTGAGCCAAGGATCGACCCCTGGGCAGCAGTGCCTTGTTGTGTTGTGTATGTCGCCCCTTTAGGGTTATGTGTGTATGTAATATATTCAAATTTGATGGCAGCCCAAGGATTTGACCAAACAAATCCTTTCTAATTTCAGTCGGGCTACGCATGTGCAGCAGATTAAATGCCGGACGCTGCGCAGCTTTTGAGCACACAGTTAAAAGAAGAAAAAAAAACGGGTTTTGAATTTCATATGCCGCAGGATGCATGTGCCTATGTCTCTATATATATATTTGTAGATGTGTGCGTGACCCATCCATCAGCGCTATGAACTCGCGGAAGCTGCAACGCAGCTGAAATTACCAAAAAGTTCTAATAGAAGTTGCATCCTTTTGTCCATAAAAGGCAAAATAACACACACACAAAAAACTGGTTTTCACAATTTGTGGTCCATAGTCCAGGTCTAGGTCCAACGCACAACCCCTTGAAATAAATGAAATAAATTAATATTCAAATTTTATTTCTTACGTGTTGTAAGAACAAGGTTTTCACGGCAAATGTTATGTCTATTTTTCTAAGGAATTAATAACATATTTATATCTCTTGCTGTTTATAGAATACTTTGAATATTTATGGCTTGACAGTTTTTTAAGAAATTATGGGCATTTGTTTGGTAAAATAGAAGAGGATTTCGAGCTGGTTATAAATTGAATATGAATTTAATGAGCCAACTGCCAATAAATGTAATATAATAAAAATTCTTTTTCAAAATACTAAATTTTCATAGCTTGGTCATAGCCTTCCGCAAACTGCTGAGTCCTGCGTCAATCTATTTATTTTGACCAGACCATTCGCGTTAAATATGTGAGTAATATTTTTATGAATGTTTGGATTCTTAGATGACCGTATAGTTCTTGACAAGTTCCTAAAAGTATGCCAAAATGTTTTCCTCTTAGTCATGGTCCCTAAAAGTATGATAGCTTTCGCCGTGAAGTCGTTTAGCCGATACAACAACCCACTTGCATGTCTCTTAAAGTATACCTCCTTTTAATCCTGTCGACAAGTTATCCAATTCAGCAATCTAATTTCTTTACCCCAACTAATTTGTGACTCGGGAACAAATAACATTTACATTTAGCCAATGCGTGATTTGTTCACGAACTCACTTTCCCCTTAAAGTATGCCGAGCCTTTTCTTAAGCAAATTTAGTAAATGCATGAACACCTCTTATCTACAGCTTGTACAGCAACCTAATTATCTATTTATCACAGTTTAAAATTCAGATCCCTGCAGCAAACTGGCATCATGGCAAGCAGCTTCTTCTATCCTAACTATAACTACATACGCCGTTATTTTTCAGCTGTATTTTTTGACATGTTGGACCCTTAAAAACACACACACGCTCAGTAAAGGGCATGAAACCACCCTTTGCAAAATAACCACCCCGAGCCAAATCGCAAATTCGAGGCAAAAACAGGTTGGACAAGCACTAGGTGAAGCCTGTCTACAGTTTTGCAGTCTATATGGAGAACAGTGGGTTGGAAGTGAAATTTTTTGTTGAAATCTTTTCGAATTTTATTATTTAATTTTTTTTATTGTAATTGGTGTTAAGCGTAGAAATAATAATTGTAGTGTTGGCGGTAAATCATAAAAATACATATACATATATAAATGATATATGTACACGCATGAAGTTGTGTGTGTATATGTATGTATGTATGTGTGTGTGTGTGTGTGTATATGTGTATTGTATTTACATTAATACTTAGCTCTATGTAGAAATCATCTTATTGCCTACTTATGTAAAACAAATATAGCGTCGTACTACATATCCTAAAAAATATTAAGGACTACACTGAAGGTAATCCGAATCATTGCCCTATATGTATATACGAATATATATATAAATATATTCTCGGCAAAGCGGAAGTGGTCGCAGCAAAACCCTAGCTTAATTAAGACACAGGAGATCGTTGAGATTATATGATGACGGCATTCAGCCGTCGTGCGATCATGTCAAATGGGTCGTCGTTGAGACTGAGGCGCCACCTGAGGCTGCCTTGCCCGAGAAGAATCGATTGCCCGTCTGGGTGGTAAAGAGCAGAGTGTCCACGGATGGCAACATCTGATTCGAGTGTACCAACATTGGCATATTCACAACAGACACTGTTGTCGGTCCATTGGCAATTGCATTGGTCGCTCCTGTTCCCGTGCAAGTGCCAGTGCTGGTCGTGCAACTGGTCAACTTGCCTTGCGCATTTAGCGTAAATGCTGGCAAATAATAGTTGGCGGTGCGACCCGAGTTTACATTCACAGCTGATGTGGATTTGGTGGTGCTACTGCTGATGGTGGCGGTGGTGGATACCGCAGCCAGTTCCATGGATGCGGGCGAGGAGAACGGTGATGATTCCAGCGATGGACAGGCTATGCGATTGCCACTATTGGGTTTGTGGAGCACTGCAAAAAAGATATGAGAAAAAATTAATTGGTATTTAAGTTATTAATAGTAAAAATACATATAAAATATATTGACATTAAAGATCACGAGTTTATACTTGTTATGAGCTACAACCGTCATTAAATTAATAAAATGTTGCAATATTAAAAAAAAAAACAAGAGTTTACTTTCACATTTTAATGCTTGAATGAATGCTTTCAGACCCCATTTTATATTTTATAAAATCAATATTTGTATATATAGACTTACAGAAATCGTCGTCAGGTAGAAGTTCATCGGGTAATTCGTTTTTGATTTGAAAGTGCAGGGCAGTCGCTGCATCTGAGGCAGTTGCATTGTCTGAGGTGCCCATTTCAGTGTTGCCCACGGGTGTATCATACAATCCGCATTCCTCCATCTCGAGAGCCTGCTCCATGATCAGCTCCTCGGCCGATGTGAGGCTAAGGCCATGCAGGTCCAGGAATGGACCCTGCGTCTGCAACGGTTCCTTTTTAATTTGCGGCATTGCAACGGGTACCGTGTGAGGAGTGCTGCCCACTGGCGCAGATGGTTTCTGTTGCAGCTGTTTGGGCGCCAACTGTTTGCGTTCTCGTTTCGCTTTCATCTGCTTGGCTGGAGCGGTGGTTGCTGCTGCTGTTGCTTGTGGTGGTGGTGCCAGTAGCGGAGTAACATTTGACTGTTTGCTTGTGGACTGTGGTAGCGGCTGCGGCGGATGCACCTGCTGCAGTGCCGTTCCCGCTGGCAAAGTGATGCCCAAGGCGGCAAGAGTTGCTTGTTGTGGTTGCTTTTTTTTGCGTGCCTGCTTAACTGGTGGAGCTGCCGCTGCAGCTGACGGCGCTTTGGCTGTCTGCGGCGTTGAGGAGGATGTGGACTTTGCCTCTCCATCAGCTGTGCTGAGTGGCAGCACCTCTGATACTGGAGATCCGGCTGTTGTCGCCGTTGCCGCCGCCGCAGCAGCAGCAGCCGCGGCAGCTGCTTTCTGTGCCTTCGTTGTCGTTGATTTCTTGGAGCAGTAGGAGGGAATGTTCTCGAGATGCTCGCCAGTCTTGTGATCGACCTTGTGACGGCGTCGTGTATGCTTCAGCCAATTGGGAAAGTTGGTAAAGTCGCGCGGACAATAGTTGCATTTAAACGGTCGCATGCCCGTATGAATATTCGAATGCTGCTTCAACTTGGAGTTGCTAATGAAACTCTTGTCGCACACATTGCACGCGAAGGGACGCTGCTCCAGATGCACCAAATTGTGTACCTTGAGGCAACGTTCCGTTTTGTACATTTTGCCACATTTCTCACAGCGATAGGAGCGCGTCTGTGCATGATACTTTTGATGGCGCTGCAGATGGGAGCGCTCCTGGAATCGTTTCTGGCATTCGGGGCACTCGTACGGCTTCTCCGAAGAATGGATGCGTGCGTGATGCGTCAAATTGATTTTCTGCACAAACTTCTGGCCACAAATATCGCACTGATATTTCTTATTATCGCTGTGGATCTTCCGGTGCATCCACATGCTGCCCAACTTTAAACTGCAAATCGAAATTAAAACGAGTTGAAGATATATTTGAAAGAGATTTGTAACTCAATTTGTGAACTTACCACTTGCCACAGTCTGGGCACTTTTTCCACGTATCCTTGCGTCCCTCGCTGCGATGCGTCTTCAGGTGTTTCTTGAGCCCCGCCAAGAGCTCAAATTCGCGCTGGCATTCAGTGCAGTTGTAGGTGATGCGCAATCGATGCGCTGCCGCCTTGTGGCTACTCACCAACTGCTGATTGTCAAGAATCAGGCCGTTGCAGTCCAGGCACTTGTAGAGAGGTGGCGGCGGCGTTTCCAACTCTAGTTTACCATTGAAATCCAACGGCACAGCCGGTGGCGGCATATTATTCACTGGCGGCTGCTGCTGTTGTTGTTGCTGCTGTGGTTGCTGGAATATGGTAAACGCTGGCGGCAAATGATCCGACTCCGAATGCTCCACTTTGGTCAACAGCTCAGCTTTGGGGGACATCTCCTTCTCATCGAAGAGCTCCTCCTTGAAGACCCTTAACCGTACCGCTGTCGCAGCGGGTAAACGTGGCTTACGTTGCGAAACCATCTGCTGCACCATTGGCAATTGCTCCGGTGATTGGAGCTTCACTGGCGTCGTCGCCGCCGTCGCCGTAGTCGTTGCTGTTGTTGTGATCTTTTTAAATGGTGAGTTCGTGAACGCATTTGGCGGCTCCGGCCGCAGGAACGTAACATTGAACTCGGAATTATGATTGTCATTGGCGCTTCCATTCGATAGATTCGCACTGGGTGTGGGACTGGGACTGGGCGCACTCAATTCCTCGCGGCACACATCTGAGGATAGATTTAATTCCGTATTGTTTTGTGCACTCTCGTCGAGAACGCGCCAAAAATCCGTAGACGACAGGCTGTTGCCATTGATGAAGCTGGCCGAGCTGATTGTGACGCAGGCGGACAGATCGATGTCGAGGGATTCGTCTTTGATGCTCGATATGGAATCGAAATTGTTGATGCGCAACAAGGAGCTCAGTATCTCATCGTGGGCCGCTTTGGTGGGGGTGCTTGCATTGGCCGCATAATCACCGCCATATAATTTAGGCGGCAATTTTTTGCTTGGCGCCTCTTCTTTCATTCTCTTTGCTTTGCCTTTACACTCCATTCGCAACTGCGACACGTAAAGGTTATGCGGTCGGCGTTTCTTAACTTCTTGCGTCGGTTCCGCAAAATTTCATACACTGTTCAATTGTTTGCACTCACAGCACTATTTGCTTATACATTTTGTTTAATTTTGCACAATAAAACACTTAAATCTTGCACAAAAACACCACAAATACTGTGAAATGCGCTTTGTTTTTGTCACGCTATGAATTCTCAAGTCGCCATTTTGACAAACAGTGTTGTAAGATGCGACGCCTATGCATTTTAAGGGTTGCACACACGTCATTTATCGATATGCAAAGCTTATATAAAGCCTATGGATTTTTCAATAAACATGCTGCCGTCACATTATTGTTTTGACCAGTTTTATAATACAGTGTGACCACATTGTATGTGTCACAAATCCAAAAATGGCGTCTGAACAAGACGAAAACGTTGTAATAGAAAACTCAGGTAAATACAACTGAAAAAATCATAAAATTTAATTATTTGAAGTGAGCCGTATGTTATTTGTTGCATTGCTCATATTTTCTATATCGTGCATAACAAACGAAAACAGATTGTGAACTGAAAATTAAAAAGAAAAAAAAAAAACGTGAGCATCACGCGGAAACTACGCACACATGCACACGCATCTGCATATGCATTAGTATTTAAAGCGCTCGTTTATTTTTTTTTTCTGTTAATCGGTTTTGAATAATAACTTGGTCTTTTCAGGGCGCCGCACACGCTCTGGACGTCCGCCGGCAACAGCAGCACCAACGCGAACCACACGTCGCACATCCAAGCGCCAAGCACAGGTCAGTAACACACACACACTCACAAACACACCATGCGTGTGCTTCTGCTTTTTGGTTTGCAATTTGATGAAAAAATACGCATCTTCATGCGGATGTGGCGTTGTTCCATTCGCAAATGATGGCCTCCACATGATTCTCTGCAAGGGCCAACTGATAAAGCAAGCCAGAGAGAGATTAGTTTTTAATTACTGTATGGCAAAATACAATATAGATATACATCCATAATAATGTTTGCTTTTCAGTTGAGTGATCAAGAGGAAGAGAACGACCCAATTAGTCAACAAATGATGGCGCTGACCGAGGAAGACGATCAAGAGCGCGTAGCAGCAGAGGAGGCTCAGTATGAGCAACTAGACGACGATGTTGAAATGCTGGCAACGACCGAAACAACGGGCGGTGTAGATGACAAGAGTTCCTCGTTTCCCTTTGGTGCCGTTGCCGAACAACATTCGGAGACGAGTGACGATGTCAAGGAGAGTAGACGCAACGAAGATGGTGTAGATACATCGCTCTTGGCCTCCCTGGTTGGTGATAATGCCAACAGTCTGCCTTCGGTAGCCGGCAATGATGAGAGCGATATTAACAAAAAATCCGACTTTGAATCGAATGTGCCCGATGCACTGCAGCCGCTTGGTGGGAGCAAGCTCAACTCGTCGGATGATTCGAGCTCACATCATGCTATTGCCGAGAGTTTGGGCGATGAAATGATGGACACAAGCAATGCGACTATTGTGAATACTGAAATCATTTCAGAGGATGAGTTACCGCCACCCAGCAAGCCCGAGATCAATGATGCCGAAGAGGTATCCGATGAGGAGTTGCCGGCACCACAGCGTGCTGAGCTGCCAGCCGATGCTGAAGTCATATCGGAGGATGAATTGCCAACGCACAACAATAACAACAACAACAATGTTAACGAGCTAAAGACGAGAGTAAAGCGAAAAGCTGGGAAGAATGTTCATGTGCCACAGTCTGCAAGAGATGACGACGAGCAGAGCCATAATGAAACGAGCACAAAACTTAAATCAACTGAACAGTATAATCCCGGCAGTCCAACATCAGAGAGTAATGATGCGCAGCCCATGGAGAAGCGTGCCAGAGTAGATGAAGGTTGGAAATTAAGGAGAATTGTAGCCAGACATCCATTAAAAATAATCTTATACATTTTTTAAGCAGATGTTGAGCATAACGACAAGGATAAAGAGAAAGACCCTCAAAAGAAGGAGAAAGAGCGTGATAAAGACAAAGAAAAGGAGAAGGACAAAGACAAGGAAAAGGACAAGGAGAAGGAGCGCAAAAAGTTGCCCGATCTCGACAAATACTGGCGCGTTGTCAAAGACGATGCATCCGACTTTACCGGCTGGACATATCTGCTACAATACGTAGACAGCGAGGTATATCGATTATTCATCTAATCTATACAAATTGAAATAAACTTTTAATTATGCTCCAGTCCGATGCTGAGGCGGCGCGCGAAGCTTACGACACATTCCTGTCGCATTATCCCTACTGCTATGGCTACTGGCGCAAATATGCGGACTATGAGAAGCGCAAGGGTATTAAGGCCAATTGCTATAAGGTGAGTACCCCCACACATTTCAATGAAATTAAACATATCTTTGCAATTCTTTGTTTTACGCTTACTCTTACTTACGATTACGACAATTTGATATTCCACATATATATATTTAAATATATATATATATATATATATTTGTTATAATGCAATTTATTATAACTGAATAAAAATAACTACATTCAATAAAAGCAACAAATTACCAAAACAAAAGAAACTAAATTACGGAAAGAAAAAAGAAAGAACCAAATACAACTGACTCTCGACACCTTTTTAGTCATCGGTCAGTATCGGGTGTCAGCATATCAACGGGGTCCACGATTGAGCGATCCATTCTATATGCACTCGTTATAAATTTCAATTTTAGTTTTTAATGAATTTATTTGAACTTTATCTTTAGCTCTTCAGCATAGTTCAAATGTTTAATATTTTTCCATACATTTAATCAAAATGATTTCAAGTTTTACTGTCTTTTTTTGTATCCACCTAAATTAAATGATAAATTATACGCGTAAGCTAAACATTTCTTAATCGTAGGTTCCGGATTTTTTTTTTTATTGTTTTTTATTTTTGTTTGGACTCGACTCGTCCTCTTTTCAGAGTGTGTATTTAAATGATAATCGTGTTGTTTAAATGTGTGTGTTCACTTAGCTGTACCTTAGATGCAATCAATCGTTCACAATTGTTAATACCCATCATTCATGATCCTATGGGGGCGGCTAGTCGACATTTTAGTTTTATTCCCGATATGATGGATGCAGTTATTGTTGTTGTTGTTCTTGTTACATACATATGTATATATGTATGAGCAAATTGATGTATTCCACAACGCAAGTTGTTCACCACCAGTCCAGTTCCACAATCAATCAATACTCTCCAATTCGACTCGACAGTCGTCGTTTGTTCTTTTGTCAACTTCTCTGATCTTCGCACGTTCTCGTTATCGTTGTCGTTGTCACCACAAACAACTCTTCCTTCGACTCCTCCTTCAGCACGTTCTCGTGAGGCCGTAAGTAAGTACAAATGGCGTTTAAATGAAATTTTTAAGTCTCTCTGTGTAAAAAAAAATACTCAATACAAAACGTGTGTTATTTTCTGTGTCTACTTTATTACGTATTGTTGTTTTAGCTTATTTAAGATCATTATAGTAAACTATATAAGTTACAAAAAAGAAAAGAAAAAAACATCGACACCACCACCAAAAAATAAAAAGCCTGCAAGTTAGTTTATCAAAAATAAGTCTGAAGCGTGCTAAAATAATTTTTTTCAATTTTTTTGTAAATATTTCTATTTCTTCTCCACGGTCAAAAATCAAAATACATGAAAAAAATCGATTCAAAAACTTTGTTCTAAAAACATCAATTGATAAAAAACAAAATTAGGTATTTGAGCGCGGCCTGGAAGCCATTCCGCTATCGGTGGATCTATGGATACATTATCTGATGCACATCAAGTCGCACCACAGCGACGAGGAGCAATTCATCCGCAGCCAATACGAGCGAGCTGTCCAGGCATGCGGCCTCGAGTTCCGCTCCGACAAGCTCTGGGATGCCTACATACGTTGGGAGAACGAATCGAAGCGTTATCAGCGTGTCGTCCAGATATATGATCGTCTGCTCACGATACCCACCCAGGGCTACAACGGACACTTTGACAAGTAAGTCAAGGAGTGGTCTCTATCCTCTTTGTTTGCCTGCTAATAATATTTAAATTGCATCTTCCATAGTTTTCAGGATGTTATTAATCAGCATGCAATAACCGCCACCATTGGCAATGAGGAGCTGTTGCGATTGCGCAAGGATTGGCACGATCGCCAATTGACTAAATCCTCGAAATCTTCGTCCAGGAGTCGTCGCGATAGTGGCAGCTCCAAGGAAGCCAAGGGTGAGCGTGAAAAGGAACGTGATCGCGATGAGAAGCAGAAGGAAACTGCAGCTGATGGCAGTAAGGAGCCCAAGGAGGCCAGTGAAACAGCTGTGGAAGAATCCACTACTGATCTGACCCTCAGCGAATCCTCAGCCACATCGAAACCGGCGCCAATTGATTTCAGCGATCTCAGCACACTCAACGAGGAGGAAATTACTTCAATCAAGGACAAAGTCATTTCTGCGCGTCGCAAACTGCACAAGTTAACCGTTGGTGCGGTCACAGCGCGCTGGTCCTTCGAGGAGGGCATCAAGCGTCCATATTTCCATGTTAAGCCATTGGAGCGTGCCCAGCTGAAGAACTGGAAGGACTACCTGGACTTTGAGATCGAGAAAGGTGATCGTGAACGCATCCTGGTGCTCTTTGAACGCTGTCTCATCGCGTGCGCTCTTTATGATGAGTTCTGGCTAAAGATGCTGCGCTATCTGGAGTCGTTAGGTAGTATCGAGCACAGCCAGAATACAGTGGATATAACACGAGGTGTCTATCGGCGCGCCTGTCGCATCCATCATCCCGAGAAGCCCAGTCTGCATTTGATGTGGGCCGCCTTCGAGGAGTGTCAGCTCAATTTTGATGGCGCCGCCGAGGTGCTGGAGCGCATCGAGCAACGTTGTCCAAATGTGCTCCAGATCTCCTATCGCCGCATCAATGTGGAGCGACGTCGTGGCGCCCTGGACAAATGCCGTGAACTTTACAAGCATTACATCGAGGGCACCAAGAACAAAGCCATTGCCGGCAGTTTGGCCATCAAGTATGCCCGATTCCTAAATAAGCTGTGCCACGATCTCGATGCCGGCTTGGAAGTGCTGCAGCAGGCGCTCGAACGTGATCCGGCCAATACACGTGTCGCCCTACAAATGATCGATCTATGCCTGCAGCGGCCACAAGTTGTTGAGCCCGAGATCGTTCAGATTATGGACAAGTTTATGGCACGCGCCGATATTGAACCTGACCAGAAAGTGCTTTTTGCTCAGCGCAAAGTTGAGTTCCTCGAGGACTTTGGCAGCACGGCCAAGGGATTACAGGATGCACAGCGTGCACTCCAACTGACGCTCAGCAAGGCCAACGAGATGCAAAAGAAGAGGTTAGTCAAAAGAAATGAACTATTAAATCGAATCAATAATCATCGTGTTGTTTACCTCCCCTATAGCGATACAAGTCCAAGTCGCAAGAACTCCACTGGTGGCAAAGATGGTGGCAGTGCCACTGGTGGCGGCTCATCTGCACCACTCGCTGCCTATAACAATGGTGGATCGGCAGCAGCGGCGAATGCCAACTACAATTACAATTCGATGAACTCCGGTGCCTATTATGCCCAGCAGCAGAACAGTGGCGCCTATCCGCCACAGCAGCAACAGCAACAGCAGCAGTCGTACGACTCATATTACAGTCAATGGGGTGGTGGTGGTGGTTACGGCTCTGGTGGCGCTGGCACCGGTGCCAGCTATAATTATGGCCAGTGGAGCGGCTATGTCAACTACTATTAGACACAGACACAGACCGTTAAATTAGTGGATAACATAACGATATTTGTAGTTTTATAATGATTCTTATTAAAAATATGTAGCATACGTACGTATATATATATATATATATATATATATATGCATATTATACATATATATATATATGTGAATATACTTGCAAACCTCATTGTAGACGTCAGGCAGCCGCAAAAACAACAAAACCAATACAAATGCAAATACAAAATACAAACTACAAATACAAACTATATATACAAATAAAGAATATTAATTTAATCGGTTCACTGTAATCGCCATGCTTTACAATTTATTGCCAATTATATAATGTTGTTGGTGTTGTTGTTATCATGGGAGAGATAAGTGAATCATAAACGTTCCTAGTTGCTTAAGTAAAACAAATTTTGAGAATCGACGCATCCTCTAGAGGCATGGCCTGTACCAGGATATCTCACCGCCATTGCAGCCCGTCACTAGTAGTGGTTCTCTGGGGCTGAATTTGGAGCACAGCACCACATCCTGATGCTCGATAATGTTGGCCAGTTCGACCAGCTGCCTCGGACTATTTTTCATCTGCTCAACCATCATTTGGCTGGGATAATCACTGCAATCGTCCTGATACCCCAGCAGCCGCACCCCATTCGCATATGGTGAGCAGATGATGCGGCCATCCGCCGAGAAGCCCGGCTCCTTAATGAAACCGGGCTTGTTATTCGTCTCGGAAGCGTAGTAGAGCAGCTTCTTGGCATTCATCAATATAGTGTGCGAGGGATTCTCATACGATGTCGCCACAGCCGAAACGTTGCCCAGCTGTCGCATTGGCATATTTGGTCGAATCTCAATGGTGACCAGTTGGCTCGTTCCATTACTGCTGCTGCTGCTGCTGCTGCCACTGCGGTTGGTGCTGCTGCTGCTGCTGGTGCTACTGGTACTACTGGTGGTGTTGCTGCTGCTATTGCTTGTGCTGCTGCTCCTGTGGCTGCCACTGCCATTGCTGCTGCGAGGTGTCTCTGTGCTTGTCGGCGCCGCATCTTCTAAGAGCGGTCTGTCATCGACGACTACATTTCCGCCTCTTGTACGCATCACCGTTGAGCGCAATGGCAGCACTCCGCTGCTGATGGCATACACAAAGTTATAGCCACTGACATGATTGGTTTCGATGCGTGACCGGCTTTGGCGTATGGCTCGCTCCTGCACGGTTACCTCAGCTGCCCAGATGTCGGGTATGAAGCCATCTGTGCGTGTTGTGGGCACGGTGCCGGGCACGCGTCTCGGATAAATTACCCGTTGTCGCACTCTGGCCGGAAAACGTGGTGCTCCTGCCTGATGCTGCTCGTGATCCGATTGATCTGCCTGCTGTGCCAATCGTGTGCGATTCTTCTTGGCACTGGGCTCATCGTCATCATCATCATTCACATCATCCGTGGGCTGCTCTGGTTCCTCGTGTATATCATGTATGCATGTCCATTCGCTCTGCTCGTCGCAGCTCACGTTACGCGTCAGCATGCAACGGCACTGTGGATGTATCTGCAGGGCCATTATCATTTCAGCATCATTCTGTTCCGGAAAATCGGTGACGAGCTCCACGCGATTCTTTTTCTGACGCTTCGAGAAGACATGATCATATTTAGCTGCCTGGGGTATATACTGATCACCCATTTGCATAAGTCTATAGATGCCCGGCTAAAAATTACGTACAAGATTCTAACTCAAATTCGTATTTGATTTTATTGTTCCACTCACCCGGAAACCACACAGATCCTTGTGCAATGTAGTCAAGTCCAAGTGATGGACGATCATAATGTAACCGCTGCTGGTGCACAGAACCAATTTGTCACCCGATGGTGAGATGCGGCAACGCATCAGGCCGCTGGCATGAAAGACGCGCTGTGAGATCAAACCGTGCTCCGTGTGTGAGTTAATATCCCATGTGAATATGCTGCCATCGAAGCCTGATGTGACCAACAGTTTGTCCTTCGAAGAGTACTCAATGTTCTTCACCCAATTGGAATGACCATGGAGCAGGCGCAGTTTCTGCTTCATATTACGCAGATCCCACAGAGCAACTGTAAAGTCATCGGAGCCCGTTGCAAATAGGCGATCGTCAAAGAATCTAACAAAAATAAAATCAATCTGCAAACTGCTGATGACTGAGTGGATGATGTGCCACACTTACTTGATGCAATTAACGCTGTCCGTGTGTGCATCGGATATTTTGAAGATCTCGTTTTGTGTGATTGCATCAAAGACAAGGACGCATTTGCGTTCGGTGGCGGCTACAACAACATTGCCATCGGCATTGAACTCCAGATTGAAGATGGCACCCGTGTCCTGTCCGGCCTTGCCAGGATTGCAATTGGAATGATAACTGTTAAACATGCCCATCGAACTGTAAATGCGACGCATCACAGAATTCTCCTCGGCCGTGTGTTTATTTCGATGCAGCCAGCCACTCTCTCGTCGACGCAAATACTCCTCTATGGTGTGCATTGTTATTATTTCCTTATTTTTTTCGTACACAGTTCTGCACTCCGTTCCCAACCTTCTGTGGACTGTATATATATATAATAAAAAGAATAAAAAGTTTCTACGACTGCGTAGAGATGTCAATATCGGCGAATATGTGACTGTTCACCAAATACATTGTATATACCTAATTTTGTAGCACATTTAAAATATACTTACATACAATAATGCCCTGAACGTGTAAATAAATAGCAACACAGCTACAAGTTCAGTGCATATGTTTTTTTTAATTTTTATGTAAGATCTGTTAGTGTAGCAATCAGAAGAAATCACGGTATGTAACCATCATAAAATATCACAAGGTACATAAAAGACACAAGTATCAGGCTTTTAATTATATTGATTGTTGTATTATTTGTAGGCGTCTGCACACACAATCGGCGAATATTGAATATTCTCGAATTAAAATAGATTATTCCAAATCACTATATTGCTCCTCACTATTGTACTGTCTACGACTGCTCAATATTTTTCTCGCCTGGATGGGCAGCCCTGACTAGAGTGACCATGCTCTAATGAAAGAAGAAAAAAAAATAATTGTTTGGCCACACTTGCGCCTGTGGGTAATAAACAAAAAAAAAATTGATAATTTTTTGCGTCGAGTTCAACAAATAAATATGTAGCAAAAAGAATTTTGGGGTGTCTAATTAAAATCACTGCGCCACCAAAATGGAGCGCTTTGCTTTCAAGATTGATGGAGCGATCAAGGCGAACCTGTACAAGATCTGTCGCCTGTGCGGCATCGATAATCCGTCCAAGGTGAAGATTCTGCCAAACGCAAGCGAAATTATAGATCTGGACGAGCCCACACTGGGCCAAAAAGTCTTCGAGGTGGTTGGCTTCATGGTAAGCACAATATATTATTATAAATGGGCGTGGCCAGATTCTTAACAAAAAAAAAAAAAAAAACACCCCATTTTGCAGGTGGCACCTAATGACAAAATGCCACAGACAATGTGCAGCCTGTGCGTGGATAAAATCAATGATTTTTACGAGTTTCGAGAAATGTGCTATGCAACAAACGATCAGACCCGCAAATTGCTTGGCCTCAAGCCTCAATCGGAGCCACAAAGGGTAAGATACAATTATGCAGTGTCTCTCTTAAATGGCTAAAGCAATCCAAATGTTCGCTCCTCAGCTGATGGATGTAAAATCCATTTTTAAAACCGAACCGCTTAGCAAACGCGGACGTAAACGAAAAACGGATGACAATGTGCAGGGAGCGGCGGCTAGCAGTAGTAGCAACAGCGCCAAGCAAAGCGCATCGGAAATCCCATTAGATATGGTGAAAAATGAGCCTGTCGGCTGGCGAAAAAAGCAGCGTCTGCAGCAGCTAACAGCGAGCAAAACTGAAGTGTAAGTTAAAACATGTAAAAACGGTTTAATAGTAGACACGTCAGGATTAAATGCCTCTGCACACTGGAACTAATCCGCTGTCAATTAAAATTTGGTGCGGTTTTACTCTGTTTTTGTACGCTTAAAACGAATTTTGAATGTTTTCTAATATGTCCGATTGTTCCCATGACAGCTATATAATATAGGAGTATAGTAATAGTATAGACAGATCTAATTAAGGATATATATATTTTAAGAGGTCGAAGACTTCTCCACCTACGGGGGCATAGTTAAAGACAGATCAAATTTTAATCAAATCGAAATTGTATACTTTCCAGGAAGGAGGAGCCCGCAGAGCTTGATCCCCGGATGACGACGGGCAAGAAGGGTCGCAAGGCCAGTTGCAGTGTGTGTGGCGAGCGTTTCGAGAGCAAGGAGCTTGCCGAGGAGCACAAGAGTATCACTCACGTGCCGATGGTGATGCGCTACACATGCAATGCCTGCAATCAGAATCATCACAATCCCAGCGATATCAAGGCCCACCAACTGTGGCACAAGCTCTCCAAGACGCCGTATCAGTGTCCCCGGTGCGATGTGAGCGTTGCCAACAATTATGCGTTCAGTCGTCATCTGCGTGAGCATACAGTGGCCACACCACTTGAACTGCTCGTCCTGGATCGCGAGTGTCCGCTCTGCAGGAAGACGTTTCTCACGAATTACTTTTACAACACCCATCCCTGTGCACGACGCACTCGCAAGTGTGGCGGCTGCAGCCGGGTCTTAAGCAGTGAAGTCGCCTATATGCGACATGCACCATACTGTGCCAAGATCTACTTGAGTCACTCCAAGCACATAATGCCCGAGGCGGCTGACCGTGAGGCCGAGATGCGGATCAAGAATGAAAACGATCTAGATGTGGAGCCCACGGCATATGGTCAGGAAGGCAGCATGCAGCCGGTGGTTGTACTAGAGCGCTTGGGATCACCTCTCTTACGTACCATAGCCGGTAGCCGGAGCAGTGATCGTGTCTCATCGAAAAAGTATTTGAAACGCGTCGATCAGCTGCTGAAGAATACAATGAACACGCTGGTCAGCATCAAGCATGAGCCCGAGGTGCATATTGATGATACTGGACCGCAGCTGGAGAGTGACCCAGACGAGGAACCATCTCCATTTGATGATTTCCATGCAGGCAACGACGATAGCGATGAGGATGCAGCAGATACAGCAGCAGCCGATACAACAGCAGATATATCAACGGTATCCGTGAAACAGGAGCTCATCGACGAAGGCTACGAGCGGCAACAGATCAAACAGGAGCCGCTCAAGCTCAAGCTAAAAATTACCAATAATCATGGACAGCTCAATTCATCAATAGTTGATGATGATGACAACGATTTTCAGCAGCACCAGCTGTCGCGGAGCGCTAAAAAGAAAAGAAAACGAAAGCACAAGGAGCGCAATAAGGACGCGGAGGCAGAAACGGCGGAGGAGGAGACGCCGCCAACCGATGCAACCGAGCGAACCACGGAAGAAATACAAGTATCAGCCGAAGCAGTTGGCAGAACCATTGTAACAGTTAAACAGGAACGCGACGATGAAAGCTATGCGGATAGTTGTGAACCACAAGCCACGGTAATGACGAGTATTCCCATGCTCCAGCTGGACAGCAGTTTTGCTGAGGTGAACCAGGCGACTGTCGAGGCGGAAGATGTGAAGCCAAATCGTTTGGAACTCGATCGTCTGATGAAAATCACGCATATTGCGAGTGGTGTCGCCATGGCCGAGGAGGCAACACCGCCGGAGAAAGCTGTGGAAGCGATACCCAATGAAATTCCAGCCAATCCCATGCGGAAAAGTGCCACAAAGTCAACAGCGCGTAAGAGCACTGGTGGAGCTGCCGCAGCTGCAACCACATCAAAACCACCGCCAGCTGAAAATCAGCTGCCAAAAATTGTGTCTGTGGAAAGCGGTGCAGCGTTGCCTTTCAATATACTGGCTATTAAGCCGGAGCCACTGAATCGTGGCTATGCAGATGAGCAGGTGGCATGTACAGATCAAAGAGAAGCACATAAAGAGATCAATCACAATGAGAAAATCGACGAGGAAACCAGATACATCAATAGTCTAGATCTAAGCAATGTTATAATTAAGCAGGAAAAAGATTTACACATCTGCGATGTGAATCTCAATGGCAGCGAAGCTGACAACGTGCTATACAATGGATTGCGCGAGAGTGTGGACGATGACGACGACCACGATGATGATGATGATGGTGGTGATGATGATAGTGCATCATCTGCTGATGAAGCGGACGAAAATATGGACACGCTTGAGGAACAGGAGGTGCGCATATACCGAGAAATTGAGCTACCTCTTTTAGAGGAAGAGGAACAGGCACGGAGTCCAGTTAATCAATCAACGACAGCGGAGGTGCACAACGAGTCAGTAATTTTGGTACAGCAATCTGCACCAGCGCCAAGCGAGTCAAAAAGGACGGGGAATGTGCAGCTGGGACAACCTCCGCCCTCAATTGTTGGGCCACCAAAGTCACCAGGTGAACCAGAAGATAAATTTACGAAGTTGCAAAGCGAGTCTGAGACAATGGAGCAGGAAACAACACCTGACGCGTTAGTGGAGCAATATTCAGAACAAGAATCACCATTGGGCGCGTTAGTGGAACAAAGCGTCTCGAAAGTGGAGCCAACCCATTTAGATAATACGCTGGAAACAGATGACAAAGTGAAAGATTCGCAAACCGTTGTAGGGGCTATGCCCATAGCAGAATCGCAAGCGGAGCCACCAGATGGTCTACAGCCTGACAACATCCTGGAGTCACAAAGAGAGCCACAAAATGCGGCATTAGAGCAAAATCTGCTACAGACAGAAAGTAAATCAGGAAAGAAAACAGAGACGATAACAGAAAAGAAATTAGAGCCACAGCCAGGGGAGTCTCAGCAGTCACATTTTGGATTGGTTATCACAAACGTTTGCAGTCAAGCAGCGGATAACCCGTTGTCCACATCGAGTAAGGATGCGGAGTTGACTGAAAAGAGTGTGGAGAACATTGTGAGTGCGCCCAAGGAAGCTGAAACACTGGCGCAGCCATTCTTTAACAACTCCTCCACATCGAACGACAATTGCGATGAGGAGCAACAGAATGTGCTGAATCACGAGCTGTCATCGGCCAGTGGGCAGCCAGTGGAAGAAGCTGATGAGCAGCAGTTGGAGACGGAGGAGCAGCAGCTGGAAGTGGAGGCAGGACCCTCAAGCGCAGCCTGCTGCGAGCTGCTCAATAATGAAGTAGATAAGGAAGAGACTGACAACCGAATCAATGAGCAGCAGCAAGAGTTGCAACACGTGCAACAACAGCCGCGCTGCCTGGTAAATGATTATGATTCGAATATCAATGAGATTGCCGAGAATAATAATAATGCCAACATTGAACGGGAGCTCAACGACGATGCGAATGTGGTTGCAGCTCAGGAAAACCCAATAACATAAGCTACTCTCGATATAAGAAAATCACGGTACTCTAGAGATTAAATACTGTTCACTTATATATATATATATATATATAGTCGCCATATCCACCATCCCCATATACAAAAATTGTACATATGCAATGCATGTAATTCATTTGTAGCTCAAACGAAATTCGTATCTGAATCGCGTAATACTCCTCGTATGTTATGTAAATAGAAATAAGCAATCAACAAAATCAGAATAAAAAAGAATCCTTATTAAAGATTATGAAATTATGTTAAGTTAGATATACACAACTTTATTTACGTAAATTACATAAATTAATGGCTTATATAATACAATATAGAGCATAGATGTATAACTATTTATGTATATAGAATATATGTACTTATTTAAATACACAAAATCGCACAAAACACTATATCTTTTTCTCTCGAATCATTGACTCACACATACACACATGATTCATTTACTGTTGTTTCGGGAATATAGTTCAAATATATATATACATATCTATATATATATATGTATTCCAATTTTCACGCATACATACATAAAGAAATGACTACAAAATTTGCATTTAATGCACTTTTCACTAAAAGCATTAATACTTGGGCATTACTAGTGCCAGTTTAATTTAATAGACGGCAAAACAAAACAAAAAAAACCATTGGTTATTGGTTAAAAAACAGGAGCTGACAGGAGCTTTAAGTATTAGCTTCTTTCCAAGAAGCCTAGGAAGCATTATCGTCTGGAGTTTGGTTAAACACATAGTTATATTTATAAAGGGTATACATTATTGTTGTTTTTTTTTTCACTTCACTTATTCCAACAATTTTGCTAGTTATTGAAAGTGTTCATAGTTTTGAGCAAGGATTCATAATAATAAATGTTAATTGATTCACAATTACAATTAGTCAGTTATTTTGGGAGCAATTTGCAAAGTAAGTTGATTTTATACTGATTTTAAATGTATATTTTTATTATATTTAGTTAATTAATTGGATTAAATATACATATTCTCATTCACATTCAGTTATTATCGCTTGTGTATTTTCGCATTCGCCTAGTTTAAATGTTAGGGATACGCATAGCTAAAGTTTCCAAAGTTGAATCTCTCTCTCATTGACCTAGACTAACTAGCTTTGTAAGTTAGGCACATTTTTTACAAAAAAAAAAAGTCTTAGGTCTTCTACACAGCAGACTTTAGCAATTAGGGGTTGTGTGTGGATTTCTTTTGACAGGGGCTTTTCAAAGTTTCCTCTTTTTATTTGGCACAAGTTAAGCATATACATAAATATATATATGCATATATTTATATATATATATATATATATATATATGTATGTATAGTTTACGATTATTGTTGTGGCAATACACATGATACATATTCCTATGTATGTACATAAATATTATTGCTGTTTTTATTGTAATAATTTAAGTAATTTTCCTTTTTCTTTTTGATTATGAATTTGATTTTTGAGCAATTGAAGGGTGGATATGCATAGATGAACTTGAAAAAACAATACGTAGCATTATGCTGTTTATACTGTGCATACTTGTAATAATTAGTTAGATTGTTTTGTTTGTGTTTCTTTTTGTTCGTTTATAATAGATTAATGTTAAATTAAAGAGGTATGAAAATTCACTAAACAGTATTTACAGCGATTTATCGATGGCGATAGATCATAATTAAATTATTGCTTATATTTGGAATAATATTTGCCACACATCATCATCGATCAACTCGAGTCACCACTATAGATTTGATAATCTAATCGGACCATTCATCGTTGTCCGAAGAAGTTCCTTCCTCTTCGTCGTCCGACTGAATGACTGCGGCACGTGCCTTAAGTGCAGCATTCAGTGCATCTGCCAAAGCATCAGACTTTTGGGCCGTTCTGCCTTCCATGGCCTGATCGGACAGTACACGTTCCGACACTGGCTTGAGAGCAAAGCCTCCGCGTATCTGACCCAACAGATCGTTACGGGGATCGCTGCTGCTGCTGCTCGTGCTTACAGGCTCAACTGACTGCAAGTGGAGGATATGGTATAGATATATTTTGGAGGACAGCCTTTTCAATCACTCACCTTTAACGGTTTGCCCTTGCGTATGGCATCCATTAGCGCATTGCGCGCATCTGGCTCTGCTGACGGCGCCTGGGCTTTGCTCGCCTGAGCTGTAGCCTGCGTCGCTGGGATGATTGGCATCTCCGCCACGGGCATGGGTGGGGGTGGCGGAGGTGGCGGCGGCGCTACCGCTGGTGGTGCTGGCGGCGGTGGTGGCGGCGGCTGCAATAAAATTGTTTAATTAAACAAAAATAAATAGCTTTTTATGTAAAAAATTACCGCTGCTGCTGGTGGACAAACCGCTGATGGTGGTGGTGGCGGCGGTGCCATATTAATGGGTGGCGGTCTGCTGGGTGGTGGAGGTGCGCGCGTTGCTACCGTTGCCATTGGGGTAGGCTGCTGCCGCGCCGGTGGTGGCGGTGGTGCAGATCTTTGGTTGCCATTTGTTGACTGCAAGAAAAGAATATTTAATTGGAATACAATAATAATATAAGCTCTGCTCACATGATGGGGATGACGACTGGGCACCGGCGGCGGCATATGTGTTGTGGGCGCTGGTTCACTTTCCGTTGGCGATTCAATCTCCTCCTGCTTAACCGAGGCCAGTACATTATTGCTCTGTATAAAGTCATAGATGAAGGCACGCGTATCCCGATCGTTTAGTTGCGTTTCGGAAACGCCTGCCTTGGCAAAGAACTTGGTGAGCATCTCGTCGCTCTCATTGCCCGTCAGATCGAAACCCTTGTCCGCATCCCAGCCGACATGGCTGATGTGCACGAAATTCATTGGTGTGCTAATGTCCTTTTTGGTCACCTTGGGCTTCTTATTTTTGCCCGCCGAACCGCTCAGTCCAAAGTTGCTGGACAAGAAGTTCTTTGTGGGCGCCGGCGCTGGTGCTGGCGTTAACCTAACCGAACTGATCTTATTGTTGCGCAGCTGCACAGCACCGCTATCCGCCGCCGTCGACGTCGTGCTCATCTTGCCCTGCATGGCAGGCGGACGCGCTGGCTCTCGCGGTACAGGCGGCATTGGTACATTGGGCGCCTGTTGCGATTTCTGGCGGGATCGCTTTTCCAAGCGCTTCCGATTGCGTGTCTCAATTGTGGCGTCCATCGTGCGAAAGAACGAATCGCATTCATCTTCCGAGATGAAGTTCAAGCCCACATTACCGTCCTGCAAATGGAGAAATCAATATTCTTCACATTGTTATTCGTTTTTTTGTTTGTTAGGTATTCGAATTCGACTTACGCTGCCCTCGAAGGTAAGTAGAAAGGGTCGCGACTTGACAATCTGTATGCCATCGTAGACCTCATGCTCCCAGATCAGTTCGTTTTTAATCAGGCAATAGGCGCGCAGAAAATAGGATCGTATGGCGCTATCCTTCACAAAGCAAACGACGCCCGTATACTTCTTCTTCCAATGGGAATGGGCATTTCCCTCCGTCTTGTAGATCTGCACAACGGCAGTATTCAAGGTCTGTAAAAATGTGTAACAATGGCTTATTAGCATATATTGCGTTATCAACGAACAGGCGAACAATGTAAATATATATTAGAGCTGTCTCTCGCCGATTAGCCAAGAGTAAGCGCACCTTAAATTTGCGTCTCATTTGAGAAACAACACAACAAAACAACACAAAACAGAAGTCGAAGTGTCGTGGACTGTGAACCGTCGCGCCTGAGTTGAGAAACTCATCTGACTTTCGGTTTTGTGCTTTGGCCCGAGCTGGGCCTTTGGCCATATGCTGCTCATCTGAATACCGATTAGACATATTCACATTCACATTCACATTCAAAGACGCATTTGCATTTGCAAACCAAACTGTCAACTGCATCGCTAATCTGGCCACTTATGATGCCCAGCACGTCGTCAGGCAACAATTGATAGCAATGGGTTACACAGGGAGAAAAGCATTGCAAGTAAGTGCAATTTGGTAAAACATACTGCATATGCCTAGAACGATTTGCTCAAAAGTGAGCACAATAAGGCTACAAATATCAATACAAAAAAATATAATTGTAGTGAATTGCTTTAAATAAATACGTTAAATAAAAAAATATTTTTTTACGGATTGGTAAAAGTTGTCAAAAGCCAGCTGAAAGCATCTGCAAGCCCATAAAATATATATATTCGTGATCAAAATCACTAGCCAAGTGGATCAAGCCTCCGTCTGTATGAACGATCGGATCTCAGAGAATTGGCTTGAACAATAATATTAATTCCGGGGCTATAAAAATTGTTGAATATATTTGCTGATTAGGATTCTGGATTTCAATCGGTAAAAATGCGGTTCCGATTCCGTTTTTGGTTTTATCATTCTTCATTTTTTTATTGTCAACATCAATATCAAATTGTGATTGGTTTTCTCTCTGTGCACTCGCCAATGACGGACTGACAACTGGCTACTGGCAAACTGGTGGACTCCATTGGGAGTCTCTGGCAGACTTGCACAATATGCACTGTGTTATTCCGTTTCGTCTGCGCAACGGAAATCGTATTTGTGGTGAGGTGATTTGTAGATGGCATTTTTATTGGCAACACGAAGGAAATGCTGGCGACAGCGGCAACAATAACTTGGGCCACCAAACTGCCGCATTTAAAATCCTTGCCTTGCCAAATGTGTCTATAGGCATTTCGTGTGCTGCAAAAGAAGCAAAAATGTTCAAGACAACAGCATATAAATCATTAAATCGATAACAAAGAAGAACTTCAACTTTCAAGAGTTTCTAAATTCCAAAACAAAAGATCATGAAATATTATGATGGGCTGACAAATGGAAAGCCCGATGAGCAGAGCTGTAAATCAAATGTTTTCTATTTATCTATTGCTTGACGAGGAATTCGCAAAAGTTATTTGTCTTTGAATATTGTTTGGTGTTAAACAAAGACATTTTGTTTGTTAACCTAGCTGTGTAATTCTCTTAGAAAGAAGATTTAGTTATTAATGCTGAACAAGAATATGGCAGGCTAAGCTTACATTGTAAATACACTTTTACGTGTTGAGTTATTGTCAAAAAATGATGCTAATACCTTTTGTTATTACACTTTTTAAGGCCAAACAACTTTTTGCTAATATGCATGTAAAATGGCACGCTTTTATTTCTGTTAAAATTCTACAATTAAGTATCTTTAACTCTAAGTTCAAAAGTATTTGCTTAATTTTTAAAACACAGACCGTAGCTATCAACAATGTGGAGCATATTGTTGTTGAAAATAATTACAAAATCAGTCGTACTCAAAATTCAAGAGTCTCCAAATCAATATAATTATTAAATGACCAAAATTTATTGTGCTTTTATTGAGTTTTGCCGGCCATGGCCACACAGCACTTGACATTTGGCCAAAAACAGCTGGCCATGACCGTACGGTGAAGCACACTAAGTAATTGACCGAACTTGTCCCGGCCAAAAGAAGAAAATGTTTATGCAACACCAAGGAAACATTGAGCATTTTTGTAACAGAATCATTTTCTTATTTTCTGTTCTTATTTTATATGATATTGAAGGGTTACCAATCCATTTTGGACCATATCCCCAGAAATTTCATAAATAATTCTCATTTTCTTTTTAATTTTAAATGTTGATATTACATTAAGTTTTTTTTTTTTTTTTTGTGTAAACAGACTGATATTTGTTGACACTAAATAAATAAATTAAAATACCTTTCCAAAAACTATATATAACACTTAAGCATGGATAAAAGCTATAGAAAAATGCTCGATATATACAAATTAATAGTGTGTTGGCTTGTATTAGGTAAAAGTTGCTAATGAATATATATTTGAATGCATACATATTTATGTATTTCTTTATCACCAAATGACGACGACTCATTTTAGCTAAATATATGATATGTGTGTCTCCCCACAGCTCTTTCTGTGACCTCTGCGTGTCTGTGTAGAGATAAAAGATACGTTGACGTTGTTGTTGATGGTTGTTTTGTTGCCCACGCGGCGCAAGTGCGAAATTGTGAACATATTTGAATTTTTATTGACGCCTTAAGGCATGTGTGTGTGTGTATGTGTGTGTGTGTGTGTGTCGACATAAGTAGCATTGTAAAATGATGTCTTGCCTTCTATGTACAAACGACTTGGCTACAAGCTGGTTGATGTTGTTGTCGTTCTGTTGCAGCATAAAATCGATGGCAACAACAACAGAAATATAACTGGCCGTAACAGCTCAGCTTGGCTAAGTCTATATACAAATGCATGTGTGTGTGTGTGTTGAGGGCAAAGGGAGCAATGGAGCGCATTAAAGACCAGCTATAACAACAACAACAACTAGGAACAGCAACAGCAGCGTCTGCAAAACGGCAACACTTTGAAAGCCAGACAGACAAAAGGCAAAACAGCAACTTAAAACAGCAATTAGAAAGTCCAGTTGCCAGTTGTCTGTTGCCAGCTTGCCGAGTTAGTTGGTCAACAAACAGAAAATAAGCGTACACAAATAGCAGATGTCAACAAATGAGCGACAAATGGATTGCAACAACAACAACAACAACAACAGCAACAAACTATGAAGTAATTCTGCGAGAGGTTATCACAAAACGGAATTACACACACAAAACGATGCCGACGACTGCGACTGCAACGCTGTGTCATTAACCACAATCAGCGTTTTGGGGCGCAATGTGGGCGTGGCTTTCTGTAACTAATCTTACAGCACATTTTATATATTTGTTAATTATTTTGTATTTATTATTAAAGACGTACAAAGAGCTGCGGTCTAAATAATCGTTGATTGCTAATTCAATTTAGATCATTTCAATATTTTTATAAAGCAAATCATTTCCTATTCCTTTCTGTTCCATCTCTTGGAACAGTCAAAAGTACTCCAAAGGCGTTTTCGACAATTCAAAGGTGATAGTTCATCAGGAAGTACTGCATACAAAGTAAAAAATGTATCTTTCCCAAAAAAATTTGAAATAGAAAATGAAATGAAAAATTTCTTATAGAATGGTTTCATTATCGTCTGGTTGGCTTACACGAAAAATTCTGGGAAAACATTGTGCCCGTGCGAAGCCGAAATCTACATAGACATGTATATCAATTATTGATCGTATCCATTTATTTCTGTCGAGCTTAATTTGTTCGCTTGTCTGTCTAACTAAAGGTGCCACAGGTTAAATAAATATATTGAATGCATATATATCTAATAAATATATTTTGATTACATTTATTGTTGTCCCTTTTATATTACTTATTGTAATATAAATATTTGAAGACTCTAAAATAATAATTCGCAACTATCAGTTTCGAATATCTATGTTACATTTTATTTAACATCAATTTAACTTATTTTTTTTTGGTAAATCCAGGGTACAGGGTATCTAGAAGTTGAAAACTGAAGGAGAGCAGATTAAATTGGATGGGCTTACATGTGGGCAAGGGGGGACAATGGGCCATGTGGTGTGTGTCATAAAAGCGAAAAATGTTTTTTTTTTAATTAGACTGTGCCCCAAATTAAACGGGTTCCCATGGGTATAATGGCATGTGATTTCAAAAAATGGAAAATAAAAAGAGCATAAAACATGGCTTATATTATAAATGATGATAAAAATATAAAACTGAGAACCCCCCTTTGAGAAAGCTTGCTCCGCCCCTGCCAGCTGGCTTTGAGCATTTTTTCGCGCAAAGCAAAAGTTGAAAAGCATTTTAAATGTTTGTCAATGGAAAGTCGAAAATTAGCAAAGCGTGAATTACAATTAAATATTAAAGCAGACAGCAACAACTTTTACATATCGTGCAAGCAATATAATTATGAACATATGAACATTTGTACATTTGTTTCGCATCGTAAAATTTAAAGTGTGGTTAACAGCGAATAAATTTGGGACCAACATTTGTTGGGCATGTTTCTAAACGTTCTCTAAGGTCTTTAATTTTGTTATCTTGTGTGTGCTTGGCATTGGTTATGGAATTGCTAAAGTTGGATGGATGGGCCCGATAAGATAAGTGTGTCCAGTATTTGCTCTATACGCATTTATCAATTGCAAACCCTTATCAACATTGAAAAACGGTTTTTATCGTTTCGTTTAGCGCCTAAAAAAAGAGCTTTACAAATAAGCCGAAAAATAAAGACCAACAAATATTCGCTGATAACAATAAAATGGGTTGAAGAATATTTTGCTAAATGCGCCTGTTGAATTACAAATCGCATGAATAACATTTGGAAAATAGTGTCACGGACTCATCTAGTGTTACCAAGGTTCCTTCTTTTTAGCATTCAATTGGAATCCATTCATTATTGTAATTTTAGGCGTCCCTCAACCAAATGCACTTGCAGGAAGCGTTTAATCAAGCTTAAAATGAGGCAAAAATATTGCACACACACACAGTACTACCTTGATATGTGTATAGTAAGCAACATGAACAGATAAGAAGAGAATTTAAAATGCAAACATATCTTTATGATTTATGCAAATTATTATGGATTCAAGAAATTATGATTCATTTGTGTTTCCATTTATACAAAAGGCAGAAGCTAAATTTAATTTCGACTGCTAAATTTGGATAAAAAGTGTCGCATATATTTGAAAAAAAAAATCAAATCTTAGTTTCTAGTCAGTGCTAAAAAGCATTTACGCTTTAAACTCTAACAATAAAAAATATTCAACAATAATGTAAAAATTTACAAAAAGCTAAAGCAAGGTAATGCAAGTATTGACTATCCACCACATCGATGGTGCACTGTACATACATATATTCGTACATATGTTTTGCGTTTTGTGTTTCAATTGCAGAAAAACGCGACGTTCATCGCCTACGCAAAATTAATCATGCCGCGTTATTCACTCTTATATATATATATTCGCATCGCTAAATACTTTTACTATTTGTATGCGTAAATTAATCATGCTGGAGAGACTCACCTGGCACTTGCGGCCCAAGAGCCGGAAAACGGCATCATTTTCATCTGGGGTCAGCTGTGTGCTGCTCGCATTGTTTTTGGGTCGCGACAGCCCCCCCGCTGCTGCTGGCCCCTCCTGTGACCTCATGCTGCTGCTCGTACTGATCATTTATGCGGCGGCGCAACGGCTTTGCTGCTGTATATTTGTATATTATTAATGCATTTATTATTATTATTAAACCGCACACAATAAACTCATTAATTGAATAATATAGCCCCAAAAATAATATATATATATATGGAATCACAGTTATTGCAAAAAGTTGTTGGTCAAATGGATTTGATTTATTTTTTTCTTCTTTCGACGTATTAAAATGAGTATGAATGAAAAAGAAATAAAAACAAAAAACGCGCCCGAGACGAAGACGATGAAGAAGAAGCAGCGACAACCGCAAATGGTGACAACAACAACAACTATTGTAATATTGGGGCGCTGGCAAAAGAAAGAGGCAGAAAGGTTGAGTCACAGTTAGCCCCGTCAGTCAGTCAGTCAATCAGTCAATCATCAGTTAGTCAGTTAGTCAATGCGCCAGCTGCGTATTAAACTGCTTTCGGGCTGTGTTTCTTATCTTTGGCAATACCACAATCACTGATTAGATGTATGCATGTGTGTGACTGCTTGTATGTGTGTGTATACATCATAGCCATGCGAGTGAAGTTATTCAACAAATACACAAATACACTTTAGAAATGCAATAAAACTCGTCCAATAAAGATGACTGTCAAATGACGAGATCGATGACAACAACAACAAAAACAACACCTGTCTGCTCGACAACTTAAACCAGGTGGGGTAAAAATGTAAATAGACGCTTGAAAATACAGCAGACACACAGACGGACAGACAGTCAGAGCCCAGTCAGTCACACACAAAAAGGGGTTTCAAGGTCTTTTGGCGCTGTTGTCGCCATGTTGCACAGATTCTAACAATCATTGATTTTTTTCCGTTTTTTTTTTTCGCACGAATTGGTTTGTTTGTCACACATTCTTAGCTCACTCGTTGGTGTTGCTGCTTTTCGCTGCCTTTGGCCTGCTTGTTATTTATTTTTTTTTAGTAGTAAAAATCTTAAAACACCAGTGCAGTGTGGTCGTAGTTCGAAAACAGCAAATTACACTGTTTGCGTCCGATAATCGAGAATAGAGTTGTCATCACTTTGGTTTGTGTAATTCTGTAATCGTGCAACCAGCTGATTATCGATAACGAGCACTGGCCGCAGACTACCAAGCCGTGAATTAATGCGCGCGTTAATTTAAAAGTGATTTCAAATTTGCATATTATTGAAAATACAATTGAGTTTAATTCAACCAAGGCGATTTATTAGTACAATACTCATACTTGCTCCCCTGTACGATGAGAAAAGTGATGGCCAACAGACCAGTGCCCAGACTATCCCCGAATGCCGTCAAATATGGTATCGCCGCGCTATCCGGATCAATCTTAAATATCCATAGAGCATGCACAAGGACATGTGCCGACAACAACAGAATAATCAGTTGCAATAAGCTGGCCACTGTAAAAGCGATAACAAATACAAAATACACAGTTGAATCTAGCGAATACATATAGTCGGCCAAATAGGCCTGCATCAAACTACCGGGTATCGAAATGGCGATCACAAGACGCGAGACACGCGAATAGATTGTCCCATAGCACAGCGCATGCTGCGGCATCTCAAAGATCCTGGTGCCCTTCGGCAGTTTTCCCAGTGGTGTTCGCTGGTGCAACAGCGAGCTCATATTATTCGCTTGAACCGATATCAAATTGCCGGCACTGCCATTGATAACCGGCGAGAATAAAGTGAAGCCATTAAATTGCTCCGCCGAAGCGCCAAGGATAAAGCCACAAAATTCACTGATGCACAGGGCGCCAATCACCGATATCCAGCCATAAAATAGCACAGGACGTGTTTGCGCATTATGTAGAGCCAGGGCGATGCAGAAGGGCAATAGCACCAGCAGATAGGAGCCAACGATGAGCACACTGACCCACCTCAGATCGTAGAGACTGGCGGCGGTAAAGGCGAGCATGCTGACCGATGTCACATCCCCAATTGAGGCCACAATGGGCGTGGCAAAATAGTCCGGATTAAAGCGATAACGCTGCGAGAATAAAATACCCAACAGCAGCGCTGAGTCCAAGATCAAACAGGATGTGGATGCGGTTATAATCGATGCGGAAATCAGTGTAGTCAAATTGCTCAAGTCCAAAGTGTTGCTCACAATGCACTTGATGATCATTGTGAAGATGGCCAGCAGTAAGGAGCTGATGATCGCCTGCACCTGCACCAGTGCCACATTCCCAATGATTATGTTGCGTATATTGGAGAATTGCCGCAAATGTCCCAACGCCGCATGGGTGCAGAGACGCGCTGCGACGCACATATCGAGATTACCCTTCAGGCCGCATAGTCCCGGCACGATCATTGTCAACTCTCGCATCTGCTTGAACACCAACCAGTTCTCCACATTGCCGAACACCACTCCCGCCGTTATCGTGCCCAGGCTGGCCAGCCCGAACGGTATCAGGATCTGGATGAGTGTTGCATACCATGGCTCCCTATACACTTCATCGGCATCCTCATCTAGCTCCGGCAAATTTGGTCGAGCAGCGGGAACGTCAACTGCCTCAACAGTGGGCGGTATCCCTCCACTTGATGAAATCATCAAGCAAAATAACTACAAGTTGTATCAATTTTGTTTCTCCATTTGCCAGTTAAGGCAATGCAAATTATTCAAATATTTGTTCCATTATTTGTGTAGTTACACATAGCAAATGAGATAAACAGATAAACAATTCATAAAAGATTCTTGATTTTTGACAGAATATTTTCATGATCCTAAAAACGTCTTTCAAGTCTCACATTACTTTTTAAATTAGTAGTTCGCTAGATCAGGTTTCATATACACATACAGCCAGTTAAATTTGAAGTTATATGTTATATAAAACATGGCATAGAACCGGAGTTGGAGTCAGTCGAATCAGATCGCTATATCAGCATATATCGCTATATCAATGGATTTTTATGGATTTCTCGATATTTTGACCAAAATTACGCTAAAAAGTAATAGTTTTTTAATTGATAACCAGTGCTCTAAGCAACTTTGGAGTCATATATAATATATAGACCACTTTAGAATATAAGATCATATAGTTACCATATCAGCGATCTATCGATTCATGTGTTGTTGTAAGATCAGAATTAAAGCAATTGTTTTTTGTCGAAAAGCATTTCGTTTTATTAAATGTATATAGATATATTTGTATTAGAAATGTAATCGGCTTAAATCAAAACTAACTACAAATCGCAGAGTGGTAAATTCTCAATACGAAAGCAGCTAAAAGTACACGAAATACTAAAATCAAATAAAGTTAAAATATTAATATATATATATATATATATATATATATATATATATATATAATATGAACGTCGAACGCGCGCGTTTTGAATACTTAAAAAGCAGTGACTATAAATCTTGTTTCATTTCATTTCATTCTCAAATAATATTTGGTTTTGCAAAGGAAGTTCATAAAAAATAATAAAAACGCTTAATAAATGTATGTTTTTTTTTTCTCTTCTCTCTTTTGATTAATTTAGGCCCAACTACTCACAAACCTCAACATTTTGATCATATATATTTAAGTTGTACACATTTTAAAAGGCCTGAAATAATAACTAATATATAATTATTGTTATTATTATTATTAATATTATTATGCAATATATTTGGCTACACACTTGGAACTTGGAGCTTGGATTATAATGCTAATGTTTTAAATCGCTCCACGTTTCTGACTGTGATTTGTGGATTAGAGATAGGGATTTGTTTTGTTTTGTTTTGTTTTTTTTCTACTAGGCTCTCTTATCGAACTAGCTACACTTCTATATAAAGTTTTGTATAGATATTGATTAAGTATATATATTGATATATATATATATATCTATATCAAATAAAACATTCTTTTGCTGATATCTGTGCGTTGTTCAAAATGCAAGACTTTTGTTTTTCGCTTTCTATTTGCGTGCGCCTCCAATGGGCAGCCGAGATTTGGCCACGGGAGCTGTGGATTTGGTTGCCTCCGGCGTATTGTCGAATGTGGAGCTGCGCAGTAGAAGTTTGGGACGCGTCGCTACTGCTCCACCATTCAGCATATTGGAAGATTTCGTTTGCTGCGTCCTCAAATTGGATGTTGATTTGGTCGGTGTCGTCTTTGCCTTTGTCGTTGTCTTCGCTTTGGTTTTGGCCTCATCGACACGCTTCCAAATGTTGGCGATGCGACTCTGCGCCTGGCCAATCTTCGCCGATTCATTCAGACTCGAATTGCTGCGCGATGGCGGCGTTGTGGTCGACACTCGCGCTGCTTGAGCTGCGACACGTGATGCTGCGGCTGCCTTGGCGCTGGCCAGACGTATATTCGTATTGGCACGTTGCTGTCTTTGCTGCTGCTGCTGCTGCTGACCGGCCACGAATCGCTTGGGTGAACTGGTTGGTGTTGCTCTTGTTGCTGCTGTTCCTTTTGTTGTGCACTTTGTGGGCAGCTTGGAGGAGGCGGCTTGTCGTTGCGTGGGACTCACTGCTTCCACAATGGGCACCTGCACATTGGTGTGCGTCGGCTCATCCTTGACAAAGGTGCCCTGACGCTCCAGGCGTGTGTTGCTCACTGTTGTTGTTGTTGCTGCTGTTGCAGTTTTTGTTGTTGTTGCAGTTGTTGTTGCTTTCTTCTTGGCGGGCAGACGTTGGCTGCTGGGCAACGCATTGCGCCTGGCTATGGTCGGGGAGAGCGTCTTCTTGGCCTCCCGCTGACCCTGCATGCTGTAGGGCGAGATGTAGGCGGGCTTCTTTCGGCCACGCACAATCTTCACAGCGGTGGCTGGCGGCAAAGTGGCCTGCTTTATCTCAGCTCTGACAGCAGCTGGCGGTGTTTGAGCGCGACCATGACACGATTCCGTCTCCGAATTCTGTTCACCCTCGCAGCTGGGCGGATCATCCACAGCAGGAGCAGGCACAGCCGGTGTCATCTCCTCCTTGGGCAGACCAATATTGATGTCGGTAATATAGGTAAACTGTTGCATCATGGCGCGCATCGAGGACAACTGTTCGCTGAGGCCGTCATCCGGCTCCAGCTCCTGCTCCTGCTCCGACTGTTGCCCCGGCTGGAGTAGCAATTGCCTGGGACACTCAATGAGCTGGGTCTTGTAGCGTTCGGCGCTGCCACGTCGTCGTCCATTGATGCGTGGCACAGGCGTCATTGGAGCTGCCACAGCCACTGCGGACTCCACAATCTCAATCTGTAGTGTTTCATTCGCCTCTGCGTCCAGGTCGGCCACAGCATTGCTGGTGATGGTGTATGTCTTGTAGCGATCCTTGGCCAGGCGACGCTTCTGCTTGGGCGTCAGCGTGCGACGATTGGGTGAGGGTGTCGATCCTTGCTTCGGTGTCGACTCCGCCGAGCTAAACTCATCATTCATGGTGGCATCCTCCTCCTCCTCCTCCTCATCATCATTGTAATCGCAGCAGCTTTGGAGCACGGTTAGAGTTAATGTTTGATCATCGCCAGCTGCTGTCTCATAATTGGACACCGAAATTGTGGTGGCCATGCTGCAATCCAGTTCGGCATCCTCGGCGACCTCCGATTGTATGCTGTCCACACTGATCATGGAGTCGAGCAGCTCATCCATTAACGATGGCGGCTTAATGTTATCCAATAGATTACAACAACTGGAATTGACACTCTCCGCACTGCCCGCCAGCTGGCCAAGGGCACGTCTCGCCACCAGACCCGCTGGGAATGGCTTGCGTGCAAATCTCGGTGATTTACCGGGCAACAGCAGTTGGCGCAACGAACTCGGCTGGGTGTTGCAGGCGGAATTTAGCGATTCCATGCCAGATGGTGGACACACATTATCCAAATCCAAACTGCTCAACTGGAGCATGTCATCGACGTCGTCGTCATCGTTAGCTGCTTGCAACTGCTGCAGATTCTCGGCCAGGGCGCGCGCCTCGTACGCAATCATTGTCGAATTGGTCATCATGGAGGCACTGGTGCCATTGAAGAGCAACTGCTGTGAATCATAGCTGTGCATCGCTGCACTCTGCACCTGACCGCCCAGCTGGAAATTGAGGCTAACCAGCTGCTGCTGCTGCTGCTCGAGGGAAACTGGAGCTGGAGCAGCACCTAGTTCGCCATTCGTTGCTTCGGAAAAATCCTGTAAATCGGCCGCTTGTGTGGCATCATCCGCATCATCATCGAGACTGAGCGAGGCGAGCTTGGGCGCTGTTTGGCTAATGCTGGGAAAGGACACATCATTGGGACAGGTGTGCTCGCTCCACGTATTGTTGTTGTTGCTGTTGTTGTTTTTGTTGTTGCCCGTTCGCAATTGTTCCGCCGATGTGACAAACTCCAAGGTGAGTCGCTCCACCGATTTCAACATCAAATCGGGATCTTTGTGCTTATCGGCGCTGCAACAGTTGGCTGACTCTGCCACGGGCAGCTCATCCAAACGCACTTGGGTGTCCAGTATAAACGATTGATTCGATTCATCGCTGGAACAATGGGAATCCAATTGATGGTTGGACTGTTGCTGTCTAGACCCAATAACGGTCACGGGAACGTTCGTGTTCGCGATCTCGCGACTTGGAGCTGGATTTTTTGCTGCGTCGATGGCGATGTCGATGTCGTTGTTGGGGATGTTGCTGTTGCTGCTCGGATTGGATGGTATTGGATTGTTGTGGTTGAAGATTGTTGTGGTTGCTATTGCGGGTTGTTGTTGCTGTTGTTGCTGGTGTTGCTTCTGTTTGTCTACGTCTGGAGCTGTTGCTGCTGCTTGTGCTGTGCTGTTGGCACTTGCTGATGTAGTAGCCGCCATTGGGTGACACGGTTCCAATGCAGCTGCAGACGTAGCTTGCGCGTTTTTTGGCACCGCATTGATCTTCTTCGAGATGCCCGTATTGATGCACTCCAGCAGCAGTTTCTCATCCTTTCGTTCCCGTTCCCGCTCCCGATGATGATGCGCATGATGCGAATGATGATGATGATGACGCTGTCGCTTTGCTTGCAACGGCAATTGAATGGGCAGCGAATCGAATTGCTTCAGATTGGGATTGGATTGACCGCTTAACAACTGTTGCTGCTGCTGCTGCTGTTGCAGTTGCAGTTGTTGCTGTGACCTAGCCGGCTCCTTGGACGAGGAGGATGAGGACTTGTACATGCCATTGAGGATGCACAGCTCAAACAGTGACTTGGATTGATTATCATTCGAATCACTCGAATCCACCGAACTGTACGATTCCTGCGGCACCGTCTTCCGCGCACTCATCGCCGAATTTAAGGAGCACGCCGAGCTCGCTGCATTGATAGCAATCGGCTGCGACGAGGAGCACAGCGAACTGGATCGCTTGCTGCTTGAGGCATTTGTGCTGAAGCCAAGATTCGATTTGGGTCTATTACAGCCAGCGGCAATAGCCTATACAAAAAATGGATGGTAAATTAATAAATGTAATTGCACTTGAGTCAAATGACTTTTACCTGACTTAGCAAATTGGTGTCATCCTCCGAGTCAATGGACAAGGAGCTCAGCGAATCATCCTGCCAATGCAGCGGTCGTCGGTTAGCGATCTCTTGTGGTGCCACCGATGCTGGTGCCTGGATCACGTTGATCTTTCCTGCATTCGCTTCGGCAACACTATCAAAATTAAAGAGGAAATTATCAGCTATTGAATAAATCAAATATATATATATAAATATATATAGTTGCGGTCAAAATAATAATAGTACTGATTAAAATAATTGAATTACTCAATATTTTCATAGCTTCTTTTATAATCCCTTCGATTCGTTGGACTATTTTAATAATAGTAGTGCTGGCGAGTCCAAACAGAGTCCAAATATTTAAAACTGAATGAGTATTTTTAGAGGTTTATTGAATAAAATAACATTATAGTAACTTATTCGCTTATTTAAAAGCATCCATTTTAAAATTCTTCAAACCATTCTTAAAAGATACTATTTTAAAAAAAAACTTTAGAAGACATCCCAGAAATAATAAACAAGTAGTTAGAAATCCATAACATAACCCAAACATAATGCAAAAAGTTGAAAGTCTAAGAAATACAATTTGAATTTGACCATTCGAGAAATGTGGGAATATTTTGTAATTGGGCGAATCCAAAACAGGTTTTTTTTTATTAACTGGCGATCGAGAATGTCGCAGGTATGTAAAACAATCAACCAACTCACATCTGTTTCTAAACAGATGTGTTCCGTCATTAAATAGGACAGATCGTCTTTAATGATCTGACCGACTTTCTCTTGTTACGCTATCGGACCAATATTGCAGAAAAGAAATCTCGAATCGCAATCTATATGTGATAATAACGGACGGAATTATGCTATGTATGATATGATAAATATTTCAACAGGACAACGACTCCAGTCAAGTCTCTACGGAATCATTCAAGATCGATGGAGGCAAGGTGATGAGATGACAGGCACAGTCTACAGATACCAACCCCATTGAGACTTGTGGATCGAAGTTATCAAGACTGTTTCAGGTGGTTATTTCGAATGAAAAAGATAAGAATGCTTCACTACTACAATTCCACTACCATTATTTGAATCAATTTAAAGACTTTAATTCTTTTTATTAACATTTTTATAGCAATGCCTTCTTTTAATATTTACTTATCGCTGGAGAATTAATTGCTTGTTTAGCATTTTCCAAAACTGTACTATTATTTTGACCACAAGTTTATATCTCAATTGGGGACTTACCCAGTTATCTCCTGCTGCTCCAGCTGCACCGCTGGTCCGACCAGACTGGAGCCGACAGTTAGATTGGACAGACCAGAGACGACGGAGAAATTGCAGGGGCTATCCTCCACCAGATATTTGCTCATCTCATCGCTGACGGGCAAATAGGCGGGTAATGGATTACCACCTCTGCGCAGCATGTCTATCGGATCAGGATTGTGTGGTGCAGCAACTGTAGCTGCAGCAGCAGCGCCAGCTGGTGTCGGCGATGACTTTTGCATGCCGGCACGAATGCACTGCTGGAGCACACAATCGGATGCATTGGAGGAGACATCATCGGATAGATTGAGTGAGCTGCGTTGCGGCTGCGTTTCTGCCGCAGAGTTCATCGATATGGCCGAGAGATTGGTGTTGCTACCGACTTTGGACAGGAGAGCCGGTGTGTCCTCGGTGCAATAGCTGCGTGTGGTTTCCTCAATTGCTGTTCCAGTTGCTGTTGATGCAGTTGGAGCAGAGGGAGCAGCTGCCACTGTGCGTTGCATGCCCATGTTAATGCAGCTGGCTAGCAGCAGCTCATCCTCGTTATCATTATCGATCTCGCCGACAGCCAGCAACGGTTTGTCATCGTCCGCAATGCTCAGATTGCTGAGGCTGGTCGCGCCGGAGAATTGGGCAGGTGTGTGTTCCACGTTGAAGCTGCTCAGATCATCCTCGAAGACGCTGCGCAACGGACGCGACGCGTTGGCTCCCACACTGGTTGGCAGGGCAACATTGGTAACATCCCGCAGATTACGTCGCCCCGGCGATTGTGGCATGCTCTGTGTGGGCGAATCGGGTAGCTCCGAGGGGGAGATGACACCGCTTGCCAAACGACTGAAATCACTTACCACCGAACTCTTGTCATCACAATTGGCCACATCAACATCCAGCGAATCCATGGAGCTGCGACGCGAGAACATTAACGGTGTTTCCAGCGCTGAATTGGGTTTCGCTGGCACCGTTTCCGATTCCTCTGGCGGCTGCACTTGCTCCTCGTCCTGCTTGACGGTTGGCTTGCCTTGTTTGCTTGCCGACTTGGCGCCAGCCTCATCCAAGCTACTGAGTGAATCGTAGCGACTAAAGTAGCCAGGCGTGCCCTCCTCACAGTAATTGATGGGCTTCTCGGGCGTATAGGAGCCGGATGATAATTTGGTTGAGCTATGTTTGCCGACAACTTGTGGCGCCGTCACTCTAGTCTCCTCCTCCTCGACCTGGTTGGGTTTTATGATCACCTTGGTACCGGTGGCCCCCTCAATATCTGCGGGTGGCATCGTTCCATCCACTTCCACTTCAGTCTCTGTGTCCGCTTTGGCTGCCTGCCGCAAATCCGTAACAGATGCCGCATTCGATATGACATAGGGAGTATCCTCGGTCTGATAGCACTTGACACTGTCGTCCAGAATGAGGAGGATTTCCTGACGTCCACTGGATGTCTTTGTCACCGGCGCCACTGCATCGACTGCCGAAGCCGGCTTCAATTCCGATTCCAATTGATTCTCCGCATAGCGTAGACTGAAATCCGTTGGCTGATCGAGATCCGTTTCCTGATATGTTGTTGTTGTTTTGTTGCTGTTGTGATTCTTGTTCGCCGCTCCTTCGCTATACTTGACGGAGTAATCGATTGGCTGCTCCTCGGTGGCCGCATCGCCATCGTGCTCCATATCCAGCTCCAGTTCCAGCTCAAAGCTCTGACTTTGGCCGGGCGGACGCTGAGCAGCATCGGATCGCATCAGATGCTCATAGGCCGTATCCGATTTGGCCGAGTAAACCGAATCCCGGCTCTCGCTTTTCGTCAGCAGCGCGGAGCGAGAGAGTCGAGAGATGGGAACTGATGGCTGACGCTGACGCATCTTTCCCATGTTGCTGTTGCTGTTGCTGCTGCTATTGCCCTCCAGATTATCGCAAGTCTCTGCATGGCCACGTTCCCCCACCAGTTCCTGTTGCAGCGCCTTCTGTTTGCGCGCCTTGAGCGTCGGCAACTGTTTCAAGCCCATGCTCCGGGCAATGGGATCGAGTTGATCCTGATTCTGTACAGCTGGCCGAAAATTCAATAGATTCTTCAATGCCGATGAGCTGCCCTCCGAGATCATGGCATGCTTTGAGTGTATCAACGAGCGCAACATCGGCACCGCACCATTATCCCAGAGGAACTTCTGATCCTCGGGACAGCGTGCCGATAGATTCCACAATGTGCCGCACGAGTTGCTGACCACCGTCAGACTCTCCGACTTTAGCTGCTGTAGGAGTATGGCCAGGCATTGATGTTGACGCAACACCTGACGATACGGCTCACAGACGGCAATGTGGCTAGACACATTCCGCAAAATGCCGCCCGCATTCTCGATAATCTTCAAGGTCTTGCTGGGTCCTTCATAGCTGAGCATGCCCACCAGAAAGGCCAAGGCACCCTCAACGGCACAGAATTCCGCTTTATTTGTGCTGCAGTGCGCCGATAGATTCCACAGGGCAGACAGAATGGCCTTCAACGTGTTCTCACTCTTGTTTCGCATGGCTGCCTTGGCCAGCGCCGTAACCGTTCCAATCTCATTGAGCACCGCCTTCATGTTGCTATCGGCACGCCACGAGAGATTGCGCAGTACACTTGCGGTCACCTGGAGGAGATCATCGGGTCCGGATGTGTCCAGTTGGGCGACCAGCGCCTCCATAAATTGCTTCTGCCCGCAAAGGAGCGCCTTATTATTCTCATCACCAAATGTGAGGTTGGTCAGAGCCATCAGTGCATAACGACGCAACGAATTGCAGCATTGATCCTCCGGCTTCGGCCCGTGGACCGCGTGATCCAGATGTACCAGATTGGGTATCACCTGAAGAGCACCCAATTCGCACATTGCATGCCGATGCTCCTCATCGAAACTGACCTTCATCAGCGATGAGATCGCCGCCAGCGGATGACGATCCGAATCATCGGCAATTGCCTCGCCGCCACTTTGGAGCAGTGTCTTCAGGAAATTACAATAGTCGACGATCTGGTCGAGGAGACGCAACACTTTCGCCTCCCGCCTGCCGGCCTTCTCATCGGGATGACTGTGCACCACATTGTGCAGTGCGAGACTAGCGCATTTTCTCACCTCCTGGTCATTGTCCGGGGCATGCATCATCTGCACCAGCAGTGGCATGCAGCCGGATCGACGCAGCGTGGCACAGCTCTGACTATTCCCAGAGAGTTCAAGAAACTTTTTGGACATCTCCAGCGGATCATTGGAGCCGAGCATGGAGAGCAGCGAATAGACACATTCAACTTTGGCGCCCAACGTGGCATCCACATCGCTGCTGCTTGTCCACGCCGAACCCTTGGGCAAACGCGGCAGTGGCGGCGGAACGGCAGCTGTATCCCCGTCCAGGAAACGGGAGAGCGTATACGACGGCTCCTTACGGCTGCGGGAAATGTGACTGGCCGAGCTACCCGTGATTGACACGCCAGTTGCTGATGCTGATGTTGATCCCGTCGCCCCAGTTGCGCCCAGCTCCTTTTGTTGCTGCTGCTGCGCCGATTGGCGTTCGAAATTGCGATCGAGACTACGATGTTCACGCATCTCCTGGGCCAGCATATAATCGGGCGGTATGGGATTCTCGTCCAGGAAGTGCTTCACTGGCTTACACTTGGCGCCACCGCCACCGCCACCAGCAGCAGCGCTTTGCGTAAAGTGCAGCGTATTGTCGTCCTGGGTGAACTCCTTCTTGGTATAACCACTCGCCGCGAGCTCATAGTCACTAATCTCGCCATCTCGCTCGAATTTCTTGTCCATTTTCAGTTGTTCGCCGGCAGCGATGCTACCATTATAACCATTATAGCTATCCTCGTAATCTGGCGGCACAGCAGCATCATAGTCCAAAAAGTGTGGCTTACGCTCGGGCACTGCATCCACATCCACATCCACCTCAACATCCACTTCAACATCTACATCAACATCCACATCCACATCGTTGTCATCTAGGGAGACGTTAGCCATGCCCAGCACAATGCTTCTGCTGCTGCTCTCCTGCTGCTGGCCATCCTCAAGCTCAGGCTGCAACATGGCCAATTCTCAATGCTCAAGCCTCAAGTGCCAACACACTCAATGCGCCATGCCCTGCAATTAAAGGGGGAGTGTTGCAGTGAGTGAGTGTTGCGTAATAAATTAAAAGATGAGTGTCTCAGTTAGGCGTCGCCACAAGCGAGTCTTCTATTTATAGCTACAGCCCACCAGCCCGCCATTAACAAGTTGGCCAAATTGGGCCCTTGAGCGAGACGCTCCAGAATATCAGGTGTGAGCTCAAGTATGCGCTCCATAAGCGATTCATAAATAGCAACAGCAATGAGCTGAGATGATAAATACAATCCATAGCAAATACCCTTAAAAGTATTCATTAAATGATGCTTATTCATACTATATCTATTAACAGATTTGAACATCAAAACACCAACAACAAAAAAACAGTAAACCTTCACAATTATAAATATAATTATATAAACTAACTTTTATCACTAAGCATTTAAGATTTATTAAAACGCTGCTGACATGAATTATTTTGGGGCACCAGCCTTAAAAATATGAGAGAAAAAGGAAGACTTCATTAAATATTTAATAATACAAATAACAACACAAGCTTCAATAATTGCGACTATGCAAATAAATATATAAAAAATATACATAAAATATATAAACACAAGCAGCGCTCAGTAAAAATCGATCGTCTCGAGCAAACCTGCAGAGCAGCTGCTTGACAACTGTCAACTGTGTGGTACCACGAAAATGAGAGGCACAATGACCATGTCACTACCTTATCGAGTCCAGCATGAGCCTGGGTTCATTGCTCTCTATCTCTCTCTCTCTCTCTCTTTCTCACACTCTCTCTCCCTCTCTGATAGGCTTCGGGTCCTGGGTACGTCGGCCCGAAGGCAACGCGTCGAAAATTTTGCAGGCATAGCGATCATTATTTGGCTTGCCTTTGCTGCGCCATGTTCTCTAGCAGAATAGAAACCCGATCCCTTTAGGAGCATGAGTGCGAGCAGGTGGTACTGACTTCTTCTACTACGCTTTAAAGGCTTATGAATGTGTGCCAAAAATAGCATCAACACTCAGTCTTTGATATGTATCCTTTTGCAGCGTAGGATAACTTAACTTTTAATCAGTTTGGTAACTGTTTACTATTTCAATTCTTAAGAACACATAAAGAAGAATAAGGAATCGAATAAAATTTCTAGGCATTATTAGTCAAATCTAATTTTTAACAATATACGATTGTTTAGTGCACATCTAAAAAGGGATATCATTGTCTCGATATGCGAAATTGTTTGTTCGAAATGAATTCCTTTGTAGTTTTATACACTTCTTTGATTAATGAAAAAAAAGAGAATTTATGAAATAAACCTTCAAAAGATACACAAGTTTGCAACAGACGGACAGGCTGACAAGTCTATATCGACTCGACTAGTGATGCTGATCAATATATATATATATATAAAAGTCGAAGACGTTTCCTTCAAGCAACAAAGTTATAACATCCTCTAAAGAGTATAATTATAAAGGGCAAATAATCGTTTAACAAATCACAAATTGCAAATTCGCTTTAAAAGTGTTTAAAACTCCTTGTCAAAACTTATACTATTATGATTGGTAAGGTATAATTTTAAGGTATAATTTTAATAGGTTTAGGTATTTAAGAGACCTTAAACTATTTTGGTTAGGGAATCAGAAGTTAACTCCATCTCAGAGTAAGGAACAAACGATTGAAACCACACTTTGGCACTTCTAAGTTCAATTTTCAACTCAAAACTATAAACGTTGACATTTTCTGCCAAACTACAAATGCGTTCAACAAATTTTTAGTCTACCCTAAAAACAAAATTGCAACTAATATAATCATTATCATGATCATGATTAGCTGGCGTTGGGTATCTTTTTTTTTAGAAAGTTAGCGGTTCGCCGTCGTCTTTGCGGAATTTCCAGTGCATGAAAAAGATACAGATGCGTTTTCAGCTGCTTAATTTTCATTGTTGTTGCTGTGTCTTCTGTTGTTGCAGTTGCTGGTGTTGTTATTGTTGTGTCTTTTGCTGATGTTGTTGTTGTTATGTTTTTAATTTGAGCTGCCGTTGAGTTATGCGCTGTGCAAATGGGAGCTGCATTTTCTTATTATTGCAGCGCGGCGCATGCGCCGTATAATTGGATATATGCGTATCCACACACACACACACACATATACACACACACATATATACATATATATATATACATGTTTGTGTATGTATGTGTGTGTATTTGTGCTTCTGATCTGTGACACGGTTAAGTCTTCTATGCGCACAGTATGTGAATTGGGGCAACCCTCTAAATCAAAATTATTCAGGCTCCAATTGGCAAATTCATCAAAATCGAATTCTAAATCACAAAGGCAAAGCTTTTGCAATTTGAATAAATCAAATGAAATTGCTTTGCAATGAATTGGCTAAACAGTGATCGCTTGGTAAAAGGAACTAATACAGACTGCAATTGGGTGATAAAATTCTATACAAATTGGAATAACATCCACATATCGTTATAAATTAACTTCCTCTATTAGCCGAAAAATAATTGTTTAACTATGTTACAAAAGTTGAATGAAGTTCGTATAAAATTTATTTGAGAAAGATTTTAAGCTGAAAATTTAATTTATATTTTTAAAAGTAAATGGGTTTTTATATTGTATAATCTTTAACATAAGATTTAAATGATTTTATTCATTTAATTACTTTAACTTTAAGCAAAATCAAACAGTGGCTACTAACTGAGTATTTGCCGAGTGCCTCGGCCTAATATAAAATGCTTACTCAATCAAACTGTAACCCTCTTACAAAAATTCAAGAACGTAAGGTATTAAAAATTGATAAGGCAACCGGTCTCTGATTAGTTAGTGTGAATGATAAATGGTGCAAATGTGCCTATATATACTATATATACATTTTATACACAACAATATGTAGACGGCATTTTGGCTTGTCCAATGAATCAACAGTTCATCAATTAGTCAAAGGCTGTTCAAATATATGTACAATGTACATACAGAAGCGGTCAAAATAATAGTGCTCTTTCATACAACGCAAATACAAATATATATATTCATAGCTTCTTTTATCATCTCTTCGATTTACTTTCGACATATCTCCACATATCCTTGTATGTTAGTTGACCTATTCCTTATTTTTATCTTCTGTTCTTCGAAAATAGTCGAAATATTTAAACACATTAATTTGGTTTTTGTTAGAATTTATATAGCTATCCCATCTTTTAATTTTTACTTAACTTGAATGTACTCAAATAAAATTTTTAAACTATATTTTTTTTAGCAATTTGACAGACAGACATATGTGCGCGCTACTAGTATTTTGACCGGAGCTGTATATATATAGGTACAATTGTACCTATATTGTTGGCAAGTATCGCAAAGAATTTGCATGCGTCACTTGTCTAGTCGGGGCGCCGCTGCCTTTACTCCGCTGCCTAACCCGCTGTCTGGCGTGTCATTAACCGACCAGCTAGAATATATATATATATATATATATATATATATATATATATATGTATGTGTAATAGTTTAAGTACATTGCGACCACAAAAGGAAGCGACGTTTTGGCTTGGCACACATTTTGCATACCGAAAATCGAAAAAAAACAGCCGAAGATTGAGAAAGATTGAGATGTGGAAGGCATAAGACATTAAAAAGATACAATGGAAATATGCGCAAAATATGAACAAGCATAAAAGCTAATAGTTATGTCAAAAATGTTATGTGTTAAAAGAAATACTCTATTTTTGCAGAGAATACCAAAAGGAAACTAAGGAATACAAATGTATTTAGATATTTGTTTTTTGAATTGTTTTACAAATTTGATAAAATTGTAGAAAATAATATTTTAAAATGTTATATATATTTTTTATGTTGCTTTTTGTGATATATATTAAATAAAATGCTATATCTATACATATATATGAATCATGGCAGGCATCATTAAGAGAGATGCAATCAAGACTAAAAGACCAACTGAAAGCAGCTGTCATATCATTAATAATTATATATAATTATATATAAATATCAACATTAAGGGGTTGCAAGTGTCTCTCTCCTTCAATATGTTGTTACACACTGCAAGAAAATATTTAAATACCCGCTGGGGTCTCATAATTAAAGTACGCGCCTCTTTCAATGCATGCACACACACACGCATACATACATAAATACATGTACATATATGTATGTCTGTACGAATGTACATTATTTTAATGAACGTCATTTGCTTTTGTTGGGGATTTTTTTTTTTACATTTTTATGTTGTCCAGTTTTATTTTTTTATTTTTGTATTGTCTTAACGCGCAGCTAGACAGATAATGATTATGTAAAGTGTAGCAAAGTAAAAGGGAAACTAAATACTAAACAACGTTTGCTGCAACAACAGCAACAACAACAAAATAAAGATACAAACAAACCATCGACAGTCGCAAGTCGAACCCTTACAGCATGCATAATATATAAATAACATTTAAAGTAACAATTACAAATGCGAATGTGGCCAGGCAGGCATGTAAGAAAAGTGATTAATTATGTTAAACAAGAGCAACAACAACAGAGAAATTACCCAATAGAAATTGCACACTTATCAATTAGCAGAGCCCCATTCACTTTACAGTACCAATACCAATACATCAACAAATTGCTAAAGGAGCCTGCAGCTTGAAAAATGCAATACAGATGCAAATACAGCTCACACACCCACACACGGCGCAGTCGCTCATACACACAAACACACACACACGCACACGCACACATGAGCGCCCATTGTCACAATTGGACTTTATTGATTTTTCCTGTAAAAGGAAGACGAACGAGCAAAAAAGAAACAAAAAAATACCTAAACGAGAGCTCTTCATTACTTTTAATTAAAGAACTGGCGAAACTAGAAACAGACTATTATTATAATTGTTGTTGTTATATAGCGTGGGTGTTAGCTATCTACTGTAAACATTTTGATTATTTTTGTCACATACATACAAAATAAAGAAGATTTTTATTGCGACTCCCACACACAGAGACAAGTTTTGTGCATACCTTGACCAAAAAAAAAGAATGATATTCTTAGTCGCTTGTCGCCGCTGCAGCAGCTGGCTTCCATATACACATTTCACACTTTATCTTATTAGATTTTTACTTTGGGCGATTGCATTTATTTTTAATTCTTACACATTTCGCGATTAAACAAATAAAAGGCGCACGTACTTCTCTTTTTCTTCGGGTTCTTGAAAAACCGTCCGCGACGCACCCGCTTTTGCGTAGCACGGCCAATTCTTATTGGTGGTGAACTAGTTAGAGATGGTCCACTTGCTATGTAACTTATTACAGCGGCGACAACAGCTTAACATATGTCTGCACTGTTATTAACAGCACAAAAATGCCAAATGCCGGCTACAATTTAAAGTTTAACAGCTGCTCATTGGGACAAAATTGCTGCTCGATGTAGCTGATTATAAAGCCAAAACCCAATTAAGACAAATAACATCACTTATTTTATATAGACGTTCACTCATTTCAAGCACATTTGAAGTACTTTTCAAAGAAATATTGACCGAGCGCATTGGTTTCCGTGTGTTAATAAGAAGACCAGGGCTGCAGTACAATATCGCAGTTGCTTTCGATATATTACGAAATACTAAGAAAATGTTATAAAAATGAGCCGATTTTGTAAAATAATAATAACTCTAAAAATATATGTAATTATTCAAACAAATACAAACAAAACTAAACAATGAAACCTGAAAAACGCAGCTTTAAAAAAGTGTGGAGGTCGATCGATATGCATTTATCAAACATCAAACAAAAGAAGAATTGGCAATTGCGAATCATTTCTGATTTGTTTCCTTATTGTTGCAACACAAAATCAGAGAACAACATCAACAAACATGGATCAAATGGATGTCGATGTTGAGCTCTCGGCTAAACCGAGCACATCCTCTGGTGCGGCTGCAGCTGCATCTACCGCAGATACAGCCACGAGCAGCAATAGCAACAAGCAAGCGCAACCAAAGGGAAATATTATGGCTGCATCGGGCACAATTGCATCGGTGACGATTTCCTTGCATCCACTGGTCATAATGAATATATCGGAGCATTGGACACGCTTCCGCGCTCAGCACGGCGAGCCGCGCCAAGTCTACGGCGCACTAATAGGCAAACAAAAGGGCCGCAATATCGAAGTGATGAATTCATTCGAACTGAAAGCCGATGAAATTGCGGACGAGACAATTATCAACAAAGACTACTACAACAAAAAGGAGCAGCAATACAAGCAGGTTAATTGATTTGCCCTTTATATATATACATATATATTTATTTATTTATTCATGTTGGCAGGTGTTCAGCGATCTAGACTTCATTGGCTGGTATACAACGGGCGACAGTCCGACAGCCAGCGATATTAAGATCCAGAAGCAAATCGCCGAGATCAATGAATGCCCCATCATGTTACAACTGAATCCGTTGGCGCGCAGCGTTGACCAGCTGCCCGTCAAATTGTTCGAATCACTGATCGATCTGGTCGATGGCGAGGCCACAATGCTCTTTGTACCGCTCACCTATACGCTGGCCACCGAGGAGGCCGAACGCATCGGGGTCGATCATGTGGCCCGCATGACCACCAATGAGTCCGGGGAGAAGAGCGTTGTCGCCGAGCATCTGGTTGCACAGGATAGTGCCATCAAAATGTTAAATGCACGCATCAAAATCGTGTTGCAATACATTAAGGAAGTGGAGGCGGGTAACCTAAAGCCAAACCAGGAGATACTCCGCGAGGCATATGCGCTGTGCCATCGTCTGCCCATTATGCAGGTGCCCGCCTTCCAGGAGGAGCTCTACACACAGTGCAACGATGTCGGCTTGATCAGCTATCTGGGCACGTTGACCAAGGGCTGCAACGATATGCATCAGTTTGTGAACAAATTCAATATGCTCTACGATCGGCAGGGTTCCTCGCGTCGCATGCGTGGCCTCTATCCCTAAGGCAGCCGACGTCGGACTCGTATTTATTTTATATATATATCTATATTCAACAATCGCTGCTGCGTATTAAATGTGTGAAAATCAAATACGAATCGTGCATTCTCTTTATTTATTTAGTTTGTTTTTCTTTTGTAAATGCAACTTTATTTTTATACACACAGAGCCTGAATTGAAGCTGTGGCAAGCACATCATCTCACCCAGAGGTACACTGACTTTATGTAATCTGTCTGGAGATAATGTTGCTTTAAATCCAAACTACTTCATTTTATTGACGTGCAAGGAATTAACAAAAGAAAACCCAAGAAATTTGACAATGTTTTTTCAAATATTTTTTTGGCGACTTTTTTAAATGTTCATCATTGGTTTCTTTCCCAAGCAAATGCTCAATGGATTATTTCTGACCTGTTATAACAAATTTATTTATATATATTTGTTAACAACGTTTTATTTGCTTGCAAAACTAGCCAGTTGAGGATTTACTTAATTTAATAGGACTTGCTTTAAATTCATGTTACGTGTCCGTAATATTTGTAGTTCTTATCCAAAATATATAATTTCATTCATGTGCAAGAAATTAAGATTTTAATTTTGATTGTATTCACAAAAAAGAAAGTCAAGAAATGTTAAAATTGTGCAATCATATTTGAATTTTTTTAAATCATGCTTTGATAATGGCAAATAGAAACATTCTTCCACGTATGGATTATAAATGAGAAAACAATATTGTTAACGAAGTTTTATTTGTTTGTTTGCTAAACTAAACACAGATGGAATTAAGCAGGGCAAATCATCGACAGATGGACACTTATTTATTTTAATAAGCTGCGTTCAATTTGTAGTTTTTTGTTTAATTTCATTGATGTGCTTGAAATTTTAAACTGTATAAAAAGAATCCCATGAAATTTGACAATATTTTTTTTTGTGGCATATTTGAAATTTCTGCTCCGATATAAACATCTGATGAATATTTCCTATAAATGAGACAACTCCAGTCAAAAGAGCTTTTTCAATATTGTTAACGAAGTTTTATTTGTTTGTATTTTGTTTGTTGTTTTTTGCTTGTTTGCAAAACTACACACAGATGGAATTAAGCAGGGAAACCACACATACACATTTGTATATCACTTTCGTCTGTCCGTTCGTCCTTACGTCCCTGCGTCCGACTTTCTCCTCCTCCTCCTCCTCCGAACGAGCTTCGAGCTACTTAAATTCAATTAAATACGCGGTGGGGGGATTGGTGGCATCTTCTTTTCTTTACTTTTTTGTTGTTTGGATCTAATGATTATAATCGTCCAACTTGATGCTGTCGGAGTACTGCTGCAGAAATTCCACCTCGAGGGGATGCATCTCCTTGGCGGGAATGATGAGCGAGTGCAGTGGTCCACCCAAATCCATGGCACGCATCCCATGCAATGTGCCAACAACGATCTGTTGCGTACTCTGGCCAACACGTGCCAAACCCACACACAACGATTGCTCATTGAGCACCGTATTCCTCTCCAAGGCATCCTTCTTCTCCACAATAGTCAACAGCTGTTGGGCAGCCTCGGCACAGCTCATAAACCTGGGCGGCATATACTCCTTGCGTTTGCGCATCAACGATTCGGGTGTGGGCTCCTTAACCTTGATGTCGAGCAGACAAAGTGTGTGCATATTGTGCAGGCGATTCAATTTAATCTTATCGTAGAAACTATCCGGTTTCCAAGTCTCATCCCAATATGGTATTGAAACAGTTTCACCAAATTTATACAGCTGCAGGCCACAACAGCCGATGGCATTCATAATGGAGGCATTATGGATGACCTTGTAGGGTATGTTCTTCTCTTTCGCGCGCAATATGAAATCTGTGTGAGTTGTGGCACCAAACGGATCCCCAACAACGAGCAGGGCAACATCGGTCTCGGCAGCACCCGCCAATATCTCATCGGCGCCCTGCTCCACAAGGTCACGGTCCGCTAGCATTAAGGGACGGCCGTAAAACTCTTGCTGCAAAAGAGAGAAAAAAAATTAATTCAAATAATTCCAAATAGAAAACACACCACACACAAAAAAAAACACCACTCACAATAGTTGCTTCCCTTACGATTATTCAGAACTCCCCCCACCGCCCCCTCGCTAACAACCCACCCATCGCATGTATACTCACCATATCCTCAAGGCTGCAGCCGAGAATTGAGGTATACATTTCCAGGTACACACGACTACATTGCTTCACAATTTCAAGGCCTTTCACTGTGATATCCTTGATATCGCCCAGACCGAGTCCAATTAGATAGAACATGCTGCTGCTGTTGCTACTGCTACTCACTCTCTCTCTCTCTCTCGCTCTCTCTCACTCTCACTCACTCGCTCGCTCTCACTCTCACTTTTAATATTGTTTTATTTTGTATATTTTGTACTGATGAGCGAATTTTGGTAGCGACACGTGCCCGTAATATTGGATTTGCACCTCGCTTGTTGCTTCTTCACGCGCGGACGACGCGATTGCACTAACATCTGTTTAACAGTGTTGCCATGTCCGCCATTTTCCAATTTGATTTAATGCTGCTACTCACAAAAATGAGACATTTTAATGGGAAACTAAAAAGCGGTCACACTGCATGCCAATATTATCTTCTTATATTTGCCTGTTTATTGGTTGAAATCAGTGGCAATTTATTGCAGTTTTTTTGTTGTAAAATATGCATCATTTTGGCATGCTTCACAGACCTTAAACCCAATTTATAAGGTATCGCGGTTAGATGAATATCGCTACTAGCACTTTAGCAATCAAAAAATACTGAAAGGAGTGGGAGGAGTTTTACAACACTGTATGTATATCGTTATCGATACATATTCATATACCCCACGTGCGATTGTTGGCCATTTATTTGTCGTTTTCTGAATTTTGTGGTGTTTGGTAAATAGTTCAAAATGCCGGCAGTCAAGAAACAGAAACCCCAAAATTTAAAGAAACAAGCAACACCCACCAAAAATGCAGAAGCAGCCAAACCTGTCGTCGTTTCCGGGCAGGTGAGTTACACACTTGAAATAAACATGCTCAACTCCAACTGTAATCGACTCCATATCTTTTTCGGTGCAGTTAAAGAAAAAATTGTCGCAGGCCAAGCCGCAAGCAACGTCAAAAGAGCGGCAGGAGCGCGGCGTTGTCCTCATCAAATCTCTGCCACACGGCTTCTTCGAGCAGCAGCTGCGAAATTATTTCAAGCAATTCGGCCATGTGACCCGAATCCGGCTCGCCCGCTCGCAGCGCACCGGCGGCAGCAAAGGATTCGCCTTCGTCGAGTTCGAGTATCCGGAGGTGGCCAAAGTGGCAGCCGATACTATGGATAACTATCTGATGTTCCAGAAGGTCGTCAAGGCTACCTATATTCCGCCCGAGCAGCAGAAATTCAATTATTTCAAGAGCACGGTGAAGAAGGTTAAAAATAAGGTGGGACATTCACTAAAGAATTGGAATTTGAACTATTTAAATATATATTTTTATTTATTATTGTTTTTGTTGTAGGCCGGCAAAGAGATTTTCGTGTCGAATTTAACAAAAGCCACGCAGCGCAGCGTACAAAAGCAAAATAATTGGACGGAATCCGCTTGCCAGAAACGCACAGAGATCGGCATGAAGAAGGTGAGGGAACTGCAAAAGAAATACAAACATTTGGGCATCGATGTGGCCCAATTGATTGTGAAGCCCGTCAAGAAATCCAAGCAGGAAGAGGCAAAGAAAAAAGAGCTGCAATTGGAGGATTTGCTGGGTAATACAATCAATGAGGATTCAGATGATGAGGATTATGAAATCAGTGATGATGATGAAGAGCAGCTGCAAATGGACAGCGATGATAGCGATGAGGATGAGGAAGAGCTAGATGGGGATGAGGAAGATGAGGAGGAGGAGCTGCAGCCAGTGCCTAAAAAGACGCAAAAGCAGAAGAAAGTAAATGCAAGCGCTGAGCGCATGTCGGATTTGATTAAACGCAAACCAGGCACAGGCGGTGTCCAGAAAAAGAAGAAGACAACTAAAAAGGCTGCCACAAGTGCAACAAAACTGCTGCAACTGGCGGCAGCCAAGAAAATTGCCAAGCCGCTGCCCAAAAAAGTGGACAAAAAGCTCAAGAAATAAAACTAGTTTTTATATATTTACCCTTATAATAATTAAGTAAACAAAAGTTGCACACAAAAAAAATAATTAAAAAGAAATATGTTTGTAAAAGAAAAAACTTAATTGAAATTTTGAGCAGCCTTCGAGTTGAGCTCGAGTTTGATGCGTTTGCATTTCATGCGTCGATTTTGGAACCAGACTTTAACTTGACGCTCACTCAGCTCCAAGGCGACAGCGATTTCATAGCGACGCAAACGGGTCAAATAATTGGAGTAGCTAAATTCCGATTCCAATTGCTGCAGTTGGGCTTTTGTAAACGCTGTTCTTTCCTTGCGATGGGAAGAGGATGACGAGGATTTGCTGCTGCTGCTGCTGGTGCTGCTGCTGCCAGCAGCAGGCTCTGCCTCTGGCAAGCTTGAAGTGATTGACAAAGAGTTGCAATCATAGTTGTAATTGGCATCCACATTGCAATCCTCGTAGCTGACCATGTTGTAGTCATAGTCATTGCACCAATATTTGCTGACATTGGCATAATAAGCGTTTAAATCTGTGCTGGAGTTTTTCATTCTGTTCCTGCCGCGCTCGTTTTCAAATTAATACTGAACACTTTTGGGTAATCGACGGCGGCTTATTAAGTCTTAAGTCTGTCTTCTCATTGGTTCGATTTCTCTCTCTCGCTCTCTCTGTGTGCATGCGATTGGCTCAATCTGTTTTTCCACTTAACTGTAAATGATGTGCGCGCTGATATGATAATTGTGCGCAACATCTGGACACACACACACGAACACGAACACACATGGGCACACTTAAGGGAGAGGGAGAAGGAACGTCGCGTGCTCTTCGTTCTTTTCTTCTTTTGAACAGTTATGACACCCACAAAACAATATTGTTGTTATTTTTGCTGCTGTTGTCAAAACAGAAAATCCGACTAGAAACGGAAGTAGTTTGTAGAGCGCATGTGTGACTCCTCTGCCTCCACCCCCACCTCCTCCTCATCCTCCTCTGCTTCTTAAGCAAATATGAGTCAAGTGTGTTTGTCTTGTGGAACTCTCAGAAACTTAATAGTATTTCACTGTCGATCGTCGGTCAGCGTTTTTATATCTATGTAGAAATGAATGTCTCAATTGCATGCGCGTTTTAATTCTTGAGCGCATCATTTCTTTTAGCTACGGCGCGAATATCCACATTTACCCCCCCCCCCCCCATCCCCCTCCAACCATCTCTTGATGCTGTAATTTCCAGATTGCAACTGATGCAGTTATAATTATTGATCTTTTCATTTTGAATTGTGAAAATAAAAACCGTCAAATTACAAAATGTATCTGGCAACGCTTTATAAAAATCTCACTGTTTAACTGATTGTTTATTTCAAACTATTAAAACCATTAGTAATTAATTTTCCATGCCATATACAATGCCAATGCTTAAAATACCATAATTTTATTTTAAATCGAAATTTAATACGTATCATTAAACTAATTTAAATTTAAAAATAATTATTTTTGTTGTACATTTAATATTTTTTAATTATTAATAGGTATATTTCAACTAATCAGCAAACAAACATTTAAATTAATCTAAATGTACAATGGTTCATTACAAGCAAATTTTAATTTAAAAAAATTCTATTTGTATAAAAGTATATTTATTTATATAATATTTCTTATTAATAATATTATTCAATACTCTTAATTCTTCAAATATCAAAAGTAATACCAAATATTTATCTTTTGCTGAATCTATTTTAAAATTTAAAACTTTGCGCGCTCATTTTTCAATAGTGGTGGCACCTCAAGAAAACACGGTCATGTTACTAAACATTAATCGAATGAGCGCACATATCGATATGCGCTGCCATTCCAAAATGAATATAAACGAATGCAGCTGTCGAAAACATCGATAGACTGGACACAACAACCGAAAGGCGTCCGTAGTGTTCGGTTCGCGAGTCGCGCATTCGCATCAGCTTAATATTTTTGTTCAAAAAGTTAATTACCAAATTAATTAGTTTAATGCAAAGTAAGCGAGAGAATAAAATGCATATTGGAGCCGCAATGCGTCGCAGTTAATACCACAAGCCGCAAAGCAGCAGCAGCAACTGCGGCCCAAGCTCTGAAAGTGGAGAGAGAAAAAGTCTCAATATAAAAAAACCGAAGACAAACCGAAAATTTGTAACAAGTTTTGTGTGTGTGGTGTTGTTGTTGTTGTTGCAAATGCGGCTGCTGAAAAATTGCGTTAAAAGAAAGAAAGCTTGCACAAAATGATCAACAACCAAATAATGCGAGAAGTTGTCAATTTTTAAGTTGTACTTGTGTCGGTGTGGCTGTGCCTGTGTGTGCGTGCGCGTATCTGTGTGCATTGTTGTTGTGTGTGTAAGTGAAATAAAAGCAATTGTGTAAATGAGTGCGCAAAGAAGTTGTGAAGTGGCAGCGGCAGCAGCAGCAGCAGCGACAGCAGCCAAGCCCAAAACTTCACTCAAGCATTAACAAAATAAGAGAAAAAAAAAATTGAAACAAAGTGCAAATGACGACAGCGCCGACAAACACGTTGGCAAATTAAATTAAAGTGAAAAAAAAACAACATAAATATCAAAGTGAGCAGCAGCGGTCAGCAGCAGCAGTTCCAGGTGGTCACAGTCTCTCCTCTCTCTGTCTCGCACACACACACACACAGAGAGAGACGCATAGGCAGCCGCAGCAACAGCAACAACGTCGGCGCAGCGCAATGACCGAGGAATTGAAAGTGGTGCTGCGTCGCAGTCGCAGCGAGCAGCATTCCGGTTTCGGTTTTTCGCTGCTTGGGACAACTGGACCGCCGCATGTCATCTACGACATTGTCGAGAATTCGCCGGCCGCCGATTGCGGTGCGGTAAGTAATCCTCTCGTTCCTCTCTCTCTCTCTCTTTCGCTCCCACCCCCACGCTATAAACCTACTCTGTTATTACTTTGTAGCTGTTAATTCTTTGCTTGCACTCTGTCTCCCTTCTTCCCTTGGGACTGCCTGCCAGCCTGCCTGGCCCTATATGACTTCATTCAACCAACGCCTCCACCCCTCTCTCACACATTCTTGTTGATAAGTGCAAAAGTTGCCAGAAGTCGCAAAAGGCGAGAAACACGACCTCGCCGTTGAGTTTAGCGTTGCCCATCTTCATTGACGCCCACTGTGATGTCATCGTCGTGTCACTTGCTTTATTATTTATTTCGTTAGGGGTATGGGTGGGCGAGGGGGTGGTGGGGGTAACTAAGCGCATTGTGGTACAGCTCATACACACACACACACACTTAGCCGCAAAACTAACGCTATATATTTATTTTCGTTTGGTTTCTTCATCTATTTATTTTTGTTATTGAAATTCGACTGAATTTGCCCATTGCCCATTTCAATTTGAATTTATCACAAAAAATAAATAAATAAAAACTTACCCACACACTCACACACACACAGAATGTTTGCGTATGACCAATAAAATGCGAGAATTCCCATTTCTATTTTCATAGATATATTTGAAAATTTTCGCATTTTAGCATGCGTATCTACCAAAATAATAAATCAAAAATATATATATACAATTCCAATAAATCACTTGCACACTCTGCAATTGTGACGTAAGAGCTATGAATTAATAAAAAATGTTTTTGCTCTGTAGAAATATATATTTGCAATCACTTAATTTCTTTCAACAATCGTCTATCTTCGATAAGCAATAATCTCCGTCATCTTTTGGCTAAATAATTTTTGAGCACTTTACACTTAATCATCTTTAAGTTTAAGTATGTAATAAAAAGCTTATACCTTTTGCCTGTACAACAATCCAAGTGCATTTTATGATAATCGTAAACAATTAAATTGAAATGTATTATTTACAAATCAGAAAAGTCTATGTTTAACTTTGCGGTATAATAAAAGTGCACTTAGGAATGTGATTTTATTATTGACACAGAATGAGAAATGAAATGCAATTTGAAGCCTGGAAAGAGTAATAAATGTCTTGATAGCAATGCTAAATACAAAGTACATGAATAAACCTAAATAAATAGTAATTTCTTAGGCGTAATTAATTTTTTTTATTTACATTTAAAATATGTGGGGAAAATATTAGTTTAAAAATATCTTATTGTACCATTTGTTATTCACTCGTTTTCACAGGTCTATGTGAAAATGTGAAGCACTCTTTTCTTTAAGCTTCATCTCTATTACATTTCTAATCTTATTTCCAAAAAATGCGACTCAAAATTATGTTGTGTATAAATAAATATAAATCAATATAGGTAAAGATACTTCTAAAGTATAAAATTATAAATAAATTCCAGCTTATAAGTGTTTTGCTCAAAAATTTTAGTTAAAAATTATAAATAAAATATTTTCCTTGGCAAAGTCAGTTAACATAGATATGAAGAAAAAAAGACTTTATCTATTTCAAATTTATTCCATGAGCAACTTCAAACAACGTTATTTTTATTACTAACAAACAGTGCAACAACAGATCGGAAATGATATAGGAATATGTACAAATATGTCCACGTATCGGACTGAAACGTGTCGCGCATTTTGAATGCAATGCAACTGCAGCAACAAAGTTCAATGAAAATCATTTGAATTTTCAACTCGAAATGCACCGCAAAGTAAGAAGAAGACGAACACAAACAACAACAAGACGAGAACCAAGCGCAGCTATAAAAAGCAATGCAAAGACAAAATTATAAAAATAAGTCGCACTCACACACACACACACAAGCGCAAACAGCGACACACGTTTCTTTGCTTTATAATTAACAGGCGTAGCAAATGTTAAAGACAATCCACCAACAACAACAGCAAGCATGCTTGTGCACGATTATTGCTATTACTCTGCAGTTGTTATTTGTTGTTTTTTATTTTAGAAATAAATTTATTCGCACGATTCAAAAAAAAGTGTGAAAGCAGCCAAAGAGAGGAGTTAAGAGAAGAAGAAGACGTGATGCGCATTTTGAATTAAAATATTAAGTAATTTGACAAATGAACAGCCAACAAAACCAGATTCGTATAAAAACAATGCAAACAAAAAAGTTGCCAGACAGCAACAACAACAATAGCAGCAACGTGGCCTGCTGCAGTTTGCTGACAGCGAACGTCGACGCCGACGCAGAGAGCAACCAACTCGGTGACTTTGCTGTCGCCGTTGTAATCACACACACAGGCACATGCACGCATACAACTACGCACCGGCACGCACTTTTTCAATTTGTTATCGCTTTCGCTTACAACTTGTTGTTGTTGTGGTGGAGGGGGCGATGCCAAGTCTTCGTGTTGTTGTTATCTTTATCTCTCTCTCGCAGCGACGACATTTTTACGTTTTGTTTGCCTTTTGATCTGTTGCTGTTGTTGTTGTTCTGGGTGCACAACAATTTTTCAATGAGTTGTGAATCTCACACATTTCTGTATGCATACATGTAAAAATGAAGAAAAGGCATAGGCAATGCACACACTAGTGCATTGCTAGAGCTGGACCGTGATTTTATCGATAGTTTATTAGAAAAAAAAAAACACGATTATATTTTTATTTAATTTTTTATTATTTAAAGCTAGACTATTTGTTAGGAATGAGGTAATAAAGATAAAATTGCATTCTTATAAAAAATAAATACTATAAATACATATACATATGCATCAATTTAAACAAAATCGTTTCTAACGAGAAGTGTCAAGCAATGTATTATTGTTGTTTATAGGTAGTTCTTCTTCTTTGAGCATTTGTTCTCGCTTGCTGCATGTTGAGAATTAGATACGGGGCAACAAATGGCAAATTTATATTAATTGCATCGAGTTAAATAAAACAGAAAGCAGAGAAGCTTTGTTTGACCATATCAAATATTGTTTGGATTTAAGCTGAGCAATATATACAATACAAAACTAAACAAATGAACGAGATGTTTATAAGTAAATACAATATATATATGTATATATATATATATACATATATTTGTACATATCATTAATCAACTTATGTTGTCTACTCCCGCAAACTTAATTGCTTTTTAATTTCTACCTTTTGCCGAAATACATTCAGAATGAGAACAGTTCACATTCAGAGAATGAGAACAGTTCACTCAGTCCAAATGAGATCAGTGCCCATTTTGATTAACATTAAGGGTCTGCATTAGCAATGTTAATCATCACACATTTCACGCTCGCTGCAGCATACATACATTTTTTGTGGTCACACTCTTTTTGCCAGCTCCCCTTTGCTCGGTTGTCTCGCATCCTTTGTCTGGCGTTGAGTGTTGCAAAATTCTAAGCCAAAGCTTTGCTCGACTTTAACTGGAAGTGACTAACGACTTACGTCTGTTATGTTGTTGTTGTTGTTGCTGCCTGAAAACAAATTAATTGTCGCAGACAGGCGGGCCAACAAAAGAAACAAAAGAAGCACAAGGCTATATTGATTTTTTAAATATATATGTGCTCTTTTGTCGATTGTGAATCGTTTGGCGTCTCGCTTTACCCTTGTTGAATTTGTCAGACAGAAAATAGAAAATGTTCGTCGTAAACTTTACAACACTCACCATTTTCAAGCTCTCGAAAACATAAAACTGTCATTTGTTGGAGGGTTGAGGTGTCGGGTGGGGTTCAATGTGCGTGGCACGAGAGCACGTTTTTTTTATTTTGGGTTGGTCAGCTAAATAGCAAACGTGCACGCGACATTTTTTTTCCTTTTGCCATTTTCTGTAAATGAGCAACAAGAGAATAGCTTTGCCGTTCTCGGCTTGCTTTGGAAGTCAAAAGTGCACACAGTAAAGTAAATTCGCCTTAATTGAATTACAAAAGTAAAAAAAAAAAAAATTGCGCGCGCGTTTATTAAGTTAGTTCTTTTTTAACGGGCGAGCCGAGCTAAGCTGTAGGGGGTGGTGGACAGGAGGCAGAGGGGGTGTGAGGAAGGTGTGGTGGCTGCGGTTCGTTGCACGCCACGGCACAGCGAGCAGCAGCATTTACGAAATAATAAGTTAGAACAATGAGTGCATAAGGCACTCTCCACGCCACATGCAAAAAAAAAACACGTAAAGAAAAAAAAGCACAGCCAGCAGAAGAAAGCGCGCAGTGTGCATTAAACTTTGCGCTAAATCTAAGCATTAAATTAGTGTGTTGCAGTTGTTGTTATTTGTCTGTTTGCTTGTGTGTGTGCGTTCAAGCATCACAAAAGACGCTGCCAAACACAGACAATAACTGTGCATGTGTATGTGTCTATATACTTATGTACAAATGGCTGCACTTTGTATGTGCCGGTGTTGCCACTTGGCTGCTGTCTGTTGCCTGTAAATTGAGTGGCAGCACTTGTACTTGTCATACGTCTCGAGTTCTTTTGTCTTTTTTTTTTTTTGCATTTGCTTTGCTGAATTATAGTGTGCGAGGAGCCGGCCGGCTATTTACAACCTGACTGACGAATTCGTCTGGAGAGAGAGAGAGAGAGAGAGAGACAGAGACAGAGCAAAGTGGCCTGGTTAGGCAAATTCGGCATACATCTGCTGCAACAATGCAGTCGAAGCGAACGCGAATGCAAATCAATAACCTAAACACAGGCACCAAAAATAAACATGGGTGCTTTTTTCTATTTTGTTTTGCTCTTTTTAAACAATTTTCTGGGTGGTTTATTCGTGTTGCAATTTACGCTTTTGCACAAATGCAAATACAGGTCGCCAGTGTTGGAAAGGGCACGAGTCTTGGAGTGTGGAGGGGTGGGGTTGAACAATTCGTGCTAATTCGCTAGTTGAGCACCGTTATTTTTAGCCTTTACACACAGAAGTCGACGAAAAAGGCAAGCAGCTGTGAAATTGTCGTAAAAATTGAAAGCTCAAGTCAAATGCAAACCGACACACACAGACACAAATGTATGTGTGTATTTACAGTTAGAGAAGTTGCGCAAATAACATGTTTTAGAGCATAGCAAAATACGGTTTATTTCAATTACGGCATAACGGTAAATGTATTTTATGATGCTAAATATGCGTACTTATTTATTTACTTACACAATTCAGCAGAACTGCCTAACTAAACCACTCAATTTCAATAACATTAAATGTACATAAAAATGTGTCAAAATTAACACCATCAGCTAAAGAGTTAGGGAGAGGTGGGGGGGATAGGGTGTGACCAGACCAAAGCTCAAATTGACATAATTAAGCAGAGCGAAACGACCGTTGCCATATCTCCATTTGTCACTTCCGGCTCTTTTGCCGATTGCACAACACTATTTGTAGGTGTTGTGTGTGTGTTAATAAAAATCAACGCTTTAGTATTTGTTTATTGTTTACCTTTTAGTATGAATGGGGAACCGCAGCGTGCAAATCTAAATTGTTGCGATCATTAAAAATGAATGGAAGCACCAATTGCGAGCAGAGAGAGAATTCAGATTTGCTGGCAAGGTCGTTCACAAATACATGCATAACAGTTATCAAATTTGTGATATGTTCGTGTATTTCAATAAGACGTCACAGCAGCTGTGCCTCTGCCTGACAGCGGTAATGATAAATGACAGACGGCTCTGTCTGTGACTGTAACTGTGACTGTGACAGAGTATGTGCGATGGTCACTCGTTCATTCACAATGGTTCACGCTATGAGCACAACACAAATGAAAGAGAAAGGAGGCAACGACGCTACTCACTCTGCCTGTTTGCCTGCCCTGTCGCTTGCCAACAAAAGAAGTGCGGAAAAAGAGCAGAAGAAGAAGTGGCAATGCTATTAGAGTCTCATAACAGTTTTAAATTGTGTGAGCCGCTGTTAACCCACAGCGTTGCCCTATTTGTTTGCACACCTTTTGTGCATGTGTGTTTCTTTCTGCGTGTGTGTGTGATTACGTGTCTGACAGTGTGGCAGGTGTAGTTTTTGCGTATTTGTGTGCTTGTTTGCTTGCTTGGGTGCGGTTTTCTCCACTACTCTCAACTTAATTTGACGCCCACTCGAAAGTTCTTCTTCATAGCTTTATACATTGATTTTCAATAAAATTGCATCCCTTTTTTTAAGTGACTGATGAATCACTTTAAGGAACTAATTGAACTTTACTTAATAACGGACTGTTATTAACAGTTTGCTTAATAATTATGTTAAGCCATAATATGACTTTGAATTTGATTGGCAGGCATTTTTCTGGTTATTTGTATACATTGGCAATTTATTATTAAAACTCATTTTTGTTTAATCTAAGATTGCAGCAGGTTGACAAGTGAATTTGCAGGCTGTTTGAGTAGTCAGCTTAGGCCTTAAGCTCCCCACCACAACATACATTGACTACTCGCATAACGGTGAAGGTAGCGCACACTCTCTCATCCCACGCTGCTTCGTACTTGATCGGGGGTCATCGGCATGTCTCTGTCGCTACAGTTGTTCTGTTATTATTGTTGTCACTGTCTTCGTCATCATCATCATCGTTGGCATTGCGCTGACGACACTAATACAAACAAACCACTGGCTTGTTTACCTGCTGCATACCTATTTCGCCAGCCTGCCCGATTGTGATTGGGTGGGCGTACAGCTGTTGTTATTGTTGTTGTTGTTGCTGGCATTGTTAATTGATATTGTGGATACAATAAAACCACCATTCATTCACATTGAAATGTTATGAGTTCAAGAAAAGGCAACACTGCCATATAATAAAACAAAACAGCCCGAAATAAATTCAAGTAGTGTGCCAATGGTTTTGACACTAATTGAGGCATCAACTGCTCATTGACAGCTAGCTAGATAACAAGAAAAAAACCTAACATGAATATTGTAAAAAAAAATTAAATAAAATTACTGCCAAGGCGTCATCAGCAGTGAATCTTATTATCAAAGTTGTTGTTTTTTAAAATATGTATTAAATTCCATTTAAGCCCGGTTATTTGTGCAGCGCTCAAAGTACGGTAAATATTATAGAGTCAATATTTGATGTGCAATTTACTCATGTGAGTCTTGGCTCTCAACAACATATTTTATTGATAGTGATTAGCGTTTCAATTGGTTTAATTGCTACATGCCGCTAGCATCTGGCAACGCTGCAGCTGCTGATGACCGCCCATAAATTTTCTTTTACACTTGCAATACGACTATTTCCCTTGCATATTTGACAATTGGACAATTTGGCAGTCAACGATAAAAACGTGACGCAGTGCAGCAGGAAATAAAATTGGACAATTTTAGCTAAAGGTGAAAACAAAACAATTCTTTGAATAGTTCAAATTGATGGGCGATCTATGTACGCACAGCGTTGCCATAATTCTGGCAGTAAAAATCGCACAAATATGCGAAATTTGTATTTGCATTTCAAGATTAAGAGATATACTTTAACACAATTAGTGCTAAAGACTTTAATTACATACCACAAATGAGATTTTGAAGCTGTTTATCAGTTGACATACTTATGTCTATATATACATGTATATGTATATATATTAATTTATATGTGTCAGTCAGCAACGGCCTTACCAATATTAAATTAGCATTAGGTGTTTATTATATTTAGCTTTGTTTTGGGGTTTTTTTTTCACTTGGTTTGTCCAAAATATTACGTAAATGTACGCTCATAACTGCTGTTGCTAGCTTGCCACACTTTACCAAAAGGGACTCGAAAAATTAATTTTTTATCAGCACCTTTAATGACGTTTCACAGCAGCCATGCTGCATTCGCTTGCTCTCTTTGCTGCATCTCTTATGCTTGCGGCTGCTCTCTATCTATCTTAGTTGTGCTCTCTCTCTCTTAGTGAGAGAGCTTCATGCAACACTGCGCTCATCTGTTCGTCTATTGTGAATGGAAACGTGCTGCAGAAATAAATTAGTGCTACTCTTTAAGCTTAAGTTTGTTTGCTGTCATCGCCTTCACATTTTTAGACCAACAAACAAACAGAAAAGAGCGCAGCATGCATAAATTATAAAGCATTGTAAAGTAAAGTAAAGTAAAGGCACTTGCGCGCCATTAATTATGCAATAAAGGCAATTTCACGTCGCATGCATTTTGCATGAGGAGCAGAAGTTCTTTTTTTTCGTAAATAGAACGAACGTATAACAAATTTATTGAATAAACTATGTGCTTGGGCTTGACTGACTGCTAGAGAAGTGCGTACCACCCTGGAGATCGTACCGAAAATGTTTTGTGACGTCAGAGCAGCAGGCGAATAAGGCGCCAATGTCGATTTATTTGTTGCCGTTGTTGTCATTGCTGTTGACATGCTGATGCGAAGGCAAAAATACAAGAATTAAAAATAGTTTACAAGTGCCGACAACTTGGACAGTGAGTCTAAAGAGTTTTCGTCACAGTTTCATTTTGAATATTAAATGTTCGCAACAATTGTGAATTCTGTTTCAAATTCGTTAGCTTTTTAAAAGAAAACATGGCTGTTCATTTAACACATTTTATAACACTGTTTGTGGTTTGCAATAATCTCACAAATGTCCCCAAATTGTTTTCGGTTGCAGTTTGTTTGTCCACTTTTTTTTGACCCACTGTATGTATTCAGCGAATAAAACAGGAAAGAGTGTAAGGAAAATCAATAATATTTTTGGTGTCGCATTTCATCTCGATGGATGATAATAATGATAAATGTATAATTGATAAATGAGAAATGTAAAAATAATATTTTTGATAAAAACTTTTTGTTTTTGTTTTGTATTTTTGCAGGTTGAAGCTGGCGACGTTATATTAAAAGTCAATGGCATCGATGTGCATCGCCACACAACGAAAGAAGGCAAGTTGAACTACGATTTTATACCAATATATATCTAATCGTTTATTTCCCAATTTTAGTACTCAAGTGCTTGCGTCTGTCGGAGAATTTAGTTACCTTGGAACTGAAACGAGGCAAGCGACAATTAAATATTATTCCTTTTTGTATATTCCATGAATAACACTCTGTGTTCTTACAGATCCAAAGTTAAAAGCGCGCATTAAAGAGCAATTGGCCAACACGCAGAGTCCGCATTACGTGGACATTGAATCTCCCATCAATATCTACGATTATAGCAGTAGTCCCAAGCATCAACGTCAGCATCAGCATCAGCATAATAAGGGCGCGACCACGCCCACAAATGCTGGTGGTTCGCCGGCGTTGCGCTATAAATCGCCAACGCATTTGCCTTCGCTGCGCCAACAATCGCCAACAGCAACTGCTGGAACAACAGCAATCGTAACAACAACACAACAACAACACACGCACAGTCGCAACTCTTCCGGTGGTAGCTCGACCAAGATCCAAATGGTGGAATCGATCACCAGCATTACGACAAGCATAAGCAACAGTAATTTAGTGGTTGCCACTTCTCCGACAGCAGCAGCTGTTGCCGGAGGCGCCGACAGCGTTGCCACATCGCCCACATTTCGACCCTCACGCATTCCACAGGCACTGAAAGCCGTCGCCGCACCGCCCAAGTTGCCACAATTGCAGTCGCCGCAGCACAAGCGACCACGACCCTCCCAAATACCAACGAAGGCAGCCAACGGCGGCAACAACGGTCTGCAACAGTTGCCGTTGCAACACTCGAATAGCTACAGCGGCAGTCCGGCCGTAAGCCGTCAGCGTTATACAGAACGTAGCGAACCGGAACCGGAACCAAATTCGGCACCGCCACAACCGGCGAAGGCGCCCCGCTTCGAAGCATATATGATGACCGGTGATCTAATCCTGAATCTATCCAGAACGCCACAGTCAAGCAATCTGCTAACGGCGCAAGCCAAGAAGGTAATATTAAATAGAGATCTAGGAATAAGTCGTAAGTTTTTAACGACTTAATGGCTTCATTTGACTGTGACAAGCACTGGAATTAATTGAAGTATCAGTTGAGTTCACTATCAGCGCGGGTTCCTGGTTACCCGTGGTACCGTAACCAACAAATACTGCCAATTTAAACTCCTAAAAACTCCCGTTGAAAAACTCCCTTTGAGCTGCCACTAATTATATATCTTTTTTTCCTGTTTTTTTTTTTAGGTGGACAGTTTGCGTGACTTTCCCAAACGCAATCTGGGTAATGCGCGTCCAAATGGCGCCTTAGCACCACGTGCCTCAGGCGAATCTTCGCCCACATCTTCCTCATCAGTTGATTCGCCCACCAATACGGCCAGTTCGGATTCGGTGAAGCGTGAGGCAAAGTTGCAACAACAACAACAAAGAGGCCAACAGCAGCAACAGCAGCAGCAACGTGACAGCATCAATAACAGTTACAATCGTCGGGATTCGTTGACCAACGATACCTTGGTGTTGTGCGAGGAGCTGGAGCGGGATGAGGATGCCACCGTTGGTGACTACGGCGACAATAAGCGACAACAGCAACAACGTCAAGCGCAGCAACAGCAACGCTATCGACAACAGCAGCAACAGCACCAACAACAGCAACAAGAACAACAGCGCTATGAGTACTACCAAAACGAGGACGAACTGGGGGAGGAGGAGGATGGGGATCCGGAGGAGCGTGAAGAGGATCAAACGCACTACGACATCACCAACATCGAGACATACCAGAGTGGACAGGGACGTGGCGACGACGAGGACGACAGCGATCGTCAGTGTCTGGTTGATGATGATGACGACGAGGACAATGTTGACTACGATGAGGAGGAGAACGATGCCGGCGATGAGGAGTACTCGACCAATTCCCTAGGCTCCGGCTCGGCCAAACAACGGATGCGTGCCCTCAAACAACGCAGCATTTTGCGGCAACAACAACAGCTGCAACAGCAGCGAAATCGTGATGCCGTCGATTGTGCCGGTCGTGGTGGATTGGCGGCTGGCATTGGTTATTCGGTTGCCTCGACATCCAACTCATCGGGGACGGTGAAAAGCGAGGCGATCTTGGGTCACGGCCAGGATGAAACCTCGTACTCAGTGCCAACATCACCCATATCGCTGTCGGCGCCGCTCATCGACAAGGAGATGGCCAGTTCGGTGCCGACCAGTCCCGAGCCCAGCTCTTTGGCTGCTGCTGTCGAGTCGAGCAATGGTGGCGCCGGTGCTGGTTCTGGTGGTTCTGGGTCTGGTGGTGTTGTGGTGCGTCGCCACAATGGTCATGTGGTGCGCAAGTGTGATGCAGCCGGTTTTCGTACCAGCAAATCCGAGGATCATCTGCAGCAGATACAGCGCGAGGGCATTGCCGCTGTGATACCCATCGATATCGATGAGGATGTGAATAGCTCGCTGAATACGCTGCTCGATACACGCCACGATTCGGAGGATTCGCAGGTAAATCTTTGGATTAAATGGATCCTCTTACACCAGTTTAGTTTAAGTCCGCTGGCAGCAAATTAGTTGATGATAGATTTTAGCTGAGATTGATTATTCAGCCCCCGCCCTTCTTCTTTCACCTCAGAACACGCCTGTTGTAGAATCCTGTTTCGACTGAACTTAAAACTGTTGTGTGTAGTCAATCACGATTGATGTGTTTCTGTATCGATTTAACTAAAATTCTATTATCATCATCATGGAATCATATATATGTACATGACTACCACTCGCTGTAATTCAACTCATGTTTCCCCATTCTCATCTCTGTAGACATTTTACTTACTCTCGTTACTTGTTAATTGTTACTCGTTACTATTTGCTCTCTGTATTTACTTTCCTCCCATCTATCTTATCCTATCTATCTATCTAACTATCTACTCAATTACATCGATTAACTATTTCTATATTGTTCTTACACTTAACTCTTACTCTTACTTGTGTTCTTCTTTCTTTCCTTCCTTCCTTGCGTTTTCTCTGTTGATTCGTATTTTATCTAAACATTTCTCTACATATGCGCCAATTCTTAAAAAAAAAACAAACAAACAAAAAAATAGTCGACAACAACGACGGCATCAACGGTTAAGAACAACTCGTCGTCGGCGCTGAACAACAACGAGAACGCAAACGACGAGTTTGACTCGAGCAGCAACAACAATAACAATAACAATGAGGCCACAGCCGAATTGCCGCCATTATCACCAAGTAAAGCAGCAGCAACAACAACAACAACAATAACCGCAACAGCAGTATCAGCAACAACTAGCCGAGGCTGCAGCAACAAATTAAACTATATTTTACGCAAAAAGGTTGCCATTTGTTAAGCATGGCATGTTTGAGAATTAATCTGCTTATCTGTGTATTATAATTTGCCAGTCGCTGTTTTTCTTTAGTTTTTGTTTTTCCTTTGTGTTGTTGCCTGCGCTTTTGCCAAAACCGTTTGTATCGTAGATATCAAGTAGAAATAACCGATAACCGTTAACCGATAACCGATTACATTCAATACAAACGCTTTTTACTACACTTTACCCAACACTTACTGCGTTTATGCAAGGCAAGGGAATTTCATGCAAGTACCAAAAATGTCCCTTTATAAATATCCCAAAACAAATTTAAATACTCAAAACATGACAGCCGCCCAATGGAGCCATGGTGTAGTTATAGAAGGTGGTAAAAGCAGTTATTTTGAGGTGGCAATCTAATAGGTGTGATTTTGCATTGTTTTTTTTTGCCTGTCTGGCAGCAAAGGGAGTACAAATTATTGATGCAATGAACCGCATCTATATTAAATATTTAATAATAAAACAAAATAGAAGAAACTTTAATTAAAGCTATGCAAATAAAATATATAAAGCAACTGTCAAAAAAAAAAAAAATAATTCGTCATAGCAGCTGCTTAACAGCCGTCAAAATACCTTGTAGAGTTACACCATAACCCATCATTCTGTGTTTTTGCAAGGAAATTTCATGCAAGTCCCAGAAATTACACTTTATAAATTTCCCAAAACAAATGAAAATACTCAAAACGGGTGGCAGCCCTATGGAGCCGCATAAATTGTGATTCGATGAGAACCACAAAAACCATGTCTTAATTTTTGTGGTTTGACAGCAATGATTTTTATTAAATAAGCAAGCATAAGCGCAGTTAGAGACTCTATTTTGTATACACACATACACACACACACGCAGAGAGACACACGCAGAGAGACACACACTGGCAACACTTTCTTAGGACTCTCTCAGATTGGGCAATGGCAAATGAAAAAAAAAAAACAAATATATGAAAATTAATATATATTTCTAGTTTTAAGAAGCGCCTCAATTGAGCCATTATTAATTAATGTCTTCTCTCCACTGCAGGCATCAAATCGCGATCGCATCGTGTGGACTTACAATGCCCCGCTGCAGCCACATCAGTTGCAGCAACTGCAGCAACAGCAGCAACTGCAGCAACAGCAGCAACTGCAGCAACAGCAGCAACTGCAGCAACAGCAGCAGCAACAGCAGCAATACTACGGTCAGCAATCGCATTCAAATTCACATTCAAGTTCCATTAGTTCATCACCACAGCATTCGGCAGCCGGCAGTCCGGCCTCACCCACATCGGTGTCCTCGTCCGTAATGTCCTCGTCGGGCTCGAGGAGCGCACCAGTCGCTCAGCAGCAGCAGCAGCAGCAACTCGCACAGCAGCAGCAACTCGCGCAGCAGTCAACTGTTGGCACGCCGGGTCTGTTGGGCTGTCCAAATGGTGGTGGTGCTAATGGTGGTGGTGGTGGTGGTGGTAGTAGTGCTAATGGTGGTGGTTTTGGCAACGATCAGAGCGTCTCCGAGGCCATCTCAAATATCTCTAGTCCCGACTATCAAGACGACGATAACTTATTGAGTTCTCGCGATATTTTAGGCGGCATGGTACTTAGCGATCCCAGCGACTCGGACTCCACCATTCTCGTCTCGGATGCGGCCGCCCAGCAGCGCCAGCAGCAGCAGCAACACAAACAACAGCTGCGTGCCCAGCAACAGCAGCAGCGGGAGCGAGAGCGGGAACGTGAACGTGATCCCTCAGAGCATAAGCTGGTCATCCAGGTGCGTGGCAAGGATAGCAATGCGAGCAATACGAGCAGCGCCGCCACACGATCCTCCGAGGAGGATGGCGGCGGTGGCGGCAACAACAACAGCACCGAGGAGCCGCTCACAGCTTTGGCAACGGCTGGCCGGGATGGATCACCGCCCGTTTCGGATGATGGCAGCGATGTGGAGTCGCTGCACTCGTATCATTACTCACCCAAGGCGGTGGACATGCCATCGGCCATACGCCTGGCCAAAAGACTGTATTCCCTCGATGGTTTCAAGAAGAGCGACGTGTCGCGGCATCTCAGCAAAAAGTTGGTTACATTCTCTAACACACTCCACACAGCTAATCCTCAATACATTAATGAATCATTTATTGTATTTTTAGCAACGACTTTAGCCGCGCTGTGGCCGATGAATATCTGAAGCATTTTAATTTCGATAAGAAATCCTTGGATCTAGCACTGCGCGAATTCCTGCAGCAATTCTCGCTGTCGGGCGAGACACAGGAGCGTGAACGCGTCCTTGTGCATTTCTCGAAACGTTTCCTCGACTGCAATCCGGGCACGTTCAACTCACAGGATGCGGTCCACACGCTCACCTGCGCCATTATGCTGCTGAACACAGATCTGCATGGGCAGAACATCAATCGCAAAATGAGCTGTGCCGAGTTCGTTGACAATTTGGCCGATCTCAACGATGGCGAGAACTTTCCCAAGGATGTGCTCAAGTATTTGCATCAGGCCATCAAAACGAAGCCGCTCGAATGGGCGCTGTAAGCAATTAATTCGCATTCGAAAACTTGCAATTTCTGCAAACTAGAATCACCTCTTGTAACTAACACATTAATATTTTGATCTTCCCTTTTTCTTTTTTAGTGATGAGGAAACTGCCGAATCGCAGCAGCAGCGTGCCAATAATAATACTACACTGACTGGCGTCAGTCAGAATCCGTTCCTGGATGCACCCGAATCAGCCACAGCCATTGAGTACAAAAAAGGCTACGTGATGCGCAAATGCTGCTACGATACTAGTTTTAAGAAGAGTAAGTTTTGTGAATCAAAAACCAATTAGCTGAAGAAGACTTAAATTGTGAATTGCTTACAGCACCATTTGGTAAACGTTCGTGGAAAATGTTTTTCATAACGCTGCGCGATCTTGTTCTATATCTGCACAAGGACGAGCACGGCTTTCGCAAAAGTCAAGTGAGTTTGTCGTGGAATTGTGGCCAGTTTCAGATGCAGTTACTCAGTTTAATTTGTATATTCTTTCTCACACAGATGTCCGACAATCTGCACAATGCGATACGCATACATCACGCACTGGCCACTATGGCCAATGACTACACTAAGAAGCAACATGTGTTCCGGCTGCAAACCGCCGATCAGGCTGAGTATCTCTTCCAAACGAGCGACTCCAAGGAGCTGCACTCCTGGGTGGAGACAATTAATTATGTTTGTGCAGCGTTTTCAGCGCCCCCACTCGAAGGCGGCGTCGGCAGTCAGAAGCGTTTCCAGCGCCCTCTGTTGCCCAGTGCGCAAACCAAGCTGCTAATGGTGCGTTGATTACCGTTGTTGACTCGACAGCAAATTTTGTGCGTATGTTAATTGGTAACTTTACCATTTGCAGAAGGAACAGCTCGAGTCGCATGAGGTGCAAGTGGCTCAGTTAAAGCATGAGCTAAATGAGCATCAAAAGGCGCCAGTGCCTAGCAAAGGATTGCCTTTGCAGAACTTTAAAGAGAAGGAGAGCTATTTGCAATATGAGGTGGGTGCTGTTAACTCTCACTGTTAACGCTCTGTCTGAGATCACTGTTAACTCCTCTTACAGCTCCGTCGCTATGAGGCGTATGTAAGCATTCTAACTGCCAAGCTGCTCGCCGATCAGCAGCAGCCATTGGAATTGCAACCGATAACAACGACAACAACAACACCAACGCTCGAGGAGGACGCAGACACATTCCCCGTGGGCAACAGTAGCGCGCCCACAACGCCGCAAAGTATTAACAGTCAACAGCAGCAGCAACAACAGCAGCAGCAGCAGCAGCAGTCAACTAATAGCAGCAGCAGCAGCAGCAGCAGGTACAGTCAGCAACAGCAGCTGCGGGCAAGGAACTCCTCATCCAGCGGCAATGCCCAACAGGACATTGGCTGACGCGTAATGGGAGTTTTCTCAGCTTGTGTGGTTTAATTGCAAATACCCTTACCCATTTCTTAAAATGTTTCTTTCTTTTTGTTTACGTGTTGTGTTCCTTGGTTTCCGCTTGTTTTTGTTTTTGTTGTCATTGTTGGTCAGCTTGTTTTCAATTAGTTGTTATCCACACTTGTGTAAATACAAAATGTTGTTCAAAATGGTTTGTGCACACCTTTGTCCTTCTCTGTCCTGTGTCCTGTGTCCTCTGTCCTTCGCCCCAAGCGTGCAATTATCAGATCACGCAAAAAGCTTTAATCATCAATTATCAAATGCCTAAACAATAATTCAGACTTACAAGTTGCGCTCGCGTAGGCAATTAAAATATATATATATCAAGCAAAAAAAAGGCCTAATCTAATTAGTTCATATAAAATAGATTTATTTCTTTGTTCTTTTTTTGTTGTTCTTAAACAAACGAAAGCCACACAACTTACTGTGAAAACTCTAAGGAAAATTAATAGAATTTTAAGCGAACAAAAGTTGAACAAATCAAAAAGAAAAAAAAACAAAAACAAAAAAACAACGTTTTTTGTAGCACTCGTAGTAAAAACTCAAATTTTTGGCGTTAAAAACAATATATAGAAGACAAAAGAAAAAAAGAGAAGAACTCAAATGTGGTTCAAAAGTAGTTACGTTTAATGTTTATACCTTGCCGAACAAAAGCATTCTAAATATACATAATACATACATATTAAATCGGATATATCGTTTTCAAAGCGAATTCAAAATCGAAAACATTTTAATATAGAGTTATAATATGATTAGAGCTCTTTGAGACATATGCGCACATTATAATGTTTCTGTTGATACATACATATACATATGTAATTGTCGCCTATAGTTGTTGGACATACACACACACACACAATCACACACACACACACACATCATGCATACTCTGATGTATACTATGTATAAGATTCATGCTAACAAAGTGGACAAAAAACCCATGCGAAAAAACAAACAAACAACAAAACAATGCTGCTTGTGTTTTCAGCATTAATTAATTCCCTCAATATTCTGTTGCGTTATGTTTCACATGAAAAAAAAAAACAAAAAAACGACAAAGCACAAAACCAAACACAAAGAATTCTTGAATTTTTACAGATGGTTCGGCGGCGCCTGCTGTTGTCTCGCGCCCTGGCGGCAATTGCTCTCCTATTTCGAATGCAACTGAAATTTGTAAATTTGTTCAATCTAAGTCTAAACTAGCCATCTAATAACTGCACACAAGTACAACAAGAACAACAAACAACAACAGCAACAAGAACAACAGCAACAAGAACAACAACACCAGCAACAAAAAATCAACAACAAGCAAATATTTCAAATGGGAGGCAAACGCTAAAGCAACACAACTCAGCCCAGCAAACAAATAACAGCAACAACAATTAAACAAAACAATCTCAAAGAAACAAAAGAAAAATATACAAAAAACAAGGCTCGACATAAATGTGAGCAAGTCAATTGCAAAATCCTTATGTTTTACATGTTCTATTGTCAATTGTCCAGTTTTGTATAGCTTTGCTGTATATATATATAAATATATACGTTATCTATAATCAGATATTCTATTATTTTCTATTACAACTTGGCACATTTGTATATATGCTCTATATATATATATATTTATTTATATATTTTTTGTATCTATAATTTTGATATGCATCTATATAAAATATTAATATCGAGTTTGATTTTCACTTGCAGCAGAAAAGAGAAGAAAAAGAAATAATTACGCATTTTCGTTTCGCTATTGATTTTTGATCATTTGAACTCTACACCACAACACCACACACTTCGGCAATTGGTAAGCTAATAACGAATAACGAATAACAATTTTAAATTAAATTTGACCATTCTCTCTCTGTTCGAAATGCAGCCCAAGTCTGTGCAAACAAAAATACTCCAATTGCCACTCACACACCACAACACACCACAAACCAACACAACACAACACACACCAAACCACACACGCATCCACTCGCACACTCCAACACATCACTCGACTCACAACGCACAAACACACACAACGGATTGGAATCGAGGGAGCCACATTGATGATGATGATAGAGAAAAATGGGGGAGATTGGGAAGAGAGAGAGAGAGGGGGGAGAGAGACTATAAACACTCACGCGTTGCGGCTGTGCCGTGCGGCGCCAAACAGTCTGCCAATAATTCAGAATTTATGTACATTTCTTAAGCTACATAATACATTATGGAGATGACTATAATTGTAATCGAAGTTGTTAAGGGTATTAAGATCCTAAAATACATCTACAAAATCGAACGTTCAACAGAGCCGGGCAACGAATATATATATATATATATATATATAGCTATATATATATATTCATTATATATCACATTTATCATAATTTTGTTGAGAGCAAAAATGTTGCTGGTCTCGTTGAGTTGTCGTACTCCTCAGTTGTGAGCAACTTTTTCTTTACAAGCATTAATTATTGTTACGGTTTCACAAAATCTTAAATGAAGCCAATATCGCTGGTTACTTTAAATTACATAAATACATAAATATTTTGTTCTATTGTTTTGGCATTTGCCGAAGACTCTGCTGAACGGCATTTTGTGTTTGTTGTAACGTATACACTTCAATGTATACACTGCTTATTCACATATATATATATATATATTTATATATATATATATATATATATATATATACATATTATTTAAACAATTTATATACATTATAAACACGGAAAACAGAAAGAACGAAACTTACATCATTACCTATGATATCATTATAAATGATAAAAATAAATTATTAAAACATTTTCTCGATGAACAATTGCGAATTATGTCGAAGAGAAGGTATTTAATTTGCATAATTGGCCTTTTTGCGATAAGTAATTCTCTCCAATATTATTATGTACGGTTGCATATGTATTTATTTAAATAACAATATTTGGTTGATTACGCGACAAGTCCACGTAGCTAGAATATGAAATTATAAGAATCGAGAACGAATCACACATAAGAATTAAAACGAAATACAATAACTTTGACTACATACGTATGTATATTTTTTATTAATCTATATATATATACATATATATATATTATATTGTGTAATTATGTAAATGTAAACTGTATAACAATTGTTTATAATTATTTTTAACAATTCTATTGAAACGGCAATAAATTGAGAAATGATACAACATATTTGAGAACCTATGTACTGCTTATATAAAGAAACTTATGTGTATATTTTATTCAGTCACTTTGTAAACCCACATAATATTTCTATAAATGAAACAAAGGCAGATGATGGACACAATTAAGTGCTAAACGATAAGCTTTGAGTGTAGCTTAGAGTTCATTATATATATATATATATATATATATATATATTATATACATACAATTTATGTATATGCATATACATGTAACCATGTATATATGGTTAAGTGAACGGCAAATCAACCACAAAAAACAAAACACATTCAACCAATTGAGACACATTAAAAACTCTTCCAACAAAAATTGAGTCCTTTCAATATATTGTGTGTTTTACTCGGTTTTAAATGTGAACGATGTGTCAGTCTCCTCGAGCATATTCTCCAGGCGCAGTCCCAAATTTCGTCGCTGCATATCCACTTTAATCACGGAGGCGACTATCCGATCCCCAATGCTAAGCTCCGAGTTATTCATATGGTTTCTATGGATGAGACCATCACGTTCAACGCCAACATCAACGAAGGCGCCAAAATGCGTCACATTTGTGACAGCTCCTAAAGGGAGACGAGAACAAACAGTCATGGATCGAATTTTGATGTTTTTTTTAGCCAAATCTACAAACCTGTGACCACATCACCCATGCTGAGTTCATCCAGCCGCGTTAAACCTTGCTTGAAAAGCGGCCGTTTGTCCAGATCCGCCCGATAATCCTGCAGAAGCTCACGCTGCAGAGCAACCAGCACAAACTTTAGCTGCAAGCAACAAATAAATATGTAATCATAATTAATGTTAAAAAATATGATTAATTCGCTGCTTACCCGATCCATGTGCAACTTGTGCTGCTCGGCAAGCTTCTCGAGTTTTCGCTGAGACATGGCGAACTCCTTGATGCGCTCCATAAAGCTAGCCTTGCCAATATCCGAGAGTTTTAAGTCACATTCTCGTACAACGCTGAAAAAAGGTCAACGAAATTATAACAGTATTAATAATCAATTCCACACATTGTACAATGCCGCCCAAGTTGAAGGTCAGCGAGCTGAAGAAGCTCTACGAAGAACGCTGGCAGTATCCGCCCGCACAGAAGCCGACCAAGATCAAGTTCATCGCCTGCGGTGACAGTCCAAACTATGAGAATGAGAAGAAATCGTATTCGCCATGCTGGAAGTCACCGATGGCAATAACAGCGGATTTACACTATGGTCCCTGCTGGGATTATCCGCCGAAACGGTACAGGCGCCATCCGTTGCCGTCGCCATGCCGTGGAACGATCATTCCAGCAAATGCCGTAGTGCCCTCTTTCAAGCACTGCGAAACGCCTTACAGCCGCTGCGATTTCCGGCTGGAGCAGTGTGTGCAACAGCAGATACTTCTCATTGAGACACTTTTCAGGGATCTGGAGAGTCAGCATGAGAAAGCCAAGGAGCTGCAAATTGAGATGACCAAAGAACTGCGTGATCAGGCCATACGCCGCCGCCTGCTGATTGGATCGGCATGTGGCATCAAGATCTACCCGGAATACCTAAGCCAGATGGCCGAGCAGCAAGCACTGTGCGAGTTCCAAAAGGCACACAATGCCATCAATACATCCAAGTATGACACACTATATAGTATCGCCTTAACTTTTCAATATTTAATCTGTTTACCTTGCAGCGCTGAGCTGGCAGCTTCAGTGCTGGGTATCCGTAATGCAATGCCAGAGCTGCGTGCGCGTTTGGACAAATTGGATCGGACACTGAAGAGTCCGTTTGTATTGGGCCTGAAAAAGGTGCTGCAAACCATACAGGATCTGTACGATTACTTCTTTGAGGTGGCACGCAAGTACAAGACCTGGGCACAGTTGATCGACGCCGCCCAGCAGCACTCAATTGAGGACTATTTGCAATTGCTAAGCGCTGATATGGATTTTGAGAGCTTCAAGCGCGCTGGCACCGAAAACTGCACCTGCAAGCGATGCAGCAACAAGAACCCATTGGAGCCATATCTGCCCTGCTGGTGCCAGGGACGTGATCGTCGCGATAAAAGCGTTAGGCTTGTGCAAACCGATTACCAGTGCCACAAGAAAATTTATACCAAACTGGAGTCCAGCGATAGCAGCTATGGAGAGAAGCAAAGTGATACCTCATTGCTGCAGCAGGAGTTGCACAAGTTGGATGATGACTAAAAGCAGTCCAGCCTCGTTTGCTTGTTCAATTTTCAGCAATGTTTTCGAATTACAATCAAAATAAGTGGTTTTTCCTTTTCTTTTTTTGTTGGTTTACTTACGCATCGGCCACTTTGTAGCTTTCGGGATGTACCCAGGTGCAGTCGAGCGGATTGCTTAGCTTGCCTCCTACACTGAGAGGCTCAATGCGAACGAAGCCGGCACACTGAACAAAAGTTTTCTCTCCTATGCTTCGCACAGACAGCAGATCCTTGCGCGTCTGAAACGGACCCTTCTGTGTGCGATGCTCAATGATTTTCTCCGCTTTCTTCTCCGACAAGCCGGCAATGTGTCTACGGATGGATAATTCATATAAACATGTGTACATTATGCACAAGTGCATATGTAATGAGACCTACTTTAAAACACTGAGACTGGCCGTGTTTAGATCGACTCCCACATAGCTAACACACTCGGAGACAACGTCGTTCAGAGTCTCCGTCAACATTTTCTCATTCACATCGTGCTGATACATGCCCACACCCAAGTGGCGTGGCTCAATCTTTACGTACTCACTGAGCGGATCATTTAGACGACGGGCAATGGAAACTGTAAAGATATTTGTCAATTTAATTTATCTTAGCTAGAGTCTTTTGTTCGCGCCAAACCTGCGCTTATCTCGTTCATGTCCATTTTGGGAAACTCCTTGGTGGCCACATCGCTGCATGAGTAAATGGAGGCGCCATTCTCGTTCACAATACTGTAGCGAATACTGCGACCGTCCAGAATGCCCGCTTGAAAGAGCGATGTCAACCACATCTCGGTCTCACGACAGGCGGTTCCATTGCCAAGTGCAATCACTCTACAGCTATAATAATAATTACAATTTATATTTACTCTAATATATAAAATGAAATTCACCTACTTGTATGCGCTTAGCAATTGTACTAGCTTCTGTTTGGCGCCTTGCAGATTGGAGTGCCGGCCATGCGGATAGATGACTCCAGTTTCGAGGACATCAGCTGTTTCAGACACTAGTGCCAGTTTGCAGCCGTTTGTAAAGCCGGGATCAATGCCCAAAATGCGTTCACCTTTCAGCGGGGTCATCAGCAGGAGTTGCTTTAAATTCTTTCCAAACACTTCGATGGCTGCACGGGTCGCTTTCTCCTTCAGTTCAACGCGTACCTGACGGCACAGCAGCGGATGCACTGAAAATGAATATAAAACATTACATAATTGTTGTCTCATTGTAACTCATTCTTACAGCTTACATTTCTTGGTAAAGCACTCTTCTAACGCACGGCTAAAGACCTCTCTCCGCAGTGGATACTGCAGTCCTTGAGACATATACTGGTCCGATATGAAACGCATTAGATCGTTTTTCAAGTAATTGTTGGTCTCCACTTTGACGATGAGAAACTTGTGCTTCTCTCCCCGATTAATGGCCAGGGTTTGATGCGGTTTAATTGTCTTAATATCGGATTGAAAGTTAAAGTAATTCTCAAATTTGGAACTGTCCAGCTTCTTGTCAGCAATTCCATTGGAGGCAGCAGCGGATTTACTGGCTGTTGCTGCTTTTGTTGCTGTTGTGCTTTTGGTCTTGCTGCACTTGAGCACTATGCGTTGTACATTTTGTCTACGATGAGATGATGATGTATATAAGAAATGTTTAGCTCTTTTTGGGTTTAACTCACATTCGTCTCAATTCTTCGAGTACACTTGTGTTCTTGCTAATATTGTGTATAATGATGTTGCATATGCCCACCATTACCTGCTCTTCTGTGGCCAAATCGGAGTTCTTCGGATCAATAGCTGAGACTAGATGCACTTGCGGTGCTGTTCCGTAGAGCAGTGCATCGGCATACACCTGCAATCCTAGTGCCTTGGCGCGCTCCGCCAGTGTGCCCTTGCTAGCTGGTTTATATGGTGCATACAAAAATTCGAGCTCTTCAGCTGTCTTGGCGCACATCAGCTCCTCGCGTATATCCGTATTGAGTACACTGTCACGTTCCAACTGAGTGACGATATTCTCCGCTCTCTTGCGCAGATCTACAATATCTGTGTAAGTGTTTCGAATGTCTCGCAATCGGTCTGGCGTTATATGATCCACCAAATCACGTCGATATCTAATAATTCAGATACAAATTGCATATTAAAATTGATGATAGATAAAGATAGAAAGATATTTCCATCAGTACCGGCAAATAAATGGAATGGTATTCTCATTTTCGAATAACTGAACTATATTTCGCGCCGCTGTTGGCTGAATATGCTCCGTTTCGGCGAGGAGTTCATATACGTTCCACACTTTGCGTCGCTCCCAAAACGAGCTGCGATTCGTGGTTGAACTGGTAGTTGCTACAGGAGCCGAGCTATGTGCAGCTCCATCCACTTCTGAGGCAGTTGGTACGGATTGTTCCACGGCTGCCTCATTCGCGCTGCTGCTTGGATTGGGAATCGCATTCTCTTTGTCCTTTTTCGCGCGCTTTTTCTTTGGCGCGGCGGGCTCTTCGGAGCAGGCATTGCTTTTATGGTCAATCCAACGTTTTCTTTTTCCACTATTGAAATATAAATGATTATAATCTAATGCTTAGCGGTGGTTCTGTATGCAAATATAAATGCTTACGCGCCAGATGCTACAGCTGCTGCTCCACGATCTATAACACGAGATCGGGTCTCTGTAGGCCTGTAGTCATCATTGTCATTGCTGCCGCCAAAATCCTCTTCCGAATCGGATAACTCAACTATTATTGGCTTTTTAACTGCCGCACGGCGCGGTCGCTTAGACATCTTAGTTAAGTTAATCAAAAAGAGGCAATGTTTTAGGTTTCATATTGTATTGATTCGTGATGTGCTTCTTCAACATTAGAGTATCGATACTCGGTATCCAGTATCGGATACATTCGCAATTATCGTTCAAATTCATATTTAAATTTTATCACTTGAGTGGAATTCCATTCACTTAAACTTTTTCTCTTTTTGTCAAAATTTGACATAGGTCTGAACAGGCTGACGTAGAAATTTATTTATATATGTATACATATGTATATATAAATATATAACATTGATGTACACATTTTTGATATTTCCATTAAACTGCCAAATATATAAATTTCAAATTTCTTGTAAAATTATGGCGTATTCTACGCAGAGGATATTTTTTCATATGCCATTTATGAATCAAACGCTTGATTTTGTGTGCCCGGACGACTGTTTCAAGCTAAAGAGCTATCCATCAACATTCGATGATCGCTCTTGGGCAGCCGGTGAGACCAAAAAATCGCGATTTGTGTCCGATTTGGTGTCTTGCAATATACCATTAAACATTGATGACAGAGCCAGTTACGATGATGGGGAATCTCAAAATGGGCAGCGCGGCCCTGCAGGTCGACAGGAGGCGGGTCAGAGCCTGGGTAACAGTGGAGATATGATCCCAAATTGTCGTGATCAAAAGGGTCGAAGATGCCCACGCCTGAATCAGCGGCCTTATGGGCGTGTTCGGTGCGGGCTACGCAGAAGAGCACCGGACAATTAAGTTAATAGTCAGCCACCCACATAGCTATCACTCTTTAGCGACAGCACCAAATTGGCATTCTCATTCCAGCAAAATGCGTTGAATAAGTTGAATTCTGACAGAAAGCATTTTTGTTAAATCTTCCAAATGTATACAATAATAAACAAAGAAGATTCACTGCAAAAAAAATGTGTTTTTCAATTTGGTAATGTTATTGTGATGCTTTGAAAAAGAAGATTGAATTTTATGAAATCTTCAGGCTCCCATTGCTAAGAATTCAGCTGTTAGATTTGATGTAATACGCAAGTTTTCGTTTCGATATCGGTTGCAATAATCGATAATGTACTCAATGTACTTATTTCAAGAACAGCTGTCAGCTGCATAATCGGCATATGTTTCGTGCTTGTCCGTTAAGTTAAAGTGCGGCTTTTATCAATAAACATGTTGCAATATTGTTTATTAAGACGCTACAGGTTTTTGCTGCGGCAGCATGCTCAAGTCATCAAGCGTTGCTACAGTGGCGACATCAGAAATATTGGCATTTTGGCACATATTGATGCCGGTATTACGAAATCCGGTTGTTTACATTTTATAATATTCATATTTTGATAAATTTATTTTCTTCCTAAAGGCAAAACGACAACAACAGAACGCATGCTTTTCTATGCGGGCAAGACGCGCTCTTTGGGTGAAGTGCATCGCGGCAACACTGTAACGGATTACCTAGCACAGGAACGCGAGCGAGGGATCACAATTTGCAGCTCAGCTGTCACATTTAACTGGAATGGCAAGCGGTTGGTATCTTGTATCTTGAATGAAAATATTTAAGAATGGTAATGGAATTGCTACTGCAATTTATAACTAGCATCAATCTACTCGACACTCCCGGTCACATTGACTTCACGATGGAGGTAGAGCAATCTCTATATGCCGTTGACGGAGTCATTGTTGTCCTGGACGGTACGGCAGGCGTTGAAGCACAAACTGTAACCGTATGGACTCAGGCGGACAAGCACAAGCTACCGCGTCTCGTATTCGTCAATAAAATGGATCGCCCAGATGCAAATTTCGAGAAATGCATAGTTGATTTAACGGAGAAACTGGATGCCAAACCCATTTGCACGCAGTATCCAACGAAAAGCGCTGATGGGCAGCTCGGTAAGTTTAATTCAAATTAAATGTGGTTGGTATTAAAGTCAATTCATTGTAGGAATATTCGATGTGATAACAATGGAACAGATGACTTGGCAACAAAATGACCTTGGTCGCAATTACAGCAAGGTGAAGCTGGAATCTTCTACTGAATTGCAGGAGAAACGCAACGAGCTCATTGATCAGCTGTCTGGGCTGGATGACGAGTTAGCTGATGTGGTCATCAGTACGGAAAGTTTTGATAAAGTCAGCAATGAGCTGATCGGACAAGCCTTACGCCGTGCCACCTGTCAGCAGAAGGTGGTTCCAGTGCTTCTGGGTTCTGCTTATAAGAATATTGGCATACAACCTCTAATGGATGCGGTGAACGCGTATTTGCCCATGCCAGAAGAACGCAATCAGATGTATGATTGCTTTGGGTAAGCATTCAATAATTATTAATTGTACAATAACCACTGAAGCATCATGTAATTGCAGGAATGATTTTGCGGGCAAGGTATTCAAAATTGTGCACGACAAACAGCGTGGACCTCTGACGCTTGTGCGCCTATTACGCGGCGAACTAAAGCGCGGAATGCGTCTGCTCTGTTCTGCCCGTGGACAGGCTGAGGTCGTCTCGAAAATCTATGAGCCACTGGCTGATGAATACCGAGAGGTTGGCTCCATGCAGGCCGGAGATGTGGCCATATGTGCGGGTCTTAAGGTAAATATTCTATATTCAAATATATCGTAAAATGAAACCGCATCCTTCATAGTCAACAGTTACTGGTGATCTGCTTACCAGTAGTCACACGTCCCTGAAGAACGCACAGAAACGTTTGCTGCAGAGTCGCGGTGCCGCAATGCCACAAGACGAAGATGAGGTGTTGGATGATGCTAGCCATGAGTTATTCTCTATCGAGCCTAAAATCCCTGACGCTGTCTACTTCTGCTCTATCGAGCCACCGAGTATATCGTCGCAAACGGCCATGGAGCAGGCGCTCAAGCAATTGCAACGCGAGGATCCAAGTCTGCGGGTGAGCTACGATTCGGTTACCGGACAAACGGTGCTTGGCGGCATGGGTGAACTTCACATGGACATAATTAAATCGCGAATGCTAAGCGAGTACAAAATTGATGTGGATCTCGGTCCCCTGCAAATTGCATACAAAGAGACTCTTGGATCATCAGCGATAACAACTTTAAGTGTGGATAAGGATATTGCGGGCAGCAAACAAAGCGTAAGCATTACACTGCAACTGGTCAGCGATCAGCGAGAGCTGTTTAGCTTAGATAAATCGCCTGAGAACGTACAACATCTCAATGCACTGCGTCCTCGAATCCTCGGCGTGTTGCGCAAGGGTGCAGTAAGTGCTTTGGAACGTGGACCACGTGTTGGTGGCCAGGTGGTTGATACTCAGATACGTCTGCACAATGTGACTGTTGGGCGTGGCACAGCCGATTCATTTGTCATGGCAGCGGCGGCGCAGTGCGTGCAAAAGGTAAGTGTTTTTTCTTTTTTTGCTATTTTTCTATATTTAATGAGATTCGATATTCTTACAGCTATTGATCACGAGCGGCACACGGTTACTGGAGCCCATCATGGCAATTCAGATTGTAGCGCCAAATGAGCGCATTTCTGGCATTATGGCGGATCTGTCCAGGCGACGAGCGCTCATAAGGGACGTGACGTCAAAGGGCGACAGGAATAAAGTGAGTTAAGCTTATAAGTGATCTATATTGTCTTGTCAATAAATATCGCCTTTCAGATCATTTTGGTAAACGCGCCCTTGGCAGAATTATCGGGCTATTCAAGTGCTTTGCGTACCATCAGCTCCGGCACAGCCAGCATGACGATGCAGCCGTGTGGCTTCTCCGAAATGAATACGGCAGATGAGTCGTTAGCTGTACGCCGAGCCCAAGGATTAGACTGACACTGACACCTGTTGCCTAGCATTAATTTTTAACAAAGATCCAAGTAATCTGGTCAGAAGAAGTCCCACAAATTTTCCTAGTATATTAAAGGAATGTACAGTCCAGTAACAAATGACAAAATTGTCGCACGTGGAATATTAGATAATTTGGTAATACAATTGATGTAGAACGTGTTTTCGATACTACTTTTTTAAACTAACCAACCATAAACATTTCAAAAGAAAAATCTAAAATTTATTTTCCAAAATAATTCGCTCTGTAAAATTTACCGGGGCAAGATCTGAGAACGCTTCGTCATGGCGTTCTCTACGCAAAAGGAATTCTTTCATGTGCCATTTATGAGCGAGTTGCCTGACTTCAACTGCCCGAAGGTGTGTGTCAAGCTGAAGAGCTATCCATCGACAGTTGATGATCGCTCTTGGGCAGCCGATGAGGACAAAAAGTCACGATTTGTCGCCGACCTGGTGTCTTGCAATATACCATTAAACTTGCAAAACGACGATGACAACGGCGGCCCTGGTGGCAGAGCGGGTTATGGGCCAAGCGGAGGACCTGGTTTGAGAGATCACACCGGCGCTGATGGAAGACCATATGGTGATTATGAGGGAAAACCTGCTGGCAGAACACGCCAGCCCGGTCAGAAAGGGCAAGACTACGGTAGGGGCTACGATTCTTCTGATCCGCATGGACAGGGCCAGGGCGGCTATGGGCCTTCAGGTCATCAGGGCGTTCAGGGTGGTCAAGGACCTGGCGGTAGAAGAGGAGATGGCAGAGGAGGGCCAGGTGATGAAAGTTCAGGGAGACGTCAGGGGCAGGGCCCGGATGGTCGAGGTGGAGCAGGTCCAGGCCAAGGTCGGGGTGGAGGGGCTCCAGGGCAAGATGGTCAAGGTCCAGGAAGTCGGAGTGGAGCAGCACAAGGTCAGGGTCAGGGTGGTTATCGAGGTCCAGGGCAAGGTCAGGACACTGGTGGAGCAGGTCCAGGGCAAGAGGGACAAGGTCCTGGAGGTCGGGGTGGAAGCGGTCCATCAGGTCAGGGTCCATTAGGTTATGGGGGTGCTGGGCAGGAGGGCCAAGGTCCTGGAGGCCTGGTTGCAAGCGGTCCAGGACAAGGGCGAGGTCCAGGGCAAGAGGGTCAAGGGCCTGGTGGTCGCGGTGGAGGAGGTCCAGTAGGTCAGGGTCCAGGAGGTTATGGATCTGGTGGGCAGGGTCCAGGAGGTTACGGAGGTCCAGGCCAAGAGGGTCAAGGTCCTGGTGGCCGAGGAGTAGCACAAGGTCAGGGACAGGGTGGCTACGCAGGTTCAGCGCAAGACGGTCAAGGCCGTGCTGGTAGGGGTGGAGGTCCAGGTCAGGGACAGGGTGGGTATGCAGGACCAGTGCAAGAGAGTCAAGGTCCTGGTGGAGGGGGTCCAAGGCAAGACAGCCAAGGTATTGGAGATAGGGGTGGAAGAGGTCCAGGGCAAGGGAGTCAAGGTCCTGGTGGCCGAGGTGGAGTAGCGCAAGGTCAGGGTCAGGGTGGTTATCGAGGTCCAGGGCAAGGTCAGGACACTGGTGGTGCAGGTCCAGGGCAAGAAGGACAAGGTCCTGGAGGCCGGGGTGGAAGCGGTCCAGGACAAGGGCGAAGTCCAGGGCAAGAGGGTCAGGGTCCTGGTGGTCGAGGAGTAGCACAGGGTCAGGGACAGGGTGGCTATGCAGGTCCAGGGCAAGGGGGACAAGGTCCTGGAGGCCGGGGTGGAAGCGATCCAGCAGGTCAAGGTCCATTTGGTTATGGAGGAGCAGCTCAAGAGGGCCAAGCTCCTGGAGGCCGCGGTGGAGCAGCACAAGGTCAAGGGCAGGGAGGATACGGAGGTCCAGGGCAAGCGGAACAAGGTGCTGCAGGTAGAGGTGGAAGAGTTCCAGGGCAAGATGGTCAAGGTCCTGGTGGCCGAGGTGGACCAGCACAAAGTCAGGGTCAGGGTGGTTATCGAGGTCCAGGGAAAGGTCAGGACACTGGTGGTGCAGGTCCAGGGCAAGAAGGACAAGGTCCTGGAGGCCGGGGTGGAAGCGGTCCAGGACAAGGGCGAGGTCCAGGGCAAGAGGGTCAGGGTCCTGGTGGTCGAGGAGTAGCACAGGGTCAGGGACAGGGTGGCTATGCAGGTCCAGGGCAAGGGGGACAAGGTCCTGGAGGCCGGGGTGGAAGCGATCCAGCAGGTCAAGGTCCATTTGGTTATGGAGGAGCAGCTCAAGAGGGCCAAGCTCCTGGAGGCCGCGGTGGAGCAGCACAAGGTCAAGGGCAGCGTGGCTACGGAGGTCCAGGGCAAGCGGAACAAGGTGCTGCAGGTAGAGATGGAAGAGTTCCAGGGCAAGATGGTCAAGGTCCTGGTGGCCGAGGTGGACCAGCACAAAGTCAGGGTCAGGGTGGTTATCGAGGTCCAGGGCAAGGTCAGGACACTGGTGGTGTAGGTCCAGGGCAAGAAGGACAAGGTCCTGGAGGCCGGGGTGGAAGCGGTCCAGGACGAGGGCGAGGTCCAGGGCAAGAGGGTCAGGGTCCTGGTGGTCGAGGAGTAGCACAGGGTCAGGGACAGGGTGGCTATGCAGGTCCAGGGCAAGGGGGACAAGGTCCTGGAGGCCGGGGTGGAAGCGATCCAGCAGGTCAAGGTCCATTTGGTTATGGAGGAGCAGCTCAAGAGGGCCAAGCTCCTGGTGGAGCAGCACAAGGTCAAGGGCAGGGAGGATACGGAGGTCCAGGGCAAGCGGAACAAGGTGCTGCAGGTAGAGCTGGAAGAGGTCCAGGGCAAGAGGGTCAAGGCCCTGGTGGCCGAGGTGGTGTAGCACAAAGTCAGGGCCAGGGTGGCTATGGAGGTCCGGGTCAAGCGGAACAAGGTCCTGCCGGTAGAGCTGGAAGAGGTCCAGGGCAAGACGGACAAGGTCCTGGTGGCCTAGGTGGAGCAGCACAAAGTCAGGGTCAGGGTGGTTATCGAGGTCCAGGGCAAGACGGCCAGGACACTGGTGGGGCAGGTCCAGGGCAAGCAGGACAAGGTCCTGGAGGCCGTGGTGGAAGCGGTCCAGCAGGTCAGGGTCCATTGGGTTATGGAGGTGCAGCTCAAAAGAGCCAAGGTCCTGGAGGCCGGGCTGGAGCAGCACAAGGTCAGGGCCAGGATGGCTATGGAGGTCCGGGGCAAACGGAACAGGGTCCTGGAGGTAGGGCTGGAAGGGGTCCAATACAAGAGACTCAAGGTCCTGGTGACCGAGGTGGAGTAGCACAAGGTCAGGGCCAGGGTGGCTATGGAGGTCCGGGTCAAGCGGAACAAGGTCCTGCCGGTAGAGCTGGAAGAGGTCCAGGGCAAGACGGACAAGGTCCTGGTGGCCTAGGTGGAGCAGCACAAGGTCAGGGTCAGGGTGGTTATCGAGGTCCAGGGCAAGGTCAGGACACTGGTGGAGCAGTTCCAGGGCAAGAGGGACAAGGTCCTGGAGCCCGGGGTGGAAGCGGTCCAGGACAAGGGCGAGGTCCAGGGCAAGAGGGTCAAGGTCCTAGTGGTCGAGGAGTTGCACAGGGTCAGGGACAGGGTGGCTATGCAGGTCCAGGGCAAGGGGGACAAGGTCCTGGAGGCCGGGGTGGAAGCGATCCAGCAGGTCAAGGTCCATTTGATTATGGAGGAGCAGCTCAAGAGGGCCAAGCTCCTGGCGGCCGGGGTGGAGCAGCACAAGGTCAAGGGCAGGGAGGATACGGAGGTCCAGGCCAAGCGGAACAAGGTGCTGCAGGTAGAGCTGGAAGAGGTCCAGGGCAAGAGGGTCAAGGTCCTGGTGGCCGAGGTGGTGTAGCACAAAGTCAGGGTCAGGGTGGTTATCGAGGTCCAGAGCAAGACGGTCAGTACACTGGTGGGGCAGGTCCAGGGCAAGCAGGACAAGGTCCTGGAGGCCGGGGTGGAAGCGGTCCAGCAGGTCAGGGTCCATTGGGTTATGGAGGTGCAGCTCAAAAGAGCCAAGGTCCTGGAGGCCGGGCTGGAGCAGCACAAGGTCAGGGCCAGGATGGCTATGGAGGTCCGGGGCAAACGGAACAGGGTCCTGGAGGTAGGGCTGGAAGGGGTCCAATACAAGAGACTCAAGGTCCTGGTGACCGAGGTGGAGTAGCACAAGGTCAGGGCCAGGGTGGCTATGGAGGTCCGGGTCAAGCGGAACAAGGTCCTGCCGGTAGAGCTGGAAGAGGTCCAGGGCAAGACGGACAAGGTCCTGGTGGCCTAGGTGGAGCAGCACAAAGTCAGGGTCAGGGTGGTTATCGAGGTCCAGGGCAAGGTCAGGACACTGGTGGAGCAGTTCCGTGGCAAGAGGGACAAGGTCCTGGAGCCCGGGGTGGAAGCGGTCCAGGTCAAGGGCGAGGATCTTATGGAGGTCCAGGCCAAGATGGTCAAGCTCCAGGAGGTCGGAGTGGAGTGGGTCCTGGGCAAGTGGGTCAAGGTCCTGAAGGTCGTGTTGCAGGCGGTCCCGGACAAGGGCGAGGTCCAGGGCAAGAGGGTCAAGTTCAGGGACAGGGTGGTTATGGTGCTCCAGGGCAGGAGGGTCAAGGTCCTGGTGGTCGGGGTGGAGGCGGTCCAGGTCAAGGGCGACGATCTTATGGAGGTCCAGGCCAAGATGGTCAAGTTGCAGCAGGTCGTGGTGGGGTAGGTCCAGGGGTGGGTCAAGTTCCTGGTGACCGTGGAGTAGCACAAGGTCAGGGACAGAGTGGCGCTGCAGGTCCAGGGCAAGAAGGTCAAGGCCCTGGTGGTAGGGGTGGAGGAGGTCCAGGTCAAGAGCGAGGTCCAGGGCAAGAGGGTCAATTTCAGGGTCGCGGTGGTTATGGTGCTCCAGGGCAAGAAGGTCAAGGTACTGGAGGTTGGGGTGGAGAAGGTTCAGGACAAAGGCCAGGTCCGTATGGAGGTTTAAGACAAGAGGGTCAAGGTCCTGTTGGGAGCGGAGGAGTAGCTCAAGGTCAAGGACCGGGTGGTTATGTAGGTCCAGGACAAGGGGGGAAAGGTCCAGGAAGTCGGGATGGAGGCGGTCCAGGTGTAGGTCGAGGATCTTATGGAGGTCCGAGACAAGAAGGGCAAGGTCCAGAAGGTCGGGGAGGAGTACGTCCAGGGCAACAGGGTCAAGGTCGCGAAGTAGTAGGAGGTCCAGGTCAAGGGCGAGGATCTTATGGAGGTCCAGGGCAAGAAGGGCAAGGTCCAGAAGGTCGTGCTGGAGCAGGCCCTGGAGGTCAGGGTCCAGAAGGTTATGGACCTGGAGTGCAGGATCAAGGCAGGCAGGGACCTGGTGTGCAAGGTCCAAGCAGGCAGGGACCTGGAGGACCGGGTCCAGGAGGTTATGGACCTGGAGGGCATGGTCCGGTAGGTTATGAATCTGGAGAGCAGGGTACTGGTAGGCAGGGTCCAGGAGGTTATGGTTCTGTAGGTCAGGGTCCAGGAGGTTCTAGATCTGATGGACAAGCGCCTGGAGGGCAGGGTGCAGGAGGTTATGGATCTGGTAGGCAAGGACCTGGAGGGCAGGGTACAGGAGGTCAAGGTCCAGGGGCTTATGATGGACCTAGATATAGTGGAGGTCCTGGAGGGCAGGGTCCAGGGGGTTATGGTAGATCTGGAGATCGTGGTGGTCCAGGTGGGCAAGGACCTGGAGGCCAGGGACAAGGAGGTTACGGTGGTCCTGGTGGTCCTGGGGGCCCTGATGACCTTGGTGAAAATGGAATAGCAGGTGACAGTCTCATCATCGCCGCTCACGACACCATTGAAAATATGAAGAATGCAATGAAAAAGAATAATTTACTGGATAGAGATCAGGCCACACCCGAAGATAGGAAGGATCGCCCCAGGATGGAAAATGCTGAGCTTAGACGTTTAATGGATGAGCGCTACGATCCCGGTACAAGCAGAGTCTTCAGAGATAAAATTCAAGAGCTCTCAGACTCAAGGAAGTTTGATAAATCAGATGAAAGGGACCTCCTTAACATCCACAAAGCCGTGGATGATATGAACAAGTCCCATGACATCCTGGAATCGCAGAATTCCAATCTTAGACGACTTATTGAGAAGCAATCGAGGCGTGCCTCGATAGAAAGCATTAGGATTGATCCAGAAAGAAGCAACGATGTCAACTATTTGCAAAATAAGATAAACAACATGGGCAAGGAGTTGATAGTGTTGCGTCAAGCAGAGGACGAATTCCAGAGATCAGGTGGTGCCAAGTTTGGAAGTTGGGCTTGCTCCTGCGACCACCAAGATCCCGACACGGATATTGATGACATTCAGCTAATTTTGTCGGAGCGACAAGCACTGCGTATGCAGATTCAAGAATTGTCCCCACTCAACGCAAAACTCAAAAAGCAAGCGGATTACGACGTTGAGGAAATGGCCAGAAATTTCTGTGCACAGAATCAGTACATTGCCGACATGGAAAATGATATTCAAGAAATGCAGCATTATTACGAGCACGAGGTGGAAAAGTCAAAGTACAATGAGGAGCTACTTAAGGTAAGAAGTGAGCGTTGGTGCTTATGTTCAATGATAACAATTGTGGAAATCTCTTCCAGTGTCGTTGTAATGAGTTGCAGCAGCAAGTTGTTGGCCTCCAGCCGGCAATGCACCGTTCCGAGGTCTTCCAAATGGAAATCGATGTGCTTCGCAATGAGCTGCGCAAACGTGACTTGGCCTTGAATGCCTACGATTGCCAGTACCAGCAGCTAATGGTAAGCATAGGATTTGAGACACTGAGGGTGTTAGGAGTCTTATGTGTCACTCTTTCTCTGTCTCCAAAGCATAAAACTAAATCGTTCAAGAAATCTGGTTATCGTTTTCTTGATGAACTGATAGAAAGCTGCAGTGATAGTTGTTTCAACGAGGCTGGGATTGAGGATGATCGAGATAATACATGTTAATGCCGTGTGCTGCCCAAACTATCTTCTGTGTTCCCAAATCTGTAGTTTTAAGTTTTAAATTAAAAGTGCACAATTCTGAAATATAAACAGAATGAACGGAACGAGAGGAAAGTCGTTAGAATAGTAGCTCTCTGGATTGTTAGCGGCTTTAACATTTATTTCAAATTCTCCCTTCCTCTTTCTCGCGGCCTCGCATAGTGTTTCAATCCATAACTACTTCTAATGGTTTTCCTCATGTTACGTGCATTATTCCTTCTAAGCGTATTAATCTTTCCAGAATGTCATCTGTGAGCTAAACCAAAAGTACGGCAATCAACGTGGAGACTGTCCGCCGTTTGATATGCCAGATTGTCCCCATATTGGCGATGATTTGGCCTTTTACACGACTGCTACCCTGGATCACATAATGAACGAACTGGCGAAGCAAGTCGACTGCTTCAAGCAAATGAACCAGGATACCTATCCCGGTGGCGAGAATATCACAAACATAAACGACTGTATGAGCGAACTCGATCGCCTGAGGAAGTTAGTAAAGGAGAGAGATGGCCAAGTGGGCGACTTAATAGATCAAAATGATTGCTTGTGCGAAGCTGCTGTCCAGAGCAACAAGCGACTCGATCAATTAGATAAAAAACTAAGTCTGCTTGATAGGGACACAAGGTATATGGAAGACGGAATGCGCGAGAGTCTTCAACTAATACGAGAAATTGATGGTGTTGCCAGGGAAAACGATATGCTTAAGGACAATATTAGTGGTTTGAAACAATCGGAACTTCAAGATCTGACGGACGATTTAAGAAGACAGCTTGAAGACTGCATGAAGAGTAAACAAAAATGTGAAGAAGTGAACAAAAGCCTTAGAGATAAATTGTTGAATCTCGGAGGAGATCCCCACTCTGTTGAAAAGGAAGCGGAAAAGAGAGTGCAGGAACAAATTGAACGCGAGAGAAAAGCTGCTGAAGATACTAAAAAAGCAGCTGAAGAGGCCAAAAGAGCAGCTGAAGACGCTAAAAAAGCCGCCGACTTAGCGAAACAAGAGGCTATTATAAAAGACGAAGAAGGCGAGATGACGCCTGGAAAGGAGGCTGATGGATTAGTTGACAAACCAGATCTTATTTCGAAGGAAGAAGCTAGAGAGCCTGGTGACTTAGCGATAAAGAAAGAACAAACAAGTGCTGAAGAACCTGCTGCTAAGATTGCCGATAAGCCTAAAGAAACAAAAGTTGAAGAAATGGTTCGCGAACGGCCTAGTGATATGCCAAGAATAAAAGCTGAACAAGCTGCTGATAAGGCCAAACCCATCGATAAAACTGGGTCAATCGAGAAACCAGCAGTTAGAACAGCGGAAAAACCTGCTGAACCTATAGATAAACCTGATGCTGGACCAGGAGACAAACCTAGTACAGGACCTGGAGATAAATCTAGTGCAGGACCTGGAGATAAACCTGGTGTTGGACCACGAGATAAACCTGGTGCTGCACCTGGAGATAAACCTAGTGCTGGACCTGGAGACAAACCCACTGCTGGACCTGGAGACAAACCTGTTACTGCACCTGTAGATAAACCTGGTGCTGCATCTGCAGATAAAGCTGGTGCTGCACCTGGAGTTAAGGCTGTTGCTGGACCTGCAGATAAGCCTGGAGCGGGACCAGGAGACAAACCTACTGCAGGACTTGGAGATAAACCTGGTGCTGGATCAAGCGATAAACCTGGTGCTGCACTTGGAGTTAAAGCTAGTGCTGGACCACGAGATAAACCTGGTGCTGCACCTGGAGATAAACCCAGTACTGCACCTGGAGTTAAGGCTGTTGCTGGGGCAGGAGATAAACCTACACCTGGAGATAAACCTGGTGTTAGACCAAGCGATAAACCTGGTGCTGCTGCAAAAGTTGGTGCTGGGCCAGGAGATAAACCTGTGGCTGGACCTGCAGATAAGCCTGTTGCTGGACCTGCAGACAAAACAGGCGCTGGACCAGCAGATAAACCTGGTGCTGGACATGAAGATAAACCTGATGCTCGACCTGTAGATAAACCTGATGCTCGACCTGTAGATAAACCTGGTGCTGGACCTGCAGATAAAGCTGGTGCTGGACGTGAAGATAAACCTGGTGCTCGACCTGCAGATAAACCTGGTGCTGGAGCTGCAGATAAAGCTGGTCCTGGACCTGGAATTAAGGCTGCACCTGGAGTTAAGGCTGGTGTTGAATCTGCAGACAAGCCTGTTGCTGGACCAGGTGCTGCACCTGGAGACAAGCCTGCTGCTGGACCTGGAGGTAAGGCTGGTGCTGGACCTGGAGATAAGGCTGGTGCTAAGCCGGGGGTTAAGACTGGTGCTGGACTTGGTGGTAAAGCTGGTGCTGAGCCCGTAATTAAGCCTCGTGCTGAATCTGGAGATAAACGTGGTACTGGACGTGGAGATAAGACTGGTGCTGAACCGGGAGTTAAAGCTGTGGCTGGACCTGGTGGTAGAGCTGGTGCTGGACCCGCTGTTAAGCCAAGTGCTGATCCTGCAGCTAAACCTGTTGCTGCACCTGGTGCTGGACCCGCAGTTAAGCCCGGTGCTGGACCTGGAGATAAGACTGACGTCGGACCGGGAATTAAAACTGATGCTGGACCTGGAGGTGGAGCTGGGGCTGTATCTGGAGGTAAGCCTGAGACTGGACCTGATGACACAACAGGAGCAAGTGAACAACCTGGCGATAAGACGGTAACTGGCGGGAAGGGTGGTAAAGCAGCTGGTCAATCCGACGATAAGGGTAAAGATGGCGGAGAATCAAGAGGACCAGCCGTCAGTAAGGTCGGAGCCGCCGGAGGAACTGCAGATCAATCGGTCGGTAAAGCCAGAAGCGCCGGAGCACCTGCAGGTCAACCGGGCGGTAAGGCCGGAGGACCTGTTGGCCTGGCCGGCATTAAGACTGCGTCAAGCGGGCAACCTGCAATAGGTCCTTCCACAAAGGCAGGTTTGCGGGGACACGGTGATGAAACTGATGACGGAGCTGCTGGACGACCAGCGAAAGCCAAGGGTGAATCAGGATATGGAAGAGGACGTGCATCCAAGAAAGGCCAAAAACTAGATGAGACCACTGAAGAGCAATTCAATGAGTTTGTAAAGAATACAGTAAGAACATTATCTGCCGGTGAGATTGATGGTGTCGGATTGGAAAGGGAGTTGCGAAAAATTCTGGACATGTTTATCGATGAGTGTGGATTCTGTTTCTGCAAGTGCAACATTCCGAAAAGCCGCTTCTATGCCACATGCCATAAGCTCTACCATCACGGACTGCACACCCTGGAATTCAAGGAGCTGGTTTTCATGCACAAGCGAATTTTCGCTGCAGCGGAAAACATTCTACCTGGATGTCTGTTCAATATGATTATGAAGGATATCATAAACGGTAATCCCCAGAACCATGTGCCTGCAGCGACCACGGCCCCTCCAAACACCGTGTCTGAGAAAAGGTGCTGTGCCTGCAAGAGTAACCTGTGCTGTGATGCCACTGAAGAAACACTCATGATTAAGGGTTCGTTTTCAGTACATCAAATATGTTGTATTGTATTTTGTTTTTTTTAATGTTTGCTTTTCTGTTTATGTTTTTAGTCATGCGCCTTGAAAACGACATTGAGAATGCAAAATTATGTTTGAATAATTTGAAAAATATTCCATCAAATCTTTCTATACATGATTATCGCATCGAAGCTGGTGATTGTCCGGCTAAGTAAGTACTCTCAACTGAATTAAATTGTTAAATATTTAAATAAACAAAGACATTTTTCGAATTATAGGGATCGTATTTTACGTTCCGCACGTGGTCCAAAATCTATTAATATTTCCAAAGATGTTAAGCAAGTTCGGCGTTCAAAGGTAATAATTTTAATAAAAATAATATTAATCTAATTTAATAATTACATTACATTACAACTTACATTTTTATTTTTTCAATTTCAGAATCGCATTGCTATCAACAATTAAATGCTTTTTATTTTATTTGTTTTAAGTGTTGTTTTGGATTATAGTAATATGTCCAATAAAATTGTGACCCCACCCATGATCAAATTGAATGTGTATGTTAATATTAAAGTTGTTTACCTGAATCATTAAAACTTGAGCGTTTTCATTTTAAATATTTTAAAAAATGTTGCAGCTTATAGTGGCGATATGTACTCGATGCTCGGTATCGATAGCTTGCCGCAATCAGCTGTTTCGATATCGATAGCTGATTGTATAAGCATGCAGTAAATGTTTGCAGGCGGAATAGTAGTGAGACGAAATTAACAATTAACGATGGAAAAACTAGTGTGTTCCACCATGAGAATCGTGCAGATGCAGGTAGGCCTATAGGAAATAATTGAATGCTCCCTTGCTTATTGTGTTCATTCATGTTGCAGATGCCTCAGGCTGCCACAACTGGCGCTCGAATGCTGGTGCCAGGTCTGCAGAATACGCTTCAGATGCAGCAGGTGCGCCATCGCCAGACGAAGCACTGGAAGCCCGAGTTTAAGCGACTGCGCCGACAAAAATTCATCAAAATTGAGCTACCCAATTTGCAACAGAAGCCACAAGATATGAGCAAAGAGGAAATGCGCAGCCGGATGAAGGAACGCGGTGTGTTTCCGCCACGTCCATGGATGGAGCGTCCGTTCCACATCAGTTGCACGGGCGGCATATTCGAGCCATATGTGCCTCCTGAGGGCGATGGCAAAAAGTCCATTATAACAACGTCCGGGGCCAAGCAAAAATTTGAATTTCTCGAAAAGAAATCGAAAAGCATGCTGGCAGTGCGGAAAATTCGCTCGTATGAGGAGAGTTTTAGCAGCGACGAATTTGGCTCCTACGCCCAAGACATCTATATATCTGCACACACGCATATGGCGGCCAAGGAGAAGTACAAAATACGTGAATTCGTCACTGAACGCTGTTATCCAGAGATGATGCACAATGTCAAGGACAAGACCATTCACTGGCGTTTTCTGCAGTCGCTGGAACCACCTCGCCTCGTCCATGCGCGTTGCACAGAAGTCATAACCAAAGAGAACCAGTTTGCCCAGATCACCGTGCGCTTTCACACACAACAAATGCTGGCCATTTACGATCGCTTTGGCCGCCTAATGCACGGCAGTGAGATTCTTACCAAGGATGTGCTGGAGTACGTTGTCTTTGAGAAGCACATTTCCAATGAGTACGGCCAATGGCGATTGCATGACAAGATCATTCCCGAATGGCTGCCGGCCAAGCAGCCGGCGCCCATCACGTATCGCATCACAGACGACGTTGTCGAGGAGACCCCGCCCAATCAGATTAATGCCGGTGAGCAGGCAAAGCAATTAGAGCCCGGCAGCAGTCAGCAGCAAAAGGATCAGGTTAATATGGCGACAACCACCGTATCACCGACGGTCGAGCAAATCTCCAAACCCACATTGGCCATTTGATTGTACTTTTTGTGGGCTGCCTGGCGGCTCAGAAGATTACACGTTAACGTTGTTCAATGATGTTGAGGATAAGGAACCAAACCACTTGCAAACATATATATTTTAAACACATGCTTTTGTTTTTTTTTTTAACATTTAATTTATATAATCATGAACTATAAGACGGATGCAAATTACTGCAATTGCATGCAAATATCCTCAAAAATATGTGGGAGAGCTGATGCCACATGCCACATCAATAGGCATATTAAAATAACGGTAGCTTGCATTATTTATTATTTTGATTATTGAAAATGTGAATTTCAATAAGCGTCAGCTCCTTTATGAACATTTTCGCTAATGTTAAGAGTTAGTTAGCCTAACCGATTAACAAATTACTTGTTAACAGCTGTTTATTTCACATGTGCTTCAATTCTCAGATGACTTCATAATCTTTGAATGTAGCTCGATAGAATTGCTCCTTCCGATTCTAACGCATGTCATCAAAAACATTGGTTAGGACTTTATTGAGCACGAGATATTTGTAAGAGGACATTGCATTTTTAACCATAACTCGGTCATATCTTTAAGGATCGCTTGGGGACATCTATTTTTTAACCATCATCAAAAATAACGATTGATTGGCATCTAAAGACTTCAAGATTCGAGAAAAATATACGGCAAATATATATAAAAATACAATTGCACTGGACTTTGTCTCGCCTTAAAAGTATGCTCTAAGAATTTAGTGTTATTGTTCAGCCTAAAAGTATGCTTAAACTTTTAAATGGAATACTAATGTTCAATCTATAACACAGTTCGGTTATTTATATATATATATAGGTATTTATTTAATTAGTTAAGCTTAAAGTTAAGTGGAGCTCATTATAAATACACACGGATCATTTCATAGAGTGGTGGACACCACTAAAAGTTCGTCATGGTACACTTAAAACCTAAAAAACTACACACGCAGAATACAAATGTTAATAAATAGATAAGAGGGGTAATATTACGCCCCTCTTAATATATGTGTAAGGTATATATACAAAGATCAAAGACTGAAGATCGCTCGGATCGGTTAAACGAAGCTGCTGCTGGGCTCATCGAGATACGCACAACGTGTGCTCGTCTGCTCCAGCGACTTGCGTCCAATCTCCAGCGGTAATTTACTGCCAAAGGACAAAGCTGTTGCTGTTGCTCCTGCGGTTGTTGCTGTTCCGACTGTTGTTGTGGGCGATGTTGTTGTTGTTGTTGTGTGCTTGACGGGTGAGAATTTGTTGCTATAGTTACTGCAACCGCTGGGCGTAGGATTTGGGGCAGCACCCCAGTTCGATGGCTTAATGGGCAACACTTTGGGTTTGGGCGGCAGCGGTGGCGGCGGCGCTTTGGCTAATTCCTGTAGATCCTCCAGTGGCAATGCTGCCATCTCCTCCTGTGTGCTGCTCTCCGGCTCTATATCCACCCTCATGGGCGATTGCTGTTGGATGCGCGTTATGGACAGCCGTGGTGCTGGCTGGGGCGCATCTGCTGCGGGAGGATTGGTGTTGGGCTTGTTAACTGGACTCAAATTGGCGCGCACTTTGCGCAACTTGGATGCGGCCGCATTGAGATTCTCCTTGTTCTTAAGAAAGTCGGGCAGATCAAAGTTAATCTCTGTGCCGCGCTGATCCTCTAGGCGTGCCAACTGTGCCCGCTTTAAACCCTCGAGTAGTTCATCTGCATCAAGAAGACCATGAAATGGATGAGCATGTGGATGAATTTGAGAGGCTTTGCTACTCACCTTGGTGCTCGGCTACTCGTTCGGTCAACTGCAGTTTGACGCCCGCTTTTAACTTGGCTATGATGGGCTTGGGCTTGGGTAGATCCAGACTTGCCGCCGCCTCCTCGGAATGTTGACTGCTTGTGGATTTCTTTTTCAGCTTGGGCAGCTTGCTGCCTGGAATGTTTGCACCGTTCTCCCGCTGCTGCTGTTGCTGTGGATGCGGCTGGCGACGGGTGCGATCAAAGAGCGATGAGTTCTCCGAGGGCGCCTCATTGGAGCGCATGGAGCAGAGATCGCTGGGCTTGAGAGCGACTGCATCCGCCTTGCTCTGCAACAGTTCATTGAACATCTTGTTCGTCAGCTCATCCAGCTGACCCTGGGCGGAGTCAGAGTGCGCAAGTGGCGGGGGCAGCATTGGGGGCTTCATGGGTTTACTATGCTTCGGCGGCATGCTACTGCCGCCGCCTAACTGAAAATCCGGATTGAGCAAGGCAATCTGCAGGCGCAGTCCATCCGCAACGGTGACGGGCTGCATTAGATCCATTGGGGCTTGGGTGTCGCGATGGAGCACCTGTACGCTATCCATTTGATAGTTGTATTTGTTGAGGATGGGCCGGATAACTTCGTGCAGCTGCTTCTTGGGCTTGCTCTTCACGGATATCACCTTGGGATCAGGCAGATCCAGCTTGAAGGCGACCCGACGCTCGATCATCACTTCCTTTCCGGCCAGCAGCTGCGACGACTGCTGCGTATCGATGGACTTGTTGCTGCCCTGGAACACCACATCGTAGTACGGATAGATGAGATTTCGCTTCTCTAGCAATCGCTCCACGAGCTGTGCCACCGTCTCCCGGGGTCGTATCTGGACGATGGTCGTCGCTCCGTCTGTTAGGATCACGCGGCACAGCGAACAAAGACTATCCGCACTGGCACCGGCCGGCTGACCACCCCCCATCGGTCCCGCATCGAAGGATGACAGCGAGGAACGGGAACTGTGCAAATCACTCAACGAATTCTGCGCAGATCCTACCCCGGTTCCTCCGCCAGTCAGCAACGACAGCAGCGGCGGCGGTGGCGGTGGTGCCTGTGACACCATCATTGGATTATGCTGCAGATCGGTCATCACCTCGTTCCGATCCCGGGATTTACTCCGCGACTTGCGGTGCCAGGGCAACAGACTCTTTCGTCGCCGATCCTCCGCATTGCTCACCGATTTCTTGAGCTATTCGAAAAGAGACACAAAGATCAAATGTATTAGTGGATGGTAGGTAAAGAGGGGGAGGTGATATCGATAAGCAAATACTCTGTAACCAATTGATTATACACTGGGCAAAAAAAGAAAAACCAAATTGAGATGCTTACCTTGGGCGAGGCCACTACGTGAAAATGGATCTTCAGGAGCTCATCGAGATCGGCGCCGGTGAAGGGCAGCGCCTGCTTCTTGTGCTCCGCATCCACGCAGCTCTTGTAGAGATCGGAGCGGATGAAACGCTGATAACTGTCGAACTTCATCAGATTGAAGATTTGCTTCTGTGCAGCAGCAAAGATGTCTGTTGCGGCGCTAGACAGTTTCTCGTCGCTGAGATTACGGGCCTGGGAGTCGACGTTGACCGGATCGCTGCTGTGCTTGTCCAGATGCTTGCTAAAGATTTCACGTGCCAGCGGACCACGTTCCGCTTCCGATTCGGTGTGCTTGTAGCGCTCGCAGGCTGTCCAAAAGTAAATGTTCTCCGCGGAGAATTCCTTTTTGAGGAACTCGGCAAAGGTTTGCATGCCGGCGGCATCTTGAAGCATTCGCTCAAAGGAATTGCCCCAGCCACTCGGACCAATTGGCTCCGCCTCTAGCGTGGACTCGGTCATCACACTCGACGGAGGCGGCGCCGGTGTCGTGAGTATTTGTGGCACTTGGAACACGGCCATCTGTATCTTGGGCTGCGGTGGCTTTGCTGTTTTGAGTTCGTCCAACACAAGCGTCTTGACGTACACCTCATTGTCCGAGGAGTTCATTGAGGCAGTGCGTCGCACTAGCGGACTACCGCCAGCGCCGCCGCCGCCAGCAGCTCCTCCGCCTCCTCCTGCTTTTCCCACCTTGTCAAAGCGCGGCGTGCGAAACGATGATTGACCCCAGGCACGTCGGAACGGCGACGCATTGGAGGGCAGTGCACGGCTCTGTAAATATCGGAAATGAAAGGAAATTGTTATTACCGATATATGGTTTATATATAGACGTGTCTTAATACTAAAAGATGTTTTAATAATGATGCATTCGAGCTTATTGCTAAAGCCATTGTATTGCTTAAGTTCTGCTTCGAGTGAAACTCATTTATTTATTTAAAGTCAACTCAGAAAAATACATAATGTAAAAATTAATTAGAAGTAAAATTAAAATGTTATAATTAAATGTATATTAAAAAAATATAAATATTATTAAGCTTCTGGGCGTATTTAAAAGCAGTGGGCAAAAGCATTTTTCACAATTGTAATTTCGAAAAAACCATTTTGATTTTCAAAAAATGTATATCCAAAGATCATTGTGAAAATTCTATGTGATCGTGTTTGCCTGATTTTGGGAAATGCAATCCCTGCCTTTGAGTTCAATTTGCAAGGGTGACAAATGGGTAATGAATACATTTCATAGAATTTTGATTTATTTTCAATGTCATCAAACATTTTGTTTGAAATGTGTTTCCCATAATCAACCCTTAGAAGACGACAAATGCAATTTTCCTGCAATCTAAATTAAACTCATTTGCAAAGCTGCAGTAAAACCGGTTTCCTCGAGCGGAACCAATTGGTGAGATACACTCAGAAAAAACATGTATTTCAGAAAGTATTTTTCCAAAAACCAGGGTTTTTCTCTTCTTCATTTTAAGTTATAATTTTCTAAAATGTAGACAAATATGTTTAATATTTAGGAGGGTTTTATCCTGTGTAGTATTTTAAGTCTTCATATATAGTTTATAAAATTATTATACTTTAGAAGCGCTTACGATTTTAGGACGACTCTAACCCGAGAGCATTCGATCAATTATGTTTTCTGAGTGTAAGTATGAAAATTCTAAAATCGAACTCTAAACAAGTGGAAAAGTCTTCTTATGCTCCGTTGGATAAGCAACTAAAACTATTTTGAGTGCTGTGCGTGTCTCGATTTGAATTCGAATGGGGCTTTTGAGTTCATGGGCAATTTACAAGTACAAATTGAGGAGCTGGACGAGGTAGGGGGGGGGTGGGGGTGGGGGTACAGGGGAAGTGGGGCTGTAAGTCTGTCATTATCACGGCCAAGCCTCAAACGACAAAGCTACGATAAACTTTTGAACTTTAATGTTTTCTGTTTTCATTTCCATTCATTTTGTGGCAACAGTTGGCAACTATTGGCTGTCATAGCCCCCCCATACACATTCCCGACTAGCCTCGACCACAATTCTAATTGTGTGAACAAATTGTGAAGCTAGTCTATGTATATATATATATGTGTATATGTATCTGTATCTGTATCTGTATCTGTACATGCATAATTGTGATGAGTGTCGTTTCTGGGGCTGCCTGCCTGCCGGCCAATCCATTTACTGCACTTTGCTGATAATCAGTCTTGGCAGGCAGACTCGAGACTCAAACTCGTAGCTATTTATACAAATGTTTTCTCTCCATCTATATATATATATATATACATTTTTTTTCTTCTGTTTTTGTACTTTTTGCACCCGGTTCCCATCAACAACAAAATGGGTGAAAAATGCCTTAGTAATAAAGTTGCGCAAATGTAAAAAGCGGCATTTTGTGTGCATTGTGTGTGAGAATATCTTTAAGTAGATGCAAATTAAATTGTCTTAACAATTTCGGTTTCATAAGAGAAACATATTTTGTTCAACCTCTTATGCATAATGAATCCAAAAATATATAGACAACTCAATTACTCAAAACCTGTTTGTATGCTTAATAATAAAAGTAGAGAGACATTCAGTATACAAATTAAAAGCATTAACAAAAAACATTTTCCACTGATTTTTTAATTTATATTTCAATCATAGCCAGACATGTTGAATTGCTGAGTTTATTCCGATAGAGTTGAGCTCTATCTGCACAAAATCGTAGAGTATCTGCTAGTCGGATTAGTCTTACTTCGATTTGAGCTCAATCTTTGCATTTCCCACAACGTCCACGTTTAACGATGTTATTTTGTGTGTGAGATTAATGAATTTTGTTTCTAAGCTCGAGTTTCGCATAAGCCACTCACTTAAATCCCACAGAATAAATATATATATATATATATATATATATATATATATATATATATATATATATATATATATATATATATATATATATATATATATATATATATATATATATATATATATATATATATATATATCGATAACGGGTATATCTAGTGTGCTGTGTGCGAGCGAGCGAGAGAGAAAATAGTGAAATTTAAAGCATTTCCGTTTTGATATTTCACAGCGCTGAGCTCAAAAGCCAATTTTCAGTCTCGAGTCTCGTTCATTAATAGAAACCAATTGGTTCGTTCGGCTCGTGTGATGAGATGGGATGAGATAGATGACTTTGGGATTGTATTGCAACAATTGCCTGGTCACGCTACACACGCACACGCACACACACACACACACACACATACACGCACACAAAATGAAAGCTGTCAAGCGATCTTCTCAATGAGCCTTGACTTGCTGTTAATATAATATTTTGATTTATCTTTTATCTTCATCTATTTCATATTTCATTTGATATCAATTCCGGAAAAGGCATTCGAATGATCTGAAATTCGATATAATATATATTTATTTCTCATACCTATAACAGATTATTTAACTTAGACTCAATCGTTTAATAATTAAAACTAAAGCGATTTGACAATGAAGTGTAATAAGTAGCGACTTATGTAAGCTGTTATTGTAAGCTGCATTTCCAGATGTTCTTAAGCAAAACTATGAACAATATAAGCTTGGCAATTATTGTTAAGTCTCATTAAGCAGCTGTTTATACATTTATTCAATTTATATATCTTTTCAATTGGATATCGTGCGCAAGACTTTTGAAGCGCTCTTTTAAGAAACGAAAACTTAAAGAAAAATTTTAAATTTTAAAAAAATTTCTTGCGCCACAAGGCTTTAAAGTGCCACCAAAGATAAAATGCCGAAACAATGAGTATATTTCACTCACTTATCATATTTATGTACACACCCACTCACACACACACACACACACACACACATAGGAACTGGGTCGAAAAGAGAATTCGTTCTGCAGATGCACAAGAAAAAATCCACAAAGTTCAGTTTTAAATGGAACCCAAAAAATAAATCTTGGGGTCAAATATGTGGAGGAGCAGAAACAACAAGTGAATGAGCTACGACAGAGAGAGAGAGAGAGAGAGAGAGAGAGAGAGAGAGAGAGAGAGAGAGGGGGAAAGAGAGAGCGAGAGGTAGAGCTGGCAACAAGTAAACGCAACAGCAGCAGCAGAGTGAACATAAATCAGCGTTGATTGCCAAACAATTGCAGACAGACTGAGCGACAAAGGGGGAGTGGGGTGAACCTGAGGGGGCAGGGAGCAGGGAGGAGACTGTCTTTTGTAAGTAGGAAATGAGCAATTTGCCAAACTAAATAATTAAAATAAATAAATAATTGGAATGACACAAAACGATGACGCGCTCAATGCGTTACAATTTTGCAGCAAAGAAAAAAAGAAAAGCAGGCAGCAAATAAAAGAAGAAAAATTACAATCGAATGTGAAATTGAAAAATTAGCGAAGCGCAGCGAAAGTCAAAAGCCGTGCAACAATGCAAATTGCCGCACAACAGCAATTGATTGAGGCGGCAAAATTGTGTACCATAGCTAGCTGCCACGCCCGTTCCCCACTTGCATTACCATTACAGTGGTTGCCTGCTTGAGTGGACAACACCCAACATGGACACATTTACTATTGTTTTGTTTTGTATATTTTTTTTTTGTGCTGTGGTTACATTTAGACGAACGCTGCTGTTGTTGTCTTGCCACATGTTGTTGCCTCTTCCTATTAAAGTCATCATCATCATCAGCATCGAGGAGACAGCAGCTGAAGTCGAAGTCATTGCGCTGAGTTTGCATTTGTTGTGGTTGTTCGAGTTGTTGTTGTCGATGATGTCTCGATGCGAAAGCCACAAGCGACAAGCAACAAGCGACAGAAAAAGCAGGCAACAACAAACAAAACACAAAATACAAACAAACAAAATCCCACGAGTGAATTAAACTTGAATGGCTTTATGTTTCAGCTATATAATCTTGTTCATATCTTAATCGCTAAGGCGGCAAAAAGTAACACGATCTTCTACGAGATATAGGATATATAAAAGCCCTATATATATACATATAGATGACCGGCCAGCAGCTTGGCGCCTCGTTTGGTAAGTGAAACTTTTGGTAATTGGAGCTGTCTCCTGTCGGAATCAGAATTCTTGTCGGTCCGTTGAACTGAGTTGAAGACTGTTAACTTGTCCAGATTTTGTGACTGCTGTTTCCGGACTAAGCAAATGATTCATCATAATTAAGTAGACTCGATAAATGAAGAACTACTGTCGGCCCACTTCAAATAAGCTAGAATTTAGCGCAGTTTGCAGATCTTTAAGATAAATCACGTACTTTTCCCTTGATAGACCAAAACTTTCTTTTCATCGAAAACCAGAAGAGACATGCGTTTTGAATTTCTTGGAATCTAAACAATCAGAGAAATATAAACCAAAGGAATATTCTACATATATATTTATATTATAAATGTATGTATAAATCGCCAACTAAAGAGCCAAAAAGATGCATTGAGCTAAAAGTTTAATAATTGGCTTAAGAGAAGATTCAATATTGCACATAAAAGACTGTTGCCACCATACAAGGGACCAAATCGGATGAAAATCGCTTAACTTTCAAATAAATCACGTAGCTTTCTTTAGATGCAAACCGAAGCAATCAAGAAATCAACCGCAAATAAACAAATTCGGGTAATCTCCCTGATGAAATGCCAAACAAAGAAATACAAACCGAAATTTTACACATATCAAATTTTTAGTCACTTTTTTTAAAGATATACTTTTGATAATTCCCAGAAATGTGACACAGTTTCCAGTTTCCCCTCGAAGTGCGCTGATAAGTGGCGAGTACACACATAACGACAAATAAAC